CGAATCTTCGTATGCACTCAGAGAAAGAGAAGCAAGGCGAACCATCGATTCTAGGTAAGCCACGACTGAATTCATCTAAAAACCAACTATTAAAATTGACTACACGTGAAGAGTACGCATATTTGCAAAACAGGAGCTTGTGCATTCTCAGGGGGGGGGAGGGACGAATCTTCGTATGCACTCAGAGAAAGAGAAGCTAAGGCGAACCATCGATTCTAAATAAGCCACGACTGAATTCATCTAAAAAACCAACTATTAAAATTGACTACACGTGAAGAGTACGCATATTTGCAAAATAGGAGCTTGTGCATTCTCAGGGGGGTGAGGGACGAATCTTCGTATGCACTCAGAGAAAGAGGGCATGGGAACCATCGATTCTAAATAAGCCACGACTGAATTCATCTAAAAAACCAACTATTAAAATTGACTACACGTGAAGAGTACGCATATTTGCAAAATAGGAGCTTGTGCATTCTCAGGGGGGTGGGGACGAATCTTCGTATGCACTCAGAGAAAGAGAGGCAAGGCGAACCATCGATTCTAAATAAGCCACGACTGAATTCATCTAAAAAACCAACTATTAAAATTGACTACACGTGAAGAGTACGCATATTTGCAAAATAGGAGCTTGTGCATTCTCAGGGGGCGTGAGGGGACGAATCTTCGTATGCACTCAGAGAAAGAGAGGCAAGGCGAACCATCGATTCTAAATAAGGCACGGCTGAATTCATCTAAAAAACCAACTATTAAAATTGACTACACGTGAAGAGTACGCATTTTTATTCGTGGACATCAAGACACCGGAGATAGAATACATTACGTTACGAATACAGTTTCTTGCTTCTGGACCATCGTATGCTTTGTGAAAAGTTCGGCGGTGAATCCTGGGTTGACGCGGTTGAGTGGATGGTTGCCGAAGCAGTTGTCTGAAACAGGGTTTGAATGAAAGAGGCTGAAGGATCGGATACTGTTAGGTATTTTGGCATCGGCTGGAACGGTTTAAGGCAATGGGCGAGTGAGGTGTGTGGGTTTTATTGCCTATGGATTGTCTATTGACTTGACGCGCCTGCGGGCACGCAACGCAGCGTGGGCATCATAGCGTGAAAACGACCAGATCAACAGGGCCGAAAAGCCAGGGAATTGAAGCTGTACCTGAGGAAGTCCAGAATCCATGGGGTTGTTGGTTCGAAAGCCGTTTTTCAGTGCGTTGTTTTTGGAAAAACCCGCGATAGCAAAGGCGCAGAAAATTGCTTGATTGGCTACTGAGAGAAAGCTTGGTGTACCAGCCCACAGCTTTGCAAAATTTAGTATACCTAGTAGCGCGATGTGTCGTTGGATCCGCCCATGCTTGATGTCTGCGTCCGGCGTTCGCAGCTGCTTCTCGGATGGAGCCTCGGAACGTGTCCTGGCGGCGACTAGTCCCTCTAGGCCATCAAGCTTGATCGCCTTGACGCTTAGTGACCGCATCGCTGACGCCAGATCCCTAAATCTACAGATGTGAATCTGATCGACTTATTAACAGTAGCATTGCTTCTGAGACAGTGTACACCAAAAGCAGGCGCAAACTTTTTTTGTTGCGGTTCTCTGTGTCCTCACTGTTTTCGTGCTCACAAGGGAAGTATTTTTACCGAGCTAGCAGATTTCTATGTAACATACATCCAACGTTAGAGAATGCAAGATAAATGCGATGTTTAAATATCAATTTTTGCGTAACTCCCATCTTTACAGGGGCTCCTGCGTTGATTCCTGGCAAATAGCCAGATGCGGCCGCAACGAATTTCCCATGAATCCCAGAAAATATTAGAATATTGAAAAATTTACGACGTGAAACTCCCCCCTCTTGACAAACGCCTCCCCCCACCCTCAATGAACCAGTACCTCCTTTCCTAATTCTCGAATTATTCAAACACACAATGTACCTTCATCCGGCTGCAGACTTTTTCATCAGAAATAAAAGGTGCGCGTAACTTCAGCGGTCCTGCTGCTTCCTGGAAGGCGGTCCCATAGATCTTCCAAGGCGCTCTGTCGAAATTGATCGCCTTTCGTACCACCATTCGTCCGGCATTTCGATAAGGCGTAGCAGTACTGCTTTCTATAAAATTGAGAGTCGTTCAAATTTTGGCGTTCAGCTACCCAGTCCAGCATTTGTCCAACTTTCTCGACATCCGAGATGCCCCAAGTCTGCATCAGCCGAAATCGTTTCCCTTGCAGCTTTCCACTTTCATCTTCATCCTAAATTTTCTATTATGTTCGAGCGGCAAATGGTACGCAGAATTTCTTGCAGCCAGTTTGTCAATCAATTGCTAAGCGCAGACAAAAAGCGCTATCCTCTAGTTTTTTCTTTTTATTTTATATCATATTTTATCTTTATTCTTATTTGATATTCTTATATCATAGTTCTATATAACAACAATACAATAATAATGAAAAGTTTCGAAATTTTTTGGCTTTTTGGTCAAAAAGGCCCGGAAAAAGACCCAAAAATCGGAAAATTTTCGAACTGCAAAATTTGTCAAATGAGGTTTTAAAATTTGTCAAAGTATGTTTTAAAGCTTTTTATTAGCAATCAAAAACCGCTAAAAACGATATAAAAAATTCGTTATATATCATCAACAGGTGGAATAGGTGGAAAAACAAACGGTGGTCCCCGCTGCAAAAAATCCCCCCTCCCCCCGCTAACAGTTCAGAACAAATTGTAGAAGCCCACGTTGCAATGGTTCGGCCCAAACTTACGTTATCGACGCTGATTTCGTTTTTCTGGTCAGCCGAGCGTAGCGCCTCGGCGGTGCCGCCGGAAAAGTAGGACAGCTCCGGCGCTTCTGGGTGAACGACGGAAGCTATTTTTCTGAAAAAGAAGTCCAAACGCAATAGAGAATAAACTTGAAAAGTTGGCAGCAGCCGCTGGGTGGCCCGTTCATCTTGAGCTCCAACAGCATGACACCGCGTTCGCGCAGCTCCCCATTTTTCATTTTCACGAGCCCGTAAATTTCGGTGCAAAGATCCGCGGTGAGGGCTTCGACTTGGGCTTAGCGATCTTTTTCGTTTGGTTGCACTGGTTCGTAATAGAGCCAGGAAGAGAACCAGCTTCAGAACGGGTCGAACACCGTCGGGGCACACGCGATCTTAAGAATTTGGTTTAGGTTTCGTTTGGATAGCTACCTTTTTGGTACTGATCCGGATCACAGTCTTGTATGTTTGTGCATCGAGCGCGGACGCATACTCTCTAATCCAAATTTTGCGAAAAGATAGGGACATACTCTGCAATTCGGAGGTCGATCGTCCCTCGCGGCGTCGTGCGCGTTCCGATATTCTTCCGCCGATGCAGGCCGAGGCATATAGCGTGCTCAGCAGCATGCGCCATCCCGCTGTTTCCCTCCGATTTGACAACTAAATACAAACGAGAATATGAGAGCTATCTTTGGGAACAGCCGCAGCCAACACTACGTTTTGTTAAGTTATTAAATTTCAGATCTAGTTAAAGAATTTGCGAAATCTGAATAAAAATTGATCCGTCCCTGGAAGTTTCACAAGTTTGGCTGGTTTTGCAAAACATATCAAAGCATTTGGATCCGCCATCACAAATAATATGATTCAACGATTCCTGGGCAAAATATTAAAAATCAAGGTGGGAGAAACCCTTCGTTTTAGTGAAGATTACATTTTTGTTATCAAATTGGATAAAATTCTTTTGTTATCAATTCGAAAGCTCGATTTTTTACGACGTGAAATTTTTTAAATTTGTAGCCGAGGAAGCTAATTAATAAGATGGTTAATTATGTGGGCTGGTTAATGACAGCTGAGCCCGTTAATAATCTTACATCGAGGTCAAGGAAAATATAAACTCATTTTTGCAGCGGACCTTGTTCCGGAGCTGGTGGTTTCTAGATGCTTTCCGTAAAAATTTGAAAATTGCTTTAGTTGTGGTTACTGGGTGTCCAAAAAAAAGTGCTCTGCAAGCTATATATGGGTCGGGGCCTAGGGCGCCTTGGGTAGGGCCTAGGGGCGCCGTGGATGGGGGTTTTTTTCCGGTATGGAGCGATGTAAATTGCAAAAAGTCGTCTTAAAAGCGGTTTTTTCGCAATTAATATCGCTGCATACCGGCAAATAAGCCCTACCGATGGCGCCCCATGCCCCACCCAAGACGCCCCCAAAAAGTCGGAGAGGGGCCTTTGGCGGCGAACTTGGGGCCCAGATCAATATGTACAGGGTGTCCCAAAAAGCGCCCCCCAAAAAAAATTGGGCCAGAGGGCACCTACGGGAGCTGAAAATTTGCACAGGAGGGTAGCAAAGCCAATTTCCCATGTATAGGAAAGTTTGAGCCATATCGGCCGACAGGTTTCAGTTATAGCGAAATACTTTTCATTTTAATTTAATATGGGGATTTTGTAATTTGTATCAGATATGCGTTATTCTTGAATTTACGAGCGGATTTGCATAAATTTTGCCAAAAATGCCATCTCTTGCTGGAGCTTTTGGAAAACGATTGCTCATGCAGCGTGAAAACGATCAGCAAGACCGCTGAGCTTCTCGTTTCGCTTAGACTTTGGACTGACTTAAACCCAAGCCCAAATCTAAACTTAAGCACCACTTAAAAGCTCATCGAACTCTGTTTCGGGGCTAGCGCGAAGCAGATTGCCAAAATGCACAATGACGCGTGGTTTGGATCGATAAAACAGTTGTTTTCACACTCTTTTTACTCTTCATACGCAATCGTTCGCGCCATGCTCCAGCAAGAGAATGGCATTTTTTGGCAAAATTTATGCAACATCGGCTCGTAAATTCAAGAATAACGCATATTTTTGATGCAAATTGCGTAGAACCCTATATTAAATTAAAAATGAAAAGTATTTTCGCTATAACTTTAAAACCCGCTGGCCGATCGGGCTGAAACTTTCCTTGTTCATAGAAAATTACCTTCACTACCTCTGTGCAAATTTTCAGCTCCGTAGGTGCCCTCTGGCTCAAATTTTTTGGGGGTCTTTTGGGACACCCTGTACTCTAACAAGGAGTGCTTTTTTTGATTCATCGGCAAAACCTTACGAGACCTAGCTCATTCGATAGAGAATTCGATTCTGAACAAAACCCCGTTGTTCTTTTTTGCAGAATGGCTATCCCTGATTTTATAAAATTTTAAAACTGCACCCAAAAGCCTATCTTTTGGCTCGAAAGGCGCTCATGGTAAGAGACGGTCACTAGTATTTTAATTTTATAAAATCAGGGATATCCATTCTGCAAAAAAGAACAACGGGGTTTTGTTCAGAATCGAATTCTCTATCGAATGAGCTACGTCTCGTAAGGTTTTGCCGATGACTCAAAAAAAGCACTCCTTGTAAGCCAAATTATGTCTATGGAATCCATATATACCTATATTGAGCGATATCTCCACCCGGGGCGTTGCTCTCTCCGCATGGAAATACACGCAGCCGCTTTCCCGGCATTCGTATTTTCGGGGCTGAAAGCGGATTTTGAAGCGGCTCCTACTAATAGGAAAAATTAAAGGAAGGAAACGGAAAGAAACGGAAAAAAGATTAACGGAAGTTGTAATATCTTATCGGCAACTGGAATAGTTTGCCTAACGGGGGTGGAAACAATTTTTGTGTTGGTAAAAATTATCCTGCCATTTTGAAAAATTCGTCAGACGAAACGTCAAAAATTATATCACTAAGATTAGTTAGAGAGTAATGCTACTAGATATTTAGTTCCAGCCCTAAATACCTTAATTTAAAATCCTGGCTTTAGTATACCGAAAGTTTTATGAATCATAATACGTTTTAATGTAAGTTACAGTATCCTAAGCTACTAGCGACTAATTGTTTCCACCCCAGCTGTTTCATCCCCCTGCCCCCGTTAAGCAGCCTTTACCTGAAAACCCTTAAGCTTATTTATTACTTAGAACGGTTTATTTCAAAAGCCTAGCTTAGCCTTACTTCTGTACCATCGAACATCCTGTATCCGGTGACGATAAGTTCCTCGCCGTTACGAGCTGGGTTTTTAAGCATCAATGGCCCGGGCTTGATGCTGGTCCCATCCTTTCTGATTCGCGCCCCCTCCATCCCGGGCTCGTGCACCTCTCCTGAAAAACAAAGATTCCTTACATAGTGCATAAGGGAAAGGGAAGGTAAAGGAATTTGCCCGACATCTTTCTACAACGACTTTATTTTTTTTATCTTAATTTTGCACGAGAGAACCTTGAATAAACCCGGATCCAGAATTGCCTGAAACTGCAAACATTTTTGACAGAAATGTATAGCGACGACGATGCTGATCGTCGTTATAAAGATGAAATTTTCTACAGATCTTTAAAACTAAAGATACCTCCGTTCTAACGTCATTCCCCCCACGTGGGCGTAGAGAAGGCACTTTCAACAAGGAGGTGCTCAAGGGCTATGGGTATCTGAAAATAAACTGATATATATCCTACTATATATAAAAAAATAGTGTATGTGTGTGTGTGTGTGACTTTGCATGCAACTTCCGTCAGTATGTTCCAGTAGTATCTCGATAGAGAAAGGGTTTTAGAGCACTTAGAGCATATGTCATTAGGAAAAGCCTATATAAAGAGACCGAAGCCGTATTTTTCGTTTTTTGGCATTGCGGTTCGCGAGAATTATGCAAATTGCGAACTCTCATTGGATAAGACGGGGCCAGGGTCGAAAAGTCGCGAAGCGGCTTTTCAACCCTGGTTCTAATCAAATACACAAACCTTAGCACCAAAAATCAAAAAAAAAACATAAAAAGCAAAAATCTGTGTGAATACTGACATTCGCTCACACTGCTTATCATGCCAATCCTCATTTTAATCTCACATGTAAGTTTTCTTCCGGCCGGAAGTACTTCCGACCGGAAGTGTAAATGCCACATTCAATCCGAGTAGACTTGGTTAGCGGTTGCTTTTCTGGATATTCCCTGCGTATTATGCAAAGCGCTTATCTCGGCTATCTTTAGTCCTAGAGAGCCGTCAGTGGCCCCAACCTTTTCTGACATTTTTTGGCGCCAGGAAGAACCTTTTTGATAGTAATTCGACGTCGGCCAACATTTTGAGATACTCCACGCATTAATAGTACGTATGGCTGAAATGTCGTGACTGGGGAAGGGGGGGGGGGGTAAACTAGACTCTCACCAAATGGGACAAGCGAGCGCCTTACCGCTTCGCCAACCTGACAAACCGTAAGAGGGATTGAGTATATCCCGCCCCCATATCCCAACGGCTCCGATCCCGCTCGGTTTCCCGAATAGTGGATGAGTTCATGATTTTGGGCCGTTTTCTAGCCTTTTACAAAAAGATTTTTCTACGACCCAAAGTGCTCGGTGAGTGGGTTTTAAACCCGATTCTTGATCAGCGGAAAAAAACTACGTCGGATCGCGTTTCCGGTTGGTTGAAAGCGAAAACGAGTTGAGGGCATTCCTTAATTAGTGAAGTTAGTTTCAATTTCCTCTGCTTTGCATCTTGAGTATCCTGGGGAAAAGACAGCATGACCGATGCCATTTCGACCAGATCTACCCTCTCCTCCCGGCAGCAACGCACCTCGATGGACCATGCACGGTGAGCATTCAAATTGCAATTGTAAGCTAATTGAATTTTCATTCGAATGGCAGTCGTGAGGGGTCAGATGAAGCCCGAAATGCTCGTCGGCAGGAGGAGCAGCATCACCAAGGAGCTTCAATTGTGTCACGTATGAGTCTAGGTGGTTTGCTTACCAGCATGGTGGCTAGATCCAGTATCATCTCATTTCGGCTAATCTTTATCTCAGCCTGAGGTATTAAGCTTCTGAATCTTTCGCTATGTTTTGGGGTCTTCTCAATGCCATCTGATGGAGCTTTGAAACATATACTACAGGCGTGAAATTCAACCCAAAATAATTTAATATAAAAATGCTAGGCTAAAACAAGATTTAGCTGAAGTAAACTCTTACCGTCGTTCCTTGTAACTATAGGGAAAACTAACTATTGCTTTTCTAGTGGTCACAACGACGAGATGGACGAGCAGTATGGGTGGCTGTGGGGAAAATGCATCGGACTGCGACGACTCAACCCTTGGCTCGATCGCTGACCGATGTGGTATTGGGCTGTTAGCCAGAGGGGCGGTAGTTTTGGCAGGATGCGACTAACTTTCGATTCTGGTCTTCTTTATCATATTTTTATAGTGGATAGCTTTTATCGCTTCAAAGCTAAAGGAGATATCTAAAAAATTTGAAAGTTCCGCCAAAATAGGAAAATTAAAGCCAATATTCAGAAATGTTATAATTTTACCAGCTGTTTATACCGACAAATTGCGTAAAATGATTTAGATTTTGTCACGGGATCACGAGGAGGCTCCGATTTACCCCTCCCGCCGCTCAAACCCTCGTCCCCGCGCGAAAAGTACAGTTCCGCCGACCAAGCAAGTTGTTTAGGCGAACTGCCGATTTGGACATCGTCATTGGCCGGCAGGCTACGGTTGCTTTACCCCCCAGCCGGAAGTTTTTGGCTATAACTTTTTTATTTTACATTACTGTAGGCTCAAATTAAAACCCTTAGTATATTTTTCGACGCACTATCGAATGGCGTTGCAAAAATCCCACGTTGACAAATAAGCGAAAATACCGTAAACTTTGAGACCCTTCGGCTGTGGGGGTAAAGTAAACTCTTACCGCCGGGCATTGCTTGCTTGCGGATCGTTCCCTATCTCTCTGGCTCTCTCTCTCTCTCGCTCACTCTCTCTCGCTCACTTCACGCTCTCACTCTCTCTCGCTCTCGCTTTCTCTCACGCTCTCGCTCTGATTCTCTTTTTCTCGCCTTTCTGTCTCTTTCTCTTTATCCCTCTAACCCACGCTACTGCATCAACATGGTCGCCGACGGCAGCAAGTGCTCCGTTTTTGATAAGGTTTGTCTTAGCTATCGCTCAATATAATGCGCCATTTCCAGTCATTCGCCACGTCGCCCAGCGCCCGCGACGGCTCGGCGAATGGCAGAAACCGAGCCAGATCAGAACAAGACCAATGAGAGAAGCGCATCTGAAACAATTTTTGAAATGATGTATTGTGTTTTTATCCATTCGGTTGGTTGGCTGTGATTGTGATCGCCTGGTGAATATGATTCTTGTGATCGTCTGGTTAATAAATTTCTTCAAAGTTGAGTAGCAGAAGCTCGATTTTTCTCCACCTCGCGGCTTTCCTACACATGCATGTCTCAGAAATTCTCAAGCAATCGATAGGACGTCCAAAAACATAATGGGATGTTTGGTTTCGGTTCTCTACTTTTAACTATTGGGCTGGAACGTAAGTCTCTGCGCTTTTTTCATAATCTGAAGCCGCCTTCCGACTTCATAGTTTTCATTTTCCAGTGAAACAATGTGACCAACCCAGTGCTCTACCACCCGCAAAAAAACCTAGTGGTCAAAGCTCATTTCCAGAAATTTTTATCGACCTAGAAACAAAAAAAAGATTAAATCTAGCATTTCTTGATCTATTCAGCTCCGACGAAGGAACCGAGCCGCCATCACGGACAGCGACGCCCTCTTTGCCGTCAATAATAATGCGTAGACGCTGCACACTAATAATCATGAAATAAAATGCGTACTGCACCACTTGCGCCTGTGTGCTTGTCCGTCCCTTTAAAGCCATGTGCTGCTTTTCATGGCTTTAAAGGGGCGGGCAAGGCATGATATCATTCCTCATGGATTCTTGCGCACCGGCGATACATAATGCGCAGGCTGGCCTTTCCAATGCGGGTTATGACGACGTCGTATCGGCCATCCGGCGGTACGGTAAAATCTAAATACCGCGCTACGCAACGCGCACGCACGAGTTGGCGAGCGTCTCCGATTGCGCCGTTCAAAACCGAGTAGACGTGTTGCGTGCTGGATCCTCAGCACCTGTTTATTGCGTTGCAAATATGCTTACTCTCCACGTGTAATCAATTTTAATAGTTGGTTTTTGAGATGAATTCAGTCGTGCCTTACCTAGAATCGATGGTTCACCTTGCCTCTCTTTCTCTGAGTGCATATGGAGATTTCTCCCTCCCCCCTGATAATGCACAAGCTCCTGTCAAATCGGGGCGCCTAGCCGCTATGCGCGCCTCGGGCGCCCCGATTTCGAAACCCTGTACTAGCTCGCACGCATCCGACGCGACTGGGCCCCAGGTGGCACGGTGCCTTTTTCTAGTCGCTGAGCGGAAGAAGTAGCAATTACCTTCCCTCCAAATCGAGTGACTCCTAGCGCAAAATGATCTTTCTATCGTTTCTTTGACCAGAATCGGACTCCGCGCGAAAAATTGCATTTTCAGGTAGCTGAAACTCCGAATCGCGGCGCTAAGGTCAGACGCAAATGTCAGGCGCAAGTGTCCGCGGCGCAAGTGTCGCGGTACCGTTCCATAGAGCACTTTATTCGGTTTCATTGGAGAATTAAACTGAGAAACGTTAATTAGTTAATCAATGGCAGCTGTCATTTTTTGGCTTTGACGAGTTCAGGGCGAAAACCGCGTTCGAGGAACCTCTGGAGTCGATGGTGGGCGCAGCGGTCTGAAAGAAAAAGGATGTTCGGTTCTGTTTGAGAGGAGGGCTATGGATGGTGGCCAGCAAGACAATTTTTCTGAAGGAAGCCAGAAACTTTTAAATTGAAGTTTAAGTAATTGAACACTTTGGGTTAGGGCGGAAAAAAAGGCAGGATGAAGACCAACCGTTCGGGGTGCACTTGCGCTGGCACTCGGGTCCTTTCTTCGGTTTGTACCGGAGCGCATCGCTGTAATATGATAGAAAGAATTTTTAATTAATTGTTTTGATTGGTTTGGTTTTGATAAGTCGTTTTTTAATATTTGTTTTTCCCGAGCCACAGTGCTATTCGTGTATCGCGGCAATTGTATGGAGAGGGGGGTTCAACAGATGCATCGGCGAGAGAGAGGCGCCCAGGAGAGGCGCAGAGACAATTTCTTTCCGCGCGTAATCGATTGACTTATGCCGCCCTTATCCCTTTAATAGTTTGCTCATGACCGCCATTGAAGGAACCGACCGGAAATCGGCGGCAATTAAAACAGGCGAGTGTCCCGTAGTCGAAGTCGAATTCGCCAGCAAAGCCACAATCACAAATGGCGTACTGTAATAGAGGTGATTTAAACATTTATTTGGATGAAGATCCCGCCGTCGCACACGCTTTTTTAGCTTTGTTAGCAGACCAAGAGGTGCTAGGCTGTTGGGAACGTTTCCCTTTTGCCTACTTCAATCAAAACTGATGGAAAAGATCTAAATCAAAAGTTTTGGTTTTGAAGGCTGGTTCGTGGTAGGTGGACGAGCAGAGATGCTGGATACACCTACCGCACGTTCGCGCAGCGGAGGGCCTGCCTAAAATGAATAGTTAAGCGATTTTTAGGTAGATTTTGCTGCTAATGTACCGTTTCTGCAAAGCAAAATTACGGAATTGCTAAAGCGATGATTTTTTCGAAAATCATATTTCCGGAAATCACTTTTCGGAAATTTGTATTACGAAAGTCAAAATTCCGTAGTAATTTTTCTCGAAAATCACTGTTCCAAAAATGAAAATTTAAAATTTTCACAAAAGAAAAATATTTTCATACCCTTTCCGGCCATTTTGCCAGCTGATTTTCGGAAATATGGCTTTCGAAAATATGAAAATGAAATTTCGTAAATATTTTCGGAAATATGGATCTGAGGGAAAATTACTGACTCTTTCACTTTCTTAGGGCGGCCCAGTGCTCGTCGAGTCGCGGCGGCAGTCGGCCTGCTTCACCTTTTCCTGAAAGCCATGCTATATTCTTCTTACTAGAAAATGATTGTTCACAGGCGCACATCGAAACTAGTTACAGTACGTATCTAGTACGCCCATCTTGCCCAGCTCGGCGATTGAATCTGGTGAACCCGAGCAACTTTTAGCTGCCGATGCATTAGCTTAACAAACTCACAGCCATTGAAAAATCTTTGTATACCTAGATAGACCCTCGCCATGCCCCAGCCAACGGCTCATCGAGGGCGTCCCAAAAAATCTGCTCCCCTTTAGCGGGCCACATCAACGTCCAATTGGCTGGGTTTTTCACCCGCACTCTCATTTTTATTTTTCAGATTTTTCGCATTTTGACACTTGGTACTTCGTTTTTCAATAAATACCCGTGCTGAAAAACCGCTTCACGGGTTTTTAAACCCGGCCCCCGCCTAGCATCCATGATAGTCTTTACTTTATATCTTTCACTTCGCTTTCTCCCGAAGCCACATAAAAAAAATTATGAAAAGAATATTTCTTGGTGCTTTATATAGGCTCTTCCCACTTCCTCCTAACAAAGATGTTGTCGGTACCTTCACAAAAACTTAATGTGAATAGCAAAACCGCCGATTTTTCTGAAGCGGACATCCATGAACACATCTCGGAACCATTATGCATCTAATCGGTGTCAAGCATACCTTAAAAGCTTTTCCCTAAGGGGCTAGTTGCGATACCTACCCACGGATGTTGCATGGAAATGCGCACACACAGACATCATTTTGCGTTTTGATGTATAGCCAGATAGTTACATAGTTACATAGCTTTTAGGATAAAAAGACATAAAAATTGCAGAGTTTATCCAAAATTTTAATTATGTGCAAAAGCCGCGTGCGAGTCGCCAACAAGACGCCGCTAATTTTACGCTCTTTTTAAGAAATTGTGGAATATCCAAAAATATACGTTAAAATAAGAAAAAAGAATTCGCAAGACCGTAAAGCACAAGAAACCGTGACTGAAACCATTGGATACCATAAAAATCCATTAGAAAATTCAAGGCGTCGTTTATGTCCTCTGCAACCTGCTGACATTTTCCCTTTTTTTTTATTTCACCGAAAAATAAGAGCAGCGACAGGGGGGAAATAGCTAGAGGAGCACAGACCGGGGGAAGTAGCGAGTAGAGGGGATAAACGACAAACGCACGAGACATGGGTTGGGGGCACAGTGATACATTGGGTCGTCTCGGTGACGGCTTGAGGAAGGCTGCGTAGAACAGAGGCCGGGTTGTGCGCGTAGAATTGAGGGGCATCGACAGCTTGTGGTATCGATTCAGGTCTGAAAAAGCGGAATATCGACAAATTTTTCGTAAGCCAGCAAGGCGGGTCAAAAGAAGCTTGCCGGAAATTTTGCGGTTTAAATAAAGAGTTCTAGAGTAGAGTAAAAGTAGCGTATCTGGAGTGTTGAAGATCAGTAGCAAATTCGGAAAACAAAGCAATAAATAGCAACGCCGACTCCAACTGTGCACAAATTTCGAGGCAATTCCGAGTCCGGGTCCATTAGCGGTGCCGTAGTTAGATACTGGCGACTTTACTGGCGTTAGACAAATTTGCGGTATTCTGCTTTTTCAGCTAGGTGCGCCAAAAGGCAACGGTCGTGGGCTATGTTAGAAATTTTCATGGATGAAAAAATCTGACGTCGACGCAGCTTCACCCGGGCAGGAAACCAACCAGCAAAGGATATAAAATTTTGAGTCGGTTCCTTAGTACTTTCTAGTTACCGCGGGGGAAGGGCTGATCAAATCTCCATGGGCGCATTTTCAGGTATTTGAATGGCCGCGTAAGTGGAACTCAGCTTTATTACAAATGGATATTAACCATATTGGCAAACTCAAAAAATATTGAAACGTTTGAAATTTCGTCGAAAATCGGCATTTTTTTTTTATCAAGAAACGGTTTTCTACATCAAAACTTGCATTGTGGGTGGCACTTCCTATAGGGTGTTCCAAAAAGGCCCCCTCTAGCGGCCCGGAGTCATGCCCGATTTTGAAGATTTAGTTGCTTATCGAAAGCCCTCGACGAGCCGAGTAGAGATGTTCACGCCGATTTTTGAAATTCCCAAATTTTGCTTACATATACTAAAATTTTTGGGGGAAACGCCAAATTTGTGAGGCTTCTCCCAAGCAAAAGACTTTTAAAAACCCGATTTCGCAATCAATTTTTATGCCCTTCCTCCGAAAACAGCTTTCTGAAGGCCATTTGAGAAAGCGCAGCTTGGATGGGGGCGGAAGTCGATTCAAACGAGTTTTTGGAAGAAAAATTTGTCACTTTCCGATAAAAACGATGAAAATCGAGCCAAAAATCCGGGTTTTGTTAAAACCCCCTGGCTTTGGAAAATTAACAAAAATTCACTTAATTTCGCGAAATCTTATTTAATGTAAGAAAAATTTGAGAATTTCTAAAACGTAAAAATTATATCTCCTCAGCTCGTCGAGAGCTTCGAGAAATACCTCAATTGTCAATCGGACGTGTGTTTGGGCACATTTGGGACACCGTGTATTAGGGATGTTAAACTACGAGGGCAAATGCTTCATTGATTCTGTTAGAAAAATTTTGGGCATTTAGGCAGTATGTTTTCCCCTGGAACTGCTGTTGATGGCCCAAGCGGATGAACGTCCCTTGCTTTTCAGTGCGAAAAAGGCAAAGTTTGGCTGGGAATTTCATTGGTGATGGATTTGGCCTAGGGCGATACGCAACGCGCTTGCGTTTCCTGCTCGAAACGGTACCTTCTTCGGGTTGGCAGCGGGTCCGGCAGAATCGGGGGCCTGGTCGGCGCCATGAGGATGAGCAGGAGCCGGATGGTGGAGAGCATCGGGACGCGCTGGCGGCCTTCCGGCCGGCATCTCGACCAGCGTCTCGTCGTGCTGCAACTGGACATTTAGCCAAAAAAATGCTCTGACGCTCGGCTGATGTTCCCTTACAAGGCACGTTTTGACGACGCGTGGAAAAACGCTGCCTAATATACAACAATCGCTGGGAAATCAAACTAAAAGTGCGGTTTAACCACCGGCTATTGCGAAACCGTCTTGGTAATTTGGTTGTTTAAACGCTTATTAAACTGCTTTTCCCAATATCGACCCTTTTAATGTGGTTTAGTGGTTTAACGGTGCGGCTTTAATACTCGGCACTAATAAAAAAGCCTAGAATAACAAAAATTTTTATATTGTTAATTTCAAACTAAAAGATCTTTAAAAAATATGACTTAAAAATAAAATTAAATATGAAACAATATATAGCATTAAATTAAAAAGAAAAAAGAAAAGTTAAATTCGAAAAGAAATTTTTTATTCTAATCGTTTTTCATTAAGGCCGAGTATTAAAGCCGCAGCGTTATTTTTAATACTGTATCAATTAATCTAAGCCAATTTTGGGACCCGCGCTGTCCCATAACAATTGTTTACCTGCGCGACCGGCCGGCCTTGGTGCGCTTCAGCGCACCAGTCGCATGCGGCTACAACCTAAAACTGACGTCTGTAAACATATTAGCGAAAAAGGCCATTTCCAGCTATCACGCGGGAAGATGGTCGGCTCGGAATACCTGTAATACCATGTCAAAGTTTTTTTTTAATTGAGCTAATTCCTGTCTAGGGAACAATTAAAATATGCTTTAATAATGTTTCCGACGACCAAAAAAAATTTAGTGAAAGATCTTAAAAATCCGGAGCTTTGACTATTTTTAGTCGTTGCTCATGTTTTTGGCCAAAAGCGAAGGTTATCTAAACCTAATAATTTTTATGTAAAGGGATAACGACGGCATAAGTAATCGGTGACGCGAGGGAAGGAAAATGCCTCGGCGTCTCGCCCCTGGGCGCGTTCTCTGCCCCGCTGTCTATTTGCCAAAAAGTCGATCAGTGGTGATCGACCTATGCCGTCGGTATCGCTTTAAACTCATTTTATATCAAATACAGTGTAAAACGCTATAAAAATCATTGTAATAATGTCTTACTGAAAGCAGACACCTACAGAAAGACTGTCTTTGGGGCTTTCGAACGGTATTGCAAGTATTCCGATACGCTTCCTCTGCCTGCGAGCGCCTATTTGGAGAACCCCACATCCGTGCAGAGAAGAAATTCGGGAGTGAGCGTCGAGACGGAGGGCGGTGTCGTGGCAAACTAAACAATTGAGGGTGTAATATAATGGTGTACAATCCCTACTGGCCATCAGACAAGCATGCCAAAAATACCTACCGGCTGTTCCTGGTAAGCGCGCACGGGCGTAACCTGAAACAACAAATTATGAACATGCAGTACAAGGTGTCCCAGAGATTTGGCGCTGGCCGTGACGTAAAATCAGGTGAACCCGATTTTGGCGATTAGAGCTACGGTTTACTTTACCCCCAGCCGGACGTTTTTGGCTTCTCTTTTTATTTTACATTGTTGTAGGCCCAAATTAAAACTCTTGGTATATTTTTTTCGACGCTCTATCGAAGTGGCGTTGCAAAATCCCGACAAATATGCGAAATACCGACAACTTTGAGACCCTTCGGCTGTGGGGGGGTGGGTAAAGTAAACGCTTACCGTCACATTGTTTTTAGCAAAATTTAAGCCTATTTAATAGGAAAAAAACTTTTTAAAGGGTTAGAAAAACGCTTGAAAAGGTCAAAAATGTTGTCATTTTTGGGTCGAAAAAATTGATTTTTCGACCTAAAGTTAGATTTCTTAATTAAATTTTGTAAAGTTTGTATGCTTAAGAATAGCTATAAAGGGTAGAAACACTTCCACTATTTGTATAAAAAATCTAGGCCTGAGCCGAAAGGATTAGGTTCCCAGAATACTTAAAGGGATGCCCAACCTTTTCGCGGCTCAAAGCAAATCCATGTCGCGGGCGGGGTCGGACCCGAGACCCCCGTTTAGTAGGCCCTAGATGCTATCCATTGAGCCATAGTGGCAAGCCATTGGATGGATGGGGGGGCGCCACAAGAGGAAGGTGGCCGAATTCTGTGTGCGGCGATTGGGAGCCCATTGCCGCACAAAATTCGAGCGTCATTTGTACTGCCCGGAATCCATAACTATATATTTGCCGCCAAAACCTTGGGTATCCCTTTAAGCACCCTACACTCAGGCCTGGGAATTTTTAGGGCCGGGCCGGGCCGGGGCCCAAAATTTTGGGTTTAGGGCCGGCCCGGGCCGGCCCTTTCCCAGGCCTGCCCTACATCCTCTCTAACTTGACCCAGAAGGGTCCGATCGGCCTATTCGTCTCCTATTCTGAAAGGCTCCAAAACCCCACCTTTTTGCCCTGAATGGTCACTTCCTGCAAGTACTGCTTCTCGGTCGTCGCGTTCTACAACAAGCCCGTTTGGGGTATTTTTGTGGTAATATAACTTCCGCAAAATGAACGAATTTCGGCTAAAAAACACTGCCCCCTTACTTTCCCAAAAATTCGAAATTTTCCCGTCTTTGAAGTTCTATGGAGGAGGAGAACGCAACCCACCTCCAACAACTGCTGCGCCAACTGGGCCGACTCGGTCGCCAGGCCACCAGAACTCGCCGTCACCTGAAGAATATATTTAGGCTGACGGTTTTCTTTTGCAAAAACGACTGTTGGTATTTTTCAATCGGAATGTGTTGGCGGAATCAGGCAAACTTTTAACACTTTGTCCGGCCTTTTTGAGCAGGTAGCATGTTTCTCTAGCTAAAATAAATAAATTCGCCAATTGAATTCTAGCTTCAAGGTTTGCGGCGTGCACACTGTGTGTCTCTAAACAAGTGCCGCCTTTAGCGGTCCCGAGGTAGCTCCGGCTGGGATGGTTCATTTTTTGAGAGTTTTCGCCTTTTCGGGAACTTTCTATAGTTACCGTCGTTCAGTCGAACACGACTGCCGACAGCCAAACTCACCTTCTTCATGAGCAGTCCCACTTCTTTGGCCATCTTGGCGGCACACTCCTCCATTCGTTTTCCATGCGCGTGCAGCTTGAGTTCTTCTTAAAAAGTGATGTTTGTCAACAATAATAATGTCTGTGTGCAGGGGGAAAGACAATTGCGGTCGAACTTATTAATTTTACATTATTTCCGATATTTGACCGCTCTATCGAATGGCATGCAAAAATTTGAAAATTGATCAAATCAAAAAATAGGTTTTTAGCGACCAAATAACCCGTGTTTTCGTCATCACAATTTTATATTATAGCAGCGCCCAAAGCCCGCTTCGCGGGCGCTTAGGCGTAACTGGGATCTGACGCTTTACATGAAAAATTTGACTTCCCGATAGCTCGGGTCCTTCGGATCCCCTTCCCCCACCGGCCACACACGCGAGTACAACTGGCAGAATGAGGAAATTTGTATTTTTCCACATTATGCAAATTAGCCCACAGGGACCCAAAAATGGATAAAACAGGCTTTAACTTTGTAAACTTGTATTCTATCGCAATTCTGACAACGCCATCCGAAACAGAAGGGTCGATTCCTCCGGGTGACGGAGAATTAGGGCATTTATACAGGGAAGGCCCTCAAATCAGGCCTCGAAAGTGACATCCACACACACACACACACACACACACACACACACACACACACACACACACACACACACACACACACACACACACACACACACACACACACACACACACACACACACACACACACACACACACACACACACACACACACACACACACACACACACACACACACACACACACACACACACACACACACACACACACACACACACACACACACACACACACACACACACACACACACACACACACACACACACACACACACACACACACACACACACACACACACACACACACACACACACACACACACACACACACACACACACACACACACACACACACACACACACACACACACACACACACACACACACACACACACACACACACACACACACACACACACACACACACACACACACACACACACACACACACACACACACACACACACACAGTTACACGCCAAAATTATATAAGGTAGGATTACTTTGCACTAAAATTCACAATCGTCGTAGATTTTTGGATGCTTTATCGAATTGTGTCCTTATAATATAAAAAAACAGCGAATACGTCGAAAACAAACTTTCGGACAACTTTGAGCCTTGGCCTTCGAGATAGCGGCTATATTATCCAAGCGGACAACTTTTAGACCGCTATTGTACATACATTGCTTCTGCTTCTGGCGAGGCCCATTTTTTAATGCTGTTTTTCTAAATTTTTCAGTTGGCCTTTCTCCAATTGTAGATGATGCTTGATCTACGCATGCCTTCCATATTCCTTTAGGCGATAGACCAGCCAAAACAAATGCGACAACCTCATAATGTGCCTTACCCGAGCCAGCGTCTCATCCGACAAATCGAGTGCCATTGCGCGTCTGCGACCCTCGGCGTACGAGTCGCGCACCCACTAAACCGGAAAAGTTAGTTCTACAGCGATTGCTTCGATGAGGAAATCGGCTGTATTTAATTTTTTGCCTATGGTTTTTTGCGAATTAAAGCAAATCAGAACCATCAATCAGATCAAAATCTTGCCTTTGGATACCCATGCTCCACATCTCTTCCAACCCCTAGGCGATCATCATCGTTGACCATGGCCACGCCCGCAGTGTTTGTGGAGGCTGATCCGGTGAACTGAATAACCAAGTGTTTTGTTAGCCGCCAACCGTTGCTTTTTACATTTTCCAACGATTAAGAAAACATGAATTCCGGTTAAAGGTGTCAAATAACGGGGGTGGAAAGAAATTTGTATTACTAAAAGTTATCCCGCTATTTTGTAAATATCCGCATTTTGCTGTCTCTAATAGCTAACTTATATTAAGTTCATTTGGGGTTCGGGGTTCCAGCAATTCCGGTTATATCCTGAAAAGCCTACCATAGACAGGCAGCAGACAGATGATAGCCAGCGGGTAGCATGTGTTCCCCAATTCACAGTGGAGGCATCCGGCGCCGGGCTTGTCGTACACTCGATGGAGTCGCCGTCGATGCCCTGGCCATTTTCAGAGTTGGACGGTTCATCAGTTGCTTCCGGGATAATCGTCGAGTGCTTGTTGTCGACCATGTCATCGTTAGAGGGCGGCTCGGTGACTGTCTGGAAATGCCTGACTAATTCGGATCAATCAGCGCCTGCTTCCCCCCTGCCTCACTCCTAGTGCTAGAGGGCCGTAAAATGAAACCAAGGGACAGACCTCGTGCTGGTAGCAGATGTCGGACTCTTGGCCAACAAACGAAACGTCCTTGTGTTCGGGGCGAGATGTAGAGGCTGTGGATGGCGGCTCGATAGGCTCCTGGAAATGTCTGGCTTATTCGCATCCGTAGGCGCCGGGCTTTTCAGGTGATCATGATCTGGTTCTTTCGCATTATCGGGGGGAGTTTATCGTGGGGGAACCGAACTTTTTTGTATCATTCTAAAAATGTTTAGTAGCTTAATAGAAAGTGTTTTAATAGTATCTTTAGTAAGGAAATAACTAAATTTAAACTCGAAAAGTTATCTAAAAAGTTCAAAGAAAGGCCAATATTGGTCAAAAATCGGCATTTTCGTCATTTGTATTTTTGTATAGTTTTCCCGTTTGGGAATGGTAAGAAAAATTAAACTAATTTACGAATTTACTAACTAAACGTATATGAAAAATTAAATCCTAAGAAAAAGGTTGGATTCCCGTCCCCCCAGCCCCCCCCCCCGATAATGCCAAAGAACCCATGATCAAAATAATTGGACTTGAAGGACGGAAAATCTGGGTAAAAACATTTGCAAGGCGGCGGACCGTGGCGACGAAACGACGGCCCTTTAACGCCGCTATAACTTTGGTTCTTTCGCATTATCGGGGAGAGAGGGGGTTATTGGAGGGGGGCATCCAGCAATGTTTTAGTAAATTGATTATGTCACCAAATTACTAAACATTTTAAGAACGAAACCTGATCGCTTTCTCACCTTGTCAAGGGCTTTCGAACGATATATCGGGTGTCCGCAAAAAATCCCCCTAGCCGGCCGCCACCCTGGACGATTTTTACGATTTAGATGTCTTTCGAAAGCTCTCTGTGAGGCGAGTCCAGCACGTCTCGCTGATTTTCGCAATGTCGGAATCTTTCGCTCGTTTTTCGGCATTTTTCATGCAAAAAGGACACGCTTTCTTGTTAAAAACACAATTTGACCGGTTTAAGCGCTGTCCAAGCTGTGTTTTCACTAACGGCTTTCAAAAAGCTGTTGTTGGGCTAGCAGAAAGGGCTTGACAATTCTTAAATTGCGATTTTTTTCAAAATCCTCTTGGTCAGAAAAACATCAGAAAATTCGCCCGTTTTGCAAATACATTAGTAAATGTCAGAAAATTCTCAAAATTTGAGGTTCGAAATGACGTGCTGGACTCACTTTTCCGAGAGCTTTCGATAGATACGTAAATCGTAACGGCCGGCTGGGGGAAGGGGGGGGGGCACTTTTTTAGACACCCTGAGTAATAGAAAATTGGGACAGATTATTAGACGAATTGCGATCAAGTCAAAAGGTTATGGGGTACCCATGCCCTACATCTCTTCCAATCTCCATCCGCTCATCATCGTTGACCATGGCCACGCCCGCAGTGTTTGTGGAGGCTGATCCGGTGAACTGAATAACCAAGTGTTTTGTTAGCCGCCAACCGTTACTTTTTACATTTTCCAACGATTAAGAAAACATGAATTCCGGTTAAAGGTGTCAAATAACGGGGGTGGAAAGAAATTTGTATTACTAAAAGTTATCCCGCTATTTTGTAAATATCCGCATTTTGCTGTCTCTAATAGCTAACTTATATTAAGTTCATTTGGGGTTCGGGGTTCCAGCAATTCCGGTTATATCCTGAAAAGCCTACCATAGACAGGCAGCAGACAGATGATAGCCAGCGGGTAGCATGTGTTCCCCAATTCACAGTGGAGGCATCCGGCGCCGGGCTTGTCGTACACTCGATGGAGTCGCCGTCGATGCCCTGGCCATTTTCAGAGTTGGACGGTTCATCAGTTGCTTCCGGGATAATCGTCGAGTGCTTGTTGTCGACCATGTCATCGTTAGAGGGCGGCTCGGTGACTGTCTGGAAATGCCTGACTAATTCGGATCAATCAGCGCCTGCTTCCCCCCTGCCTCACTCCTAGTGCTAGAGGGCCGTAAAATGAAACCAAGGGACAGACCTCGTGCTGGTAGCAGATGTCGGACTCGTGGCCAACAAACGAAACGTCCTTGTGTTCGGGGCGAGATGTAGAGGCTGTGGGTGGCGGCTCGATCGGCTCCTGGAAATGTCTGGCTTATTCGCATCCGTAAGCGCCGGGCTTTTCAGGTGATCATGATCTGGTTCTTTAGAAGTTTTTGTCACGTCTAGAAATCACTAAAAACTTTAAAAAAGGTGTCAATAGTGCTATTCGTAAAAACCCGTAAAAACATCAACATTTTGGTAAAAAATCGGACTGTTTTGGTCGCAAATTTTATATTTTGATAGTTTTCAATCAAAAGTTGTAACTTGTTGAAGTTTAGAAATAGTAAAAGGCGTTTAGAGGCAGTTCCACTATTTTCATTACAAAAAATTGGATCCTAAGAGAAGGGCTGGGCCCCCCCTTCCCGCGAAACCACGAAAGTGCCGTAACGTTTGCAATCGAGCTATCTAGCAAATATTGAAAACGAATTTGTAATCAGCAAGAAATTCCGCAGAACATAGGCTAAGTTCAATTGCGAAAAGCCATCTTGAAGTTGGGTGGTTCGCCGGTTAGCTCGATTTTGAATATAGATCTTCAAAGGCTTAAAAGGAGTCGAGAAAAGAAGAAAGAGAAAAAACGTCGGACTCTTGGTCATCTGGGGTCGGGAAATTGCACGAAAAATTGACGCAGTTTTGAAATGAGCGCGCCTCGGGAGAAAGCGACGCGGAAGCAAACTGTGTGGCTATCACCGACTTTGCAGCGTCGCAACCAGGCAAGTTTCCTGCGGATCCAGAAGATGCCACTCGTGCTTTTCGACGTCGGGCTTCCGGCCCCTTGCAACCGGCCTAGCTGATCTCGTCGCTGGTTCTGCTGGACTTGGAGCTGCAAAAAGGGCCTGCGACTGGTACAAACTATCCCCTACCGCGACAAGGGCCTGGTGGATGTCATGGCGGCGGCGACGGTGAAGATGACGAACCAACTCACACTGTAAATTGCAGATGGAATACTATATATACGTCATAGCTATCCCCTAGATCTTTCTAAAACAGTTCATGCGGCGTAGTGTTGTGCTTATAAAGCGTGTCCGAAAAAAAATTGGTTAGAGTGCAGTTTACCCCCCAGCCGGCACCCCAGCCGGCACCCAACTTTTGTATCTCGGCTCCCTGTTCCTCTACAGGGGGCGTGAAGTATACCAAAATGTTCGTCTTGCTCTCTCGAGCATTTTGGTATACTTTACACACCTGTAGATAAACAGCGAGCCCAGATACAGCAGATGGGTGCCGGGGGGCGAGGGAGTGAGGTAAGCTACATTAAGCCAAGAAGAAGGTCCGCAGTCAAGTCCGATTTTTTGATTTAGCTATCGAAAGCTCTCGAAAAGGCGAGAAAACAAGCGGGTTTGATTTTCCAAGAGTAAATCTCGTTCCCTGGATATTTAAGGTTTTCTAAAAAACCGGTAATTTTTCAACAGGAATTTCGCAATAAGCATGCAGATCTCGCATAAATCAGCAGTTTTCATGGTTTTTGGACGTAAAATCCTACAATGTTCCTCATTCTTGCCAGTTGCACTCGCTTGTGTGAGCGGTGGGGGGAAGGGGTCCGAAAGAACCGAGCTATCGGGAAGTCAAATTTTTCTTGCAAAGGCCGCATTCCAGCGCCCAAGGCCCGCGAAGCGGGTTTTTGGCGCTGGTTAGCGAATAAAAATGCATAATTAAGAAAATGAACCCTCGTTGTTTTCTCTCCTTTTCGAGAGCTTTCGATAGATATCTAAATCGTAAAAATCGGAATCGACTGCGGACCGTTAGGTCGGGAGTTTTTGTGGGACACCCTGTATTTGTAACTCGATAGAATAGCTGTCAGACATAACCGGTTTGGCATCCCCGCTAAGGTTTTGGTCCCTGAGAACGGCGCATAATCAAAAGAATAAAGCAGGATAGAATGTACCTGGATGATAAATGGAATGATGAACACATTCAAGGGGGCCGCCGCCAATGCCATGTAGCCGAGGGCCGCCTTGAACCCGTAGTCGTGGGGGTTCTGAATTGGCGTGGCAGGTACCAATGAAGCGAAGCTTGGGTGTTGCCCCACTATGCGGGGGGAAGATCTGTTTAGGCTCAAATCTAGAAGCCCCCAGCCGACTTTTCAACTTTTCTACCTTCCTGATTTTTATTTTTCGCTTATTTTTTCGACTGAACTGCAATGGGTGCTTCCTGGTTATCGGGGGTCGGTTATTTTAGCGGGGGTCGGTTGCGAACTTTTTTCTATAATATCGTGCGGCTCGGCTAATTAAAAACTGGCCGTTTTTATAGACTTGTGCGCCGTTTGAAATGGTTCTGGACTGTTAGCGGGGGAGGAGACATTAAGAAAAACGTCATAAAACATGTTGAAAAAAATTTCTTTTTCGGTCTAACGTATATGAAAATGGCTAAAACCGCGCTATAACCCTAGATTTCGTGACTATAGGATAAATATTTTTATAATTTTTGATTATCGGAAGCTACTAAAAATAGTATTAAAATAAACTACAATTTATCACTAGGCAGGTATAGGCTAAACGAAAAGAAGAAGCCAACCGACCCCCGCTAAAATAACCGACCCCCGATAACCAGGAAACACCCTGCAATGTAGTCTTACTAATTAGCCTACGGCGAACATTTTGGTATACTTTAGAGCTCGCTAGCACAAAGGGGCGCCGAGATACAAAAGTTGGTGCCGGCTGGGGGGTTTCTAGTAGTGTCGGACAGCACCCCAAGAAACGCACCCCGGGTGCCTTTGAAACGCACCCCAGGGGGTCTTTGAAACGCACCCGGGGTGCCTTTCAAACGCACCCCGGGGTCTGTTTGAAACGCACCCCGGGGTGCGTTTGAAAGACACCCCACTCCCTCGGGGGTGCATTAATAGTGTCCCCGGGTGCCTTTGAACGCACCCCGGGGTGCCTTTCGGGGTGCGTTTGGGGGTGTGTTTTGGGGTGCGTTTCGGCCCCACAGGCGGCAAAGCATAGCAAGGAAAGACGATAAATTAAGTATATTTGGCATAGGAATATTACAGATATGTTTTATATACAGAATTGATGCCATCCGACGTCTCCGCTTTCAGTAAGATATATTTGATAAGCCGTGTTGGAGTTTTAAACGATTTATGGTACGATTTTCATATTTTAACGGGGCTTAAAATGTTTTTGCTGATACTTTTGGGAAAAAGTATGGAAATTATTTACAGGATTTCCAAAAATGGAACAGATAACAATTAATAGTCGGTAACAGGAGTATGAAATACGGAAAAAATAGCATTTTGAAGGGTTTATAAGGTCTTATAAGGGTTTTTGCAATATTCCTATGCCAAATATACTTTATTTATCGGCTTTGTTGCTATTCTTTGCAACCTGTGGGGCCGAAACGCACCCCAAAACACACCCCCAAACGCACCCCGAAAGGCACCCCGGGGTGCGTTCAAAGGCACCCGGGGACACTATTAATGCACCCCCGAGGGAGTGGAGTGTCTTCAAACACACCCCGGGTGCGTTTCAAACAGACCGGGTGCGTGAAAGGCACCCGCGCGTTTCAAAGACCCCTGGGGTGCGTTTCAAGGCACCCGGGGTGCGTTTCTTGGGGTGCTGTCCGACACTAGTTTCTAGACTCTTACCCTTTTGTAAAAGCAGTTGACCCCCCAGCGTGAATCCGAGCCTTATTTTGATCAAGGTTGGTCATTTTGACCCGGACCAACCATAATTGCCTGGTTCGGGGGATATTCGGGGTGACTGAGAAACTATTGGATCCGGGGCTAATTTGAGTCGCTCCGGGCACGACTCGAGTCAAAAATGGCCAGGCCCGATTCTGAGCCGGAACGGCCCAGACAACCCTTACCATCGCCTGCATCACGTGACGACCAACGGAATATCTGAGGGGAGTTTAGACCCAGAACGCCTGTTGACCCTCAACTTTTTTTAAATACCAAGATTTGTATGTTAATTCCCATTTTCCGATTCCGATTCATTACCTAGGCTGCTAAATTTATGCAAATTTCAAATGTCAAACAAAATCCTTTAAAAAAACCTAGCCTACGCCAGCGCCTAAGCTAACAATAAGATGCCCAACCAAAGGGAGCCTTATTCATAGCCCTTATATGGGACGGGCCAGGTTCCCCATAGTCGGTATTGGACTATTCGCAGGGGAGGAGGGATTTTTGACCGGGTTTTTAGCTGCTAGAAAGTCATTTTTGCCCCGTAAACTTGCACGGCCCTATAACGTTCCGTCAAAAATCTTTGCAAAATGACGAAAAAATATCAATTTTTTTCGATTTACACAAAATGTTTAAAAGATTTTTGTCAGGCAAAATACCGGATTTGTATAACAGTTATTAAAGAAAAATTAGTTTTTGGCCCTGCGGGTGCATGGTTGCATTACAGCGAGTCCAAAAATCGGGAAAATAAAGTTGATTGAAGTGGAAAGGTCGAATCTCGGCTCGCTAGGGGATGTAGAGTTTTCAACGTAATTCAAAATACCGGAATTAGAAAACCATCCTACCTAATCGGCACGGTTAGGCATCCGTCAAGACTTGCATTTTTGGGTAAATATTGTGAAATTATGTGAAAGGAATGATCGATGGATTTTTATGGTGTATTTTATATTTATTTAAGTTAATTTGAATTATTTGAATTGTGCAGCTATGCATTATTATTCACCGCAAAGAGGGCATCGTTGTACCGTGATGGCGGTTCGGTCTCGTCGTCGGAGCTGAAAAAGTGATAAAGTTTGCTAGAGAACGTTACTGAAAAAGCATCAAGCCGGCCAAAAACGAACTTTGTCCAGTAGGAATTCTCGCCGTAGATCATTCGCGGGTGGTAGAGCACTGGGTCGGCCACATTATTGTCGGCCACCTCGTTTTCACTGGAAAATGAACACTATGAAGTCTGAGGGCGGCTCAGGTCTAGGCTTAGGTGTAGGCTTAGGTTTAGGCTTAGGCACGGGCTTAGGCTGAGGCTTAGGCTTCGCTCAGGCTTTGGCTTAAGCTTCGGCTTACGCGTAGGCTTAGGCTTAGCCCTCATGCTTACGCTTCTGACACACTCATGCTCCGGCGGAGGCTACGCGCGTCCCTAGCTCGTCTCCCGCGGTTTTTTACTGCTCCTGCTTAGCTTGCGCTTATGATTAGCGCTCATGCTTAGGCGTTTACTCACGTTCAACGCCGGCGATTACGCTGGATTGACGCATATGCTTCCTTCCATGCTTCGCCAATGCGTATGTATAGACGCAGGTCTAAACTTATGGTACGCTGGTGCTCATGCTCACGTTTATACCGATGCTACGCTCTTGCTCGTGCCCATACCTAGAATAATGCTATGCGTATGCTTAAGGCCCGCCCGAAGGATTTGAGCTTAGGGTGTAGGTTATTTGAGGATCTACCACTTATAAAACGTCTTTTAGCGCCGCACGTAGCTGCCGATACCTGGTATTAATCTCCTGGGAGAATCCGTCTCTTCCCAGCCCCTTCAAATTCAAATAAAAGGTTCCCAACTTACGTTTGCCAGTCCAACTCGCACTGCACGAGGGCCAGGGCCAGGAAAATTAGTATAATTTGGAAAACCCGCGAGATCATGGCGGCTACTGAGGATTTTTAGCGGCTCCAAAAAACGGCTGGGTTTCGAAGTGACGACCAGCCGTTTTCAGCGCCTGGAAATCGAGAGCAACACGGTCGCCTAATAACTTTGTGGGTCAAGGATATTTCAGTTTTCTCGCCCGTGCGGTGCCGGGGTTTTCTCAGCTGACCCAATTGCCGTATCGCGTAAACGGGCGAAAATCCCGGGAAAACGATACTATTCTAGTTGGTAGTTATTACTTTTGGTTTATCGTGTTTTAATGTAGGTTTTGTAAACTTTTTTGCAAAGTTAAACAAGTACGGCATATTCCGCGCTTACCGCCATGTATTATTCGGTGTGTATTAAAGGTCTCGACAAGAGATGACTACACTTTTGCGTTGCCAGCTAACTTTTCGTAAAAAGTTTCCGTCGCCGCGACACGCAACGCGTCTCGCCCTTCCCGCAACTGGTAAAGCTCCTTGAAAGGATAGGCCATGGATTCCATGGATTTTCCAACACCGCGACACGCAACGCGCCTCCAATTCCATTGCGTAACGGACTACTACCTACTGAATGGAATAAAAAAGCCAAAATCATAAACTTTGTGTCATCCGCGACCCGCAACGCGAGCCCCATTCGCGACGTAGGGGAGTACGGCGATTCACGGCCGATAGTAGTTCCAAGCATTGCGTGTCGTGACAGTTAGTCTATTCACTTGCCCAATTCGCGATACGACTCGCATCCGTATATCCGCGTACCCCTTTATCGCTCCCTCCCCTCGCCGAAACGCGCGCGACCTGGCCCATTGGCACTGGCCCAAAATCGTGCAAGTAGCCGTTTTTACCACCAAATAAAAACTAGTTTTAAGTATGAAAATGAAGTTTCTAGATTCTGTTCTTGACTATTTCGGGGGTTGCTGACTCGACTATCCGAAGCCGCAAAAACCTAAGCTCCAGCTCCTCTCCCCTTTGAGTTGAGTTCGGCTGCGGACAGAGACCACAACATGTTGATCACGTGTTCTACGGACACTATTTGCACACAAAAAACCTTTATTCCGAAACCAAAATCGTTTTGCACACGCATCGATGGGAAAGATGGGGTTGGAGAGCAGCCGTGGGGTGACGACGATCGATGTGGAATTTTCAGGTGAAATTCAGTTCATGGAATTAAAGGAACATGGAAGTCAGGTGAGGGTGAAGGCTATTTTTACTCTAGCGGTATTTTGTCGAATCCCGTAGACGGGTACCACTAATTTTTTAGGCGGAGGCTAGGAATCGGGGACTTTTTAAAGACGTTTCCTTAGCTGTCCAGAGAAAAATTCGGAATTCAAAGCTTGAATTGATTTTACGCATTAATGGAGGCGGCCGGCTTCTAATACGGTATTTTTGAAGTCCAATCAATCACCATGAAAATCAACAACTAGAAAAACATGCGACTGCGGAAGATGTTGGTCAACTCGTCGACGAGCGCCTCGTGGCGGTAGGAGACGCGAATGTCCGGCACGTTGGTGCGGTGGATGTCGTTGCCGAGAACGCCTTCCTCCTTGAAGTTGGGCCCCAGCCAGTGGATTTTCACCTTAAAATCCAGGATTTGTGATGCAGATCCATAACTTGCTGCCTTGCTGATCCCTTTAAGCCAAAAACCGCCCTTACCTTATCCTCAAACCCGCTCTGCAGCACCGAGTTCCTGGCCAGCTCGCACATGTCGCAGGAGGACAGCTTCCAGACCTGGGCGGCGATTGAGTACTCTTCCATCAGCGCTTCTTTGGTGTAGTGAAATTGGAGGGGATCGTCCGTAGAGAGCGAGACGTTCAGGCCCTAGAATACAAGAACTGGAGGTAGTTAATGATTTATATACCTTCTGCATAAACTCGTGCATCGGATTTCGCTGGTAGCTGACGAAGAGGGAGTTGTTGCTCAGCGGGGACATGGCGATTCCCATTTGGACGAGGTAGTAGAGGTATTGGAGCACGGGGACCTGAAAATGCTGGGTTTAGAGCGAGAGAGAGAGAGAGAGAGAGAGAGGGGCGAGGGAGCGAAAGATATTCTTACGACAAACCTTCTTCAACATCAACCCGTGAGCAATACTTTCAGCAGTCAAGAATCCAGTCACCAAATGGTTCACATGGCCGGCTTCTCCGCAGTGAGGGCGCAACGCGAACGTGTTCATACCACGAGATCTGAAAATTACGATTTACTGGCCCCCAATGCCCAAAAATTCGGATCCGGTAGCCGACACCAACCTGCGGAACGCGTTCAGCAACGACAGATTGGCGTACATGTAGTAGAGGTAGTAGTTGTACGGCGGGTTCTCTTTGTCGGTGTATTTTTCTGGGACCGGGGTGCGGATGTCGAACTGGAAATTGAGGGTTGGAGAGGGAGAGGGGAGAGAGGGGGGAGAGGGGGAGAGGGGGAGAGGGGAGAGGGAGAGGGAATGAGCCCTAGATGAACCTTACGTGTACAAATTCATGCTTGCTCTCATCGTCCACCGAGTCGATGCCGGAGACCTGTTGCAGGAATCGGTGAAGTTCCGGGTGGGAAGCTGGATCGTTGGTGACCTCGAACAGCGGCAAGAAGATGTTGTCGAGCAGTTCACCAAAGTTCTTCATGGAGCGCGTGCGGTAGATGTCGCTGGAATTGTTAGGTTTTAAATTTTAAACATAAAAATTTAGATCTTCTTTTGGGTGTGGGCAAACACAAAGAGCGAGAGAGAGCGCGAGAGAGAGGGGGGAGAGAGAGCGAGAGAAAGTCACTCACTAAAGTCTCGGAATCTGGATCAACCAGCGAGCATTCGTGCTCCAGACGTCGTGACTGATAGCCCAGCTCGCCAGCTTGTCCCACTCGTCCCGGCATCTACCGTAAATCGAGAGACGCGGCTCGGCCTGCTGATACTTTGACTCCTCAAGGTCGAAGAGCACCTCCTGGAAGGAATATCGATCATTAGATCTATTTACAGTTAAAATTCAATAAAATTAAGTAAACTCCAGTTACACTGACCTTGATCAGCTCGGCAAAATACTTGCCGCCGACGTGGTTGTCCGTCTTGATAAAGATCTCGCGGAGCCGCGATTCTCCAACCGGGTTGTATCTGGAGGAAAGGTGGATGAGTGAAAAAGGTAAAGGGTGAGAGAGAGGGCGAAAGAGCGAGAAAAGCTAGAAAAGACCTACTTTGCGTTGAACTTGTCGAATCTGTGGAACGTGTTGCGGTCGGCGTGCACGTCGAGCATGTCGACTGAGAGATCGTACGCATCGATACCCATACCCTCGAAAACTTCGCGCATCGTGACCGGCTTGCCGCCCTGGAAATGGAGGGTTAGAGGGAGCGAGTGAGAGAGAGAGAGACAGAGAGAGAAAGAGAGAAGCTCTTACCTCCATCAACACAATCGTCTTCCCGTCCGTCTTGATCTTCTTCTTGATGAAGCGGAGGAGGTGCTTTTGGTTCATCGAGGACGCGGCGTGGATGTGAGTGTCCACCTAAAGCAGGACATTTTCAAGGCGGTCATCAAACAAGAAAACTGCTCCAAAACCCACTCACTTTTCTGATATTGTAGAAATCGCGGTGGAAACGCATTTCTGTTCGTGCAGCTCGCGCAACTCGTTCATCAGCACGTGGGGGAGAACTTGTTCTGGAGGTAGGAGAGGCGACGGTAGCAGAAGGATTTCCTGAAAATCGCGGAAAATTCAGATGAAGGGCGTCTTAAAGGTTTCTTGCTGAGTCCCTCTTTTCTCTCTTTTATCGCCTCTATCTCTCTCTCTCACTCACTCTCTCTCTCTCACGCCAGCAACTCACATTGGCCCATTGACAATCATAGCTGTCAAGATCTCGGTGTCAAGCAGGAATTTCTCTTGCGAGATGTAGCAGTCGTCGAACTTGGTCTCGCGCGTTCCATCCGCGTGGTAGAAGTGTGTCTAGAAAAATGTCAAAACTGGACCGTTACATTATGATCAAAATTGAAGGGTTGATGAAGGCAAAAAATCGGGCCCCACCCAACCCCAATTTTTCTATTTTGGTCGCCTTTTGAGTACGGGGTGCCCCCAAAGATCCCTTCTCGCGAGCGAACCCCTGAGAAAACCTACGACTCATCCTTTCTCCTCAGCTCGTATTTTTTCCTCAAATTCCGGAAGCGGGTTGTAGAGACCCCAGTGGTCGGTCGGGGGCTCCGGCGGGTGGAAGGAGGTGTTGGCGGCTGGAAGAACACGGTAACCCCGGTTCTTGGCGGTTTGCCAAGATTTGGGAGCTCCAAGAGAGAAGATTTTTAGTGGTTTAAAGGAAAAGTGAAGGCAGAAAGCCATTGAAACGAATTTTAAACGTTCGAAACCCTCTCAGTTTGGGTTTTGCCATTTGTAAAATTTTTAAATTGGCTTTTTTTCAAAAAATTTCTAAAATTTTTGAAAGAGCTACTGACACAATTCCTGCCTTCCCAGACCTTTCCCAGACCATAGAAATTGGCCACGCCCAAATTCTTGGCAAACAGCCAAAAGCCTCCAAACAACCAATCCGTTCCAAAAACGCCGTATATTGTGAGAAAAATCGAGACCAGGAAATTTCCAGGAAATAAGATTATTTCGACAAATGGCGGAGGGAGATTCAAGGACCGCTGAACCCAAAATCCGCTCGACTTTGACTTCAACGGTCCTGTAGAATGGACGAAAAAGAGAAGAAGTTGGCATGCTGATGAGTGTGGGGTTTTCAAAAACCAAGTTTAACTCTTCACCTCGGTCTTTTTAAGCTTTTTGTAAGTGTCAAGCCTTGGGGTTTTTGGCCAAGCAAAGGATACGGTAGTTATATGATTGTTAATAACTTTTTGGGGATTATTCAGGTCAGGTTTTAGCGGGCTTGCAGCCATTGGGGTGCACGCGGTACCACCGGCTCGATGGTGCTTGCGGAAACGGCGCTCCTCTAGGTACGGATCGGTCTCCGTGCGCTGCCAAGGGACTAAAAGTTTTCAATGTTCGGTATCATACTGCTATATTTTCGGTATTTTAAAGGTGCTAGGAAGCACCAAGGTCGACTTTGCATATTCACTAGAGATTCGACAGCTACGAGATGCGTCAACTTACAACTGCTATATTTTATGGAGAAAAGCCATATCGGAGCGCGAGAAAGTCAGACTGAGAGCTAGAGCTAGAGAGAGAGCGAGAGACATAGAGAGAGATAGACGAGAAAGCGAACGCGAGAGCGGGAGAAAACGAGAGAACGAGCCCGACGGATAACGAGATCAGATGATAGGAGCGAGAGCGGCGCGCGGGAGAGCGTGAGGCGTGAGCGGGAGAGAGAAAGGGAAAGAGAGAGCGAGAGAAAGAATGAGAGCGACAGAACGCGAGAAAACGTGATCGGAAGAGCGAGAATCAGCTCGAGAACCAATTTTCTAGACCTAGTCGATCCCCAAGGGTCGATTCTGACGCTTCCTGGCCCCATTAAAAACCGAAAGTCTGGACAAATTTGATAAGTTTTTTAGTTCCGTGTTTATGGGCCTTTCCCCCTAACGCTTCACGATAATATTTTCAGTGCAAAGACTGTACACGAAAAAACAACTGTTTGGTGCCGTGGACGCGACTAAACAAAATAGGGTGCCACCCGCCGGGGGAATCGAAAAAGGTATCGAAATCCCGTGGGCGTGTTTGAAGAGAGATGAAATTCAGAAAAATGGAGGAGCATATATAAAAATATGAAAAGGAGAGAGACCATCGATATAATTCAAACTGCCCCAGAGAGGTAGATGGACCTACACAAATCAAGACCTGAAAATGGCGGTTTAATGGAGTATCGTGAATATAAAAGTAAAAGTTAATTTTTATGAGCTTTCAGTGTTCTTAAAAAATATAATACCAAAATTTCCCTAAAGTATGGTAAAGTAAACGCTTATTAATTTATGAGTACGAGTCAAGCCGAACTTACTGGATTCGGTGTTCTTCTTCCGGCACTTGGGCAAATTCTGCGGGTAGTCGCCCTTCAGGAAATTGGATACGGTGGTGGGGAAGAAGTTGCCAATGCGCCGCATATATTCCTCGCGATTTCTAGGGCCTTGATCAACTCCTTGGAGGCGACGTTGTGGTCTTCCAGAGGTACCTGGAAGAAATTTTCATCACTAGCTCATCACTGACATAAACTTTTCTATAAGACTACTCCTTACAATCAGCTAAATCGCCTAATTGCGAATTTATGTTATTTTTTTCAAGGGACCGCGAAGGCATAATCTATGGCACAAACATCCAGAAACTGCACAAAAATGTAATTTTCAGGTTCGCTCTCTCTCTCGCTCTCTCTCTCGCTCGCGCGCTCTCTCTCTATCTCGCTCTTTCTCCTTTCTCGCTCTTCTCTCTCACTCTCTCTCTCTCTCTCTCTCTCTCTCTCTCTTTCTATCTCTAAATCTATGTTTGTCCCTTCCATAAGAATCCGTTTCCCCGGTTTTTGAAAAATCAACATTAGACTACGGCGCTCGCAATGCCTTCTAAATTCGTAAATACGCTTCACTACTAATTACAGATTCAAACAAAGGGGTAAACTCCAATTTTTCAACTCACCCCGCTCAACTCCTCGCCCGTAATGGCCATCCTCTGATAGTTGACATCAATGGCATCGCGGAACGTGTGCATCTCGATCAGTTGCGGGGACTTGGCGCTAAATGAAGCCATGTAAATTTTGGAGGCCAATGGTTTTGAGTATTTTTTGGAGGGGCGGAGCCCCTGGATGAGTCATGCTACGTGCCAATCCCTCAAGCCATTTAGTCGGCCGGCCAGCTGGGCCATGTCTAGACCGGCCGAATGGCAAAGGGGCCGCTTTTTCACATTTTGTTTTTGCGAGCTTTCGATCCGATCAGATCGGAAATGCAGATTTTGGGTGAAGCTGAACCGTTTTTTGCTTTCAGGTACATTTTTTAATGTTTTTAAAGCACGATATGTACAATATAAAATCCCAAACGCTTCCTGATTTCCTGGTCCCTTCAAAAATTGCCTTGGAACCGATTAGCAGGTCCACCAACCAAAAATTTCCCTGCCAGTCTGTCTTGGCCACCGAAAACGGCAAGTTCATTCTGTTTTAAAGATTTTCCGGAATAAACTCTGCTAGCTTGCCCTGAAAACGAAGGCCAGCCTGTTTAAAAATCTTTTTTCTTACAAAAGCGCTGCTAGCTTACCTCTCAAACTAAGAACGAAGGAAAAGTGGGGTACGTTTTCAAACCTCCTAAAAATTCACTGTTAATTTGCGTATAAATTCAAGAAAAGTTCGTTAGCCTCTCTTTTAGCTATTTCCTTAAGAAACGCCGCTAGCGTGCCCTGAAAATGGGCTTAAGCCGCTCAAAAATCATTTCCCAAAGAATCTCGCTGGCCTGCCACCTGGTTAGAAAAAGTTTTGAACCAGTTATAGTAGGAGACTTGTAGTTACTTAAATCAGAAAATTTCTAAATGAATTCTGCTAGCTTGCCTTATTCAAAGGGCTGCGAATAGATGGGGTCAGGAGTCTAGATACGAAAGGACGTCCCTAAAGGACCTCTGCTAGCTTGCCTCAGCTGCGCCGTAGCAATCCAAAACACCGAAATTTAAAGAAAAAATACCCACCGTGGTGTCTCATCCTCCAGAAGAATTCCATTGGTCGATCGTGGGCTTAGGGTGCCCTCATTCATCGATGATTCGAGGCGAGCACTAAACTTTGAAATTTAGTGTCGAGGTATAGGTACGAAACCCAATTCACAACATCGCCATCAACGACTTTCCCACGGACTCCAGGTTTACAACAATTTTACGATAAAAAATGGTCGAAACCTGGTATGTTTTATACACTTTTCTACCTAAACAGCGCGGTGAGGGTGTGCTGTTTTTGGACGAATATTTTGACGCGACCATCGATATGGATGTCCATGGTCTGGAGGGGTCCTGTAGTTTGGAGTAGTAGCTTGGGAGGTAGGATTATTGTCGCATTTCTTAAGAGTGGTAGAACGATCAAAAAGTTTTAAGGATTCAAAAACACGTAAAAATAAGGTATTTTTCAGAAATTAAAAAATCGCAAAACGTATAAAACCGTAGAGTACCGTATTGTAAGGTGTACAGTTACGGAAAAAGCAAAATTTGTGAATCCAATTTGTATAAACATGAAAACAAATAGCTGCAGAACTTCCCAAATTCCAAAATTCTCCCACGGCGGGCTTCTTTGTTTTTGCGTTGGACACTTTTTCTCGAAAGGCTTGAGAAAAGCAAAAAGAAGCTCAGGAGCGCCCATTTCTGGACTTACAACTGAATTCATATCTAAATTCCCTTTTTTTTTTTTTTTACTAATTCCAAAAATTAAATTTTAATTTCTTCCCGGCCTTCCGAGTCCAGTGTTCTGTCCCAGCGCCTGCAAAACAAAATCAGGAGACAATCGGCCGGTTGAGAAAAATCCCTCCATCCCGGGACCGAAGAAGCCCCGCCGGATCTCCCATGACTCGCCTGCGTAAATCCGCCAGGGGAAAGGCGAGAGAATTTGGCTTAAGAAAGGGGGAAATCCTTGGCCAGGTTCTCGGCCCAGCTCTGCCTAGGAGGAATGGCGAAAATAATTTGCTCACTCGTCTCGCTCACCCGGGGGCCCATTTCTCAAAGCCGACAGAGCTGGCTTATCCCCGAGGCCTTTCGGTGCGCTACAATCATTTTGCCGGGGACGCGGATGGGGCATTGAATCGGAAAATCAAGATGAAGTTCGGAAGTTAGAGTGGAAGAGCGATTTTCAGATTTTTGCCAGGGTCCACCGAAGAACGAGAGAGACAGAGAGAGCGAGAGAGACAAAGAGTGACAGATAAAGAGCGAGAGGGAGGAAGGTGGAGAGAGGGGCCAAAAAGCTGCTTTAAAGCTTATTCAGCTACAAATCTATATAATTAAAACTCCCTAGCTAATGAAGGTACTAGCAAGGCAAAAGCTACCAGAATGGACAAGTTGTATTTTCAGTTCTGTCCGGTCCTCTCTAATATTTCCAACAAACAGATGATAAAAAGGCTTTTCCTGACCTAATAATGCGTTAAATTGCGGAATCTACGGCTTCGCTTGATTACTTTTGAGGCTTTTTTGTAGGAAAAGCAATAACTAAAACAAAGCCCAAAAATCCCAAATCACGACGCGCTCAGCTGTTCCTTAATGCTCTTTTAAACGTGCTAGACGTCATTTTTGGATAAATTCTACAGGACGAGCACGATGACCTTACAACACCAAAAACATAACCAAAGCTCCGAAAAACCCTCGCTCCACTTACTGGGCCGAGAATCGGCGCTCATGGTGCCGGTTGCTGAAATGCGACCGTCTACAGTCGATGCTGCATTAAAGGGACGGTGACAGCACGTGAGGGCAATTTACAAGGCGTGTATTTTTGGTTTCTTCTTTTCACGACTCTGCTTTTCGCAACGATTCCCCGCTCAGCTAGCCTTGTAAAATGGAAAGTTTACAATTGCGGCACCTGGCTTGCAAGGCTGTGAAGGGCTTGGCCCCGGCCTTATCTTTATAGCCTCAAAAGCATGGAAACTCAAATCCGCGCTGCACCTTTAGAAAATTTATGGGCGCGGAGGGGTCAAGGAGAGCAAAGTCGAGTTTTGTAGGGGCTAAAGAAGCTGGGAAAGCGCGGGATTGATCTCTCATTCGGCTAGATCTCGACAGCTACGTGACAATCAGAAAACGGGCGCTGCGGGAGGAAGGGAGGGCAGAGAGGGGTAAAAACATCTACGAAAATTGCGCATCTTTGGATTGCCGCGTAGCTATCGACGACACCCGGTCAAAGAGAGATCGATTCGCGCACCTCCTAGTCCCTTTAAAGCCGGAAAAATCCTTTTAAAAACCCACCTAGATCCTACGCGGATTGTCTTTATTTTGAGCCTATAGAGACCAGACCAGAATATCAAAACCCGATGCTTACCGATTCGACAGCTCCTTGACGATGTTATTTCGGCTTTCCAGGCTTTTCGATCGGCACGCCAGACATTTCGAAGGGCTGCGAAACGGCGTGGTTGGAGCCAGAGGGGCTTTGAGCGTATCTAAAGGGTTTGTTAGCTACCTTAAACTTTTTCAACTCCATATCGAAATTGCCGGAACTATCACAAAATCTCCTCAAAACACCAAAAACTCACCTTGAAAAGCTGCCGTCGTCGTCAAAAATCTCGCTGTCGACTTGGCCTAAAAATTTCAGATGTCAGGATTTAATTAAATAAGATGGAGGCCCAATTCTGACCATCTTAAGGGCCCCTTTTGTCGGCGGGCAAAAGCCCAATTTCAATGCGGGAATGAGAGGCTATTTCCCCCGTCTCTCCCTACCATTCTGATTCTCATTTTCGTCGAGCCGGTCCTCGTAAAGGTCTCCACGAGCCTCGGTCATAATTCAGGGCCAACGCAAAAATTCTGGACACGGCAGGATAACTGAGATAACTTAATTTAAATTGAAAATAGAGATGATATTAAATCGAGGCGAAATTATACAAAAAGAGAAAATTTAGAGCCAAAAACAACTCAAAGCTTTCATTTTTGCATGAAAAATCCACCACATTTAAAAAGATTTCATATTACCTAACTACAAAAAAAAGAAGATAAATTAAATTAATCAAGTGTTTTAGTTATGAAGCAATTCAGAGTGGAGTAAACCAGATTGAAAAATTAGTAACATGATGTTTAAGGAAAATCCGCGTAGCAGTCTCTTACTGCTAAATTTTCTCAAAATGATCGCAATTTCATGATTTTAAAGTTAAGGCAATTTTAGACAATTGCTCCACAATATTTTTGAAGTATTTACCAACCCAAGCCAACTTCTAGATAACAAAGCCTGCAAAAAGCAAGCCAATAAAGTCATAAAAAGTTAAAAGAGTTAAAACAACTTTTAAAAACGTTAACAGCTTTTTAAAGTATCCATAAATCTCAAAAACCTGTGAGCTACCTCCAGACAACTAAAACTCAATTTCGACCCCCGTCTGCATCCAGGCTACCGGCCATCAGGTTTGTAAAACTGTCAAAAGCCCTGGCTGACAGATGTAATCCCTCAAAGGACTACGGTGGCAATCGTGATAAGGTAGCAGACACCGCGGCCTGAACTCGCCCTGGAGACGTCCATTTCAAGATTAAAAAGCTGACTAAACGCCTGGGGAATAGCCCTGGGAGCTGAAGAAGCGGCAGCCGAAAAATGCTGAACTCGGGCCCGGAACTACCCTCCCGCGCCAGACACCACATGATAAGCACGCGGGCCTGGCGGCGGCAGCCGTAAATTTCGACAGGGTGAGAAAATTACAAGAATTTGGAGCCTGAACTTTTTTAAATACTGGGATTTTTAAGAAATATGCTAGACTGCAGCCGAAGCCACAGAGGTCCATCGGGCCAAAAAATTCTCGGCTCGGGATCCGGCTAGGTTAAAATTCGCCTAAACCCCTCTGATCTTGTTTTTCAACTTAGGTATGGTATAACACGTAAAAGGTACTATAAAATATCAGAATCCCGTTACACTATGCTAGCCTAGAAAACACCCAGATTTCGCAAATCGATTTTAAAACAGCGGAACATGCGGAGCACAACTTGAAAGCTTTTGTAATATTTATAACATTGATCGTAATACGGTAGTGAGCAATATATTGCAGAACTGATCAAGAGCTTCTTTCCTGGAAAATTAAAGCTAACCCCAAGCCCATACTGAGAAGAAGGCGCCAATGACGGCAGCGGCCATAAAAATCTGCAAGAAAATTGGGGTTTTAGGTGTTGCGCAACTTCCGGCGGCTACAATCTACAGGCAGCTAAAAGTTTCCACGTCCGGAAGGTCTCGTGAAATTTCGAAGTATAGGCTACTTCCAAAAGAACAGCCCCCTACTTGTGTTCTGCTCCTCCCCGAACCTCCCGAAACGAACAAGGAAAAGCGGAAAACAGCACCCGAAAAGCCTCATTTTTCGGCTTGTCAAGCTGTATCTTTCTCAAGCTCAAAATCGTTAAAAAATTAATCTATAAAGAAACAAACTTTCAAAACAATGAATTTTGTCAGAAACAAACAAAGCGATGAAGTTAGCGCTACGATCGTATGAAATCTCCCATGAAACGTTCAGAAAACTTGTGTTCTGCTCCTCCCCGGAACCGCCCGAAACGAACGAGGAAAAGCGGAAAAACACCACCGGAAAAGCCTCATTTTCTGGGCTTTTCGGGACGCAGGCCTCCGGCTCGAGCTCGTCCCCCCTGCAATTAGCCGTGCTTCAGAATTTCCCCTCCACCCGCGGAGACCATCCCATAAATCTTCTCAAACCAAAAAAAATCGCGAAGCAGCGGCGGGATTAAGATTCTTCGCCCCGGACGGCAAATTGGCGGGTTTTGTTTTTGGGGCGACAGGGAAAGACGAAGAAAAGAAAAATAGAGGTGCGGACGAATCCAATTTGCCATTTTCGCGGTGGGACCCAGGAGCCGAACGGCCATTGGAGGGGGCATCTAATAACTGGCGGTTATGATGGGATTGATGGGTTTTGCTGGGCGGGAGGTGCAAAGGCACGCGGATGGGATTAACAAAACTAAAAAGTTTTATCCCGACCAGAAAGCTATTTTTTAAAGAGACCAGGAAGTCGGGGAATCGACCCATGCGGTTTACTAGGTCTCGGCAGCTATGCGACAAGCCAAGTAAGACAAAACAGTTCTTCGGTAGCCCTTTACCAACAACGCGAAGGTAAGTTTCTGGGCGTCATTTTCAGCGCTACGTAGCTTTCGAGACCTAGTCAGCGGCAAGGGGTGATTCTGGCACTTCCTAGACCCTTGAGGGCATTAGAACGCCATAAACCATCCCAAAAATCATCATAAAATTTTTTATGGTCAAACGCAAAACATAGATTTTCTGAAACGTTACATAGGTTATTTTTCTCGACTACGCGATGCCTTCAAGAAATTAAAACTCCAAATACCACCCTATGCCAAAAATATTCGTTTCAATAACTGTCAAAAGCTCAAAACTTCTGAAAAGCTAGAGAAGGCTCTACAGCCAAACTGGAAAAACTTCAAAATGTTGCTATAGCTACTTATGTGAGATTCGAAACTGCAAAAACCGAAAAATATAAAAGATATATTCGCTGAAAAAACCCAAAATATTGATAGAAAATGGTGAACGCCAAACGACAATAGCACTCCGAGGAGAACCCAGCTACAAACCTCGGATAATAAGCAGCGAGTGGTTATGGCCTAGAAATTGGGGGCTGTTAGCTGAAGATAGGCCAAGCAATAGTGACGTCTAGGCTTCAATGGTCCTTGAATGCCATTTTCTGCAAAACGCTAGCAATTGTTTGACTTCAATGTCCCTTTAAGCGTTCACCATACTCATTGAGGCGCTTTTTGCCCAAATCCTGTAGATTTTCGATTTTCCTGTACCTTTAAAGCAAGGGAGGCAATTTTTTTTGGCAAATTCGCATATTTTTTGGGGTCGGCCCCTTTAAGCCGCAAGATAATCAAAAACTTACGCAGCGTACATTTCCTCAACTGCTCGACAGTGTCATTCTTGGCCATGTTGAGTGTCAACGGCCTTGGCGGGGAGGTGGCGGCAGCTTGGATAGGGTCTGCTTCTGACTAAAATCGAGAATGATCGATGAATTAAAGGTATATGGAAAGCCTAACCAATGCGGTCTTACATTCTGTGACGTTAAGCTAGAAAAGATTGTTTGGGAAATGGAAGGGATGCTCAACTCATCATTTTTGTAGAAAAAAGCAAAATCGCTCGCTCCGTCTCACACTCTATCTCTCGCCATCTATATGTCTCTCTATTTTTCTCTCCTTCTCTCTCTCGCTCTCTCTCAGTCTCGCTTCATTTCTCTCTATCTATAAGAAAGGCTGGGTATAGGCTGATAATGCCGATTCACAGAATGCCGATTTACAGAATGCCGATTTACAGAATGCCGATTTTACAAAATGCCGATTTACAGAATGCCGATTTTACAAAATGCCGATTTACAGAATGCCGATTTACAGAATGCCGATTTACAAAATGCCGATTTACAGAATGCCGATTTACAGAATGCCGATTTACAGAATGTTTTACATAATTAGGGTTCTACATCCAAAAATTCAAACCGGATCCCCAGAAAAAAAATATTATCCCACTTGGACATGGCGAAACCGCCAGACCTGAGGCCTAGCTTTACTATTTTCTTTTTTTTCAGCGAAACCATAGTTCCACGTTACCAAGCGGCCGCCCATGGGTTACTAAAATAAATTCTTCTATAAAACAGTTTTCCCTTCCTCTCGCCGTGAGGCCGGGCATTCTCAACCAAGAAATAATAATGAATCGTCGAGTTTTGTCGCTGCGGCTGAGCACGTTGGAAGTGTCGGCGACCAGCGAAAAAGGCATGCGTTAAAACTTGTCGCGAGGCTTGCGATTTCCTCGTAATCCCCGACCCCTACGCGGAAAAAAGAATTCGTAAAAATTCGCATGTCCAAGTCGGCTAATGTTTTTTTGGGGGATCCGGTCTGTATTTTTGATGTAAAACCCAAATTATGTAGAATCGGCATTCTGTAAATCGGCATTCTGTAAATCGGTATTCTGTGAATCGGCATTCTGTAAATCGGCATTTTGTAAAATCGGCATTCTGTAAATCGGCATTTTGTAAAATCGGCATTCTGTAAATCGGCATTCTGTAAATCGGCATTCTGTGAATCGGCATTATGTAGGTAAATCGAAAGGCTGATCCCTCACCAAGTCCTCATCCTCTGGGTTGTAGAATGCGACCCCGTTGCTGTCCTGCGTTTCCTTGGGCATGCTGAAAATTCGGGATTACCTTAATAATCAGAACTTTTAGGATTTTGTAGGAGCATAGTAGGTACGAGCCAAAGAATCGTCTACGTGCCATCAACAAAACAATCGTCTTTGGAAAGCGAGAGGCTGGGGGGTCGCAAAGGTTAATCGAGTTAGCCGAGCCGTGAATGGGAAAACAGATTGCTGAATAGAACCAGTGGAAAATAGACGTTTAAAGAATAAAAAAAAACAATTTGATAAATTGGAATTAACTTTAAGAAAAGATATGCTAAAAATAGTAAGCTGGTTGGTGGGTTTCTAGCCTACAGTCAGTGACGAAGCGAAGCGTGAGCCAAGCCCCAGTCAAGCCTAAGCCAAGCTTAAGCCAACTAAGCCAAGCCTAAGCCAAGCCTAAGCCAAGCCTAAGCCAAGCCTAAGCCAAGCCTAAGCCAAGCCTAAGCCAAGCCTAAGCCAAGCCTAAGCCAAGCCTAAGCCAAGCCTAAGCCAAGCCTAAGCCAAGCCTAAGCCAAGCCTAAGCCAAGCCTAAGCCAAGCCTAAGCCAAGCCTAAGCCAAGCCTAAGCCAACCCTAAGCCAAGCCTAAGCCAAGCCTAAGCCAAGCCTAAAGCCAAGCCTAAGCCAAGCCTAAGCCAAGCCTAAGCCAAGCCTAAGCCAAGCCTAAGCCAAGCCTAAGCCAAGCCTAAGCCAAGCCTAAGCCAAGCCTAAGCCAAGCCTAAGCCAAGCCTAAGCCAAGCCTAAGCCAAGCCTAAGCCAAGCCTAAGCCAAGCCTAAGCCAAGCCTAAGCCAAGCCTAAGCCAAGCCTAAGCCAAGCCTAAGCCAAGCCTAAGCCAAGCCTAAGCCAAGCCTAAGCCAATTCCTGGCTTAAACATTTAAAAATATCAAAAGAACCGAAAACATCCAAAAACGCCGTTTTCCCTTGGAGTTCGATCAATTAATAATCATTAAAAAGTGCCTAATTGCTCTCGAAGAAAATCCCTAGACAAAACAAAAACTGGGTGCTCGGTTTTTTCCAGAAAATGACCAGACAACTGGCCGATGCAGGGGGGATTGCCTCGAGTTTCGAAAAGAGGGAAGGGGCCCGCCCCGAGTGACACCGAAGCAGAAAAAAGAAGATGGGAAAAGCCGTAGGGACACATCATCCTCCTAGCGAGGAGGACTTATTTTTAGGTGTTGACCCTGGATTTTTTCGGAAATGTCTCAAAAATACTGTTATGGGGCGTCGAACTTAAATTTTAGTTTAAAAATCATTTTCTTAGCGTTTCAAAAATCACGAATGAAAGTTTAAAAATGGAACGCCGTCTATTACATATCCCTAATGATAACTTTACAGAAAAAAACATAATTACAAGCCCGAAAAGCTAGGGATAGGCATTTATATTGTAAAAAGAACTTTATAACTACAAATCATCCATTTTAAGCCAAGCAAACGTGTTTTTAGCTGCGGTCAAGATTATGATTTTAGAATTGAGCTTTATAAGTCAATTTAGTATCTTAAATCTGAGAAATATAACAAAAATAGCATATATACAAGGCCGAAAAGCACCACGTTCGCCGTCTGGAAGCCCCGCCGCTTTTATTAGGCTGTAAAAACGGAGAGGAAGCGATTTACAAGCCCGGGCAGGCCTTAGAAATGGTGATAAGGGTTTGTCGGATGGGGAAATGGAAAGTTTAGCGCTCCTTTAAAGGGCTGGTGAAGGAAAGATCTATAAAAATAAGCTGGAAATGCCAAAATCTACCCTTCCTTAACTAGGGGTTCAGAGTATCTCTCCATCTCTCTCACTCGATCGCTCTCGCATTCGCTGTCTATCTTTCGCTTTTTTCTCAATCTCTCTCTCTCTCACACTCTCTCCGTCTCACTCTCTCACTCTATCTGTCTGCCTTCCTAAACTTAACAAGCGTCATTTGGAGCGTTGTGTAGCTGCCTCGGCCTAATTCAGAGAAATGGAAATTTCGGCTTGCCATTCCCTTTAAAATGGAAGCAAGAGCCGACTAAAATAATTGCAGTTCAGCGTCTTAACGTTATTTCATCAACGCTCATAAATAGACACCCTCACCCCAATCTAGCAAATGGGCCGAATCGTGTGCCGTGCGGCCAGCCGGCCAACGCAAAAACCTTATTTGCGCCCCGTGAGAAATGCGATCGTCAAACATCCCGGCGATTTCATTTTTCGCCCAACGACAGACAGACACGAATACTCGCAGAGGGTTACTCTCGCTGGAGGATTCGAAAAAGAGCGGCAAATAGCATCTACACATCAATATTTGGCCACAATTTAAGAGGTTGGACGGTAGGGGGAATTCCCTGATCGTTTGATCAGGCAGCGCGCATCAACATAATTCAGAATTTGTGGTGAGGGCACGAAAAGTTCAACGGAATCAATGGGGCGCTACCAAAAACGCTGAAAACCACGCAAAAAATGTGAATAGTCAGCGTAATATTTCTAGGCCCTAATAAAAATATTAGGGATTTTTGAAGTTAAATCAACCTAAACTGATGCGAATTAGGCCTTGAAACGGGTTACATTAATTAATTTTTGCGATATCAGCTGAACCCTCGCTCAAAAACGTGTGAGATCCCGATGGAAAATGCCTAAGATAGCGTAAACATTCGAACCAAGAAAAAGAGACAGAGAGAGAGAGAGAGAGAGAGAGAGAGAGAGAGAGAGAAAAGAGAGAGAGCGAGAGAGAGAAATAGTCATAAACAAGTTTAGACGCGACAATCCAAGGGAGCGAAAAGTTACGCGCTGAAAGGTTGTTTTCCTGATCCTTCGATCGCTCCCACAACTCGGTTGTTGGGCAAATGATTGGGCAGTTTTTTTAGAACGAGAAAGTCTTTTGAACCTGGAAAACTTATCCAAATCTGTTGATTAATATTTTATTGTCTTCTCATTTGTTGCCTTAAAAGGCTGGCGATACTTATGAACCGAAAATACTACACTACATGCTCTAAATCCAAGGCCGTGGCCCATTCGCAAAGAGAAAAGCGTTTGAAGAGCAGAAATTAACAAAAAGCAGTAAAACAGTTCCGTTTTTTTCGTATAAACACGTCAAGGCGAGCTTGTGGGGCTTATGTTGCTTACGAACACCGAGACAACATTCCACATCCAAAGGGTTCTAAAAATGGCCAGCTACCCCGTTACCGCTAGAAGCAACGGCAGGTAAACACATCAATTTGCTGCGACGAATCGCGTGTTTATTGCGGTGTGCAGCTAGGCGAGGCTAAAGTGCACCTCATTGCCACATGACCCCTGGCGGCGGCAGAGGGTCTACATGGCCAATCGGCTAGGTGAGCATGAGCTTGGATTTAGCGTTTAAAATCAGTACCATGAATGTTCAAAAATCATTAAGATCTCGAGTTTAAGCCTTTTGAACAATCCGACCACTATTTAAATATACCAAAACCTCGAACGTGTGTCCCAATAATAAAGCAAAAACTTTCCAATTTGGAATTTCAACAAAAATTTAGACATTCAGGCCTTAGAGTTTGTACTTTCAGCTCAAATTCTCCGGTATAATCCCTGATAATCCGTGAAGTCACGAATAATCAAGGAAGAGGCGCCCAAATCCGGTTGTTTACTACTCGGAAGAGGCCTTGGGTCCGCGGTAAAATAGCAAAATATCGATTGTCACGTTTTTAAGGCATAAAAATATGGACTTGAGAGAGAAAGAGAGAGAGCGAGTGAGAGAGAGAGAGAGCGAGCGAGAGCACGAGTGAACGAGAGTGGCGCACAAACCAGAGTGAGCCAGAATTACCGAGGAAGAGTCGCCGTGTGCCTAGTGAGAAAGACGGACTTGAGAAGTAGGAGCTAAAGCAGAAAATGTGCTTTTATAAGAAAAATATAGGCTAAAAAGGAGAGGATATAAGTTAGAGAACACATCAAGGAAGTCGAAGCGCAAGTAAAAGAATCTAGAGAAAAAATTCAAAATTTTATTTCAGAAAAAGGATAGAGAAATAGAGTAGAAACTAGCCCAGAAAAGTTGAAGCAAACATTCGAAGCGTCTACAGCACAACTACCACAGTAATCACTCACTCGATCGTAATCTCCGGCATGCTCGCTTTGGAGGCGAGTCCTTGAAAGAGATCCGCGTCACTGTCAGGTTTAGCCATGATTTAGAAAATGAAATATGGGCTTTCAGAGCTTATCCCGTGTTCACAGCCTCAATTCCGAATATCCAGCCAGCCAAGCAAAAATATAATCGATTCCGTATGGTGGGTGATTTTCTCCCCTCTTGCCAGCCAGCCCAAGCGGTCAGCTTTCTCCGCCCGCAAAATGCGAGTGGCGCCTCCACGGTCGAAAAAAGCCGCAAAAAGTTGACCGGGCCTGGGAAAGGGTCAGCTGGTCGAAACTTAGACGGGGATTAGTATTCAGTAAATACTGCTTATGGAATACTATCGCTTTAACGTCAATACTAGTGAGGTAGCTTACGAAAAAACGCTGTTTTGACGAATTTTTGAGCGGAAACTAGCAATTTCCAGCCGGGGGTCCATAATTACCCCCGCGGTGGCTCAAATTTGCCCCCTTTTGTTGGGGAGGAAGGAGCGGGGTAATTAGGAAAGCCGCGTAGATTTTTAGACGCAAAAATGAAAATCGCAATTTCTTCTAATGGTAACCTAACAAATTTAAAACTTTTGATAGCGTTTCTAGAACTCAAAATCTTGAAAAACAGGTTGTTTTTGAGCTTGATCAAAGGAGGATGAAGCGGAAAAGGCATTAATGGTCAAAGTAAGCAGCTAGCGAAAAAATCATATATATTTTCTATTTACTAATTACATAATTTACAGCCCTACAGCCAAAAATCCCGAAAACAAGCCGTTTTGCGCTCGGGGGCTGCTCGCATATTCCGGCATTCTTTTCGTCGTACCCTGCGGGCCCCGCTTTTGCACGACGATTTCGCATATATCGATCGTTGGCCACTCCCTGCCACACTCGTGCCCCCCTTGCCCGTGGCTTTTCTCCCCAAAAATAGCGGCCCAGAGCGGGAGGCGGCAGGCGGCAGACGCCAAATTTTGGGCGTTGGTTGCGAAAAATTGCAACGACGGTGTAAACAACTAGGAAATGTATTGAAAAGGTGTAAAAAGCTTTTACGAACGCAGAAAATGGAAACCGGAAGCTGTTGATAGGGATGGGACGCACTAACTACGTAGGGATGGGGGCAGGTGTTAAAAGTTGCAAAGACGGTGTAAACAACTAGGAAAGGTATTCAAAAACGAGCAAAATGTTTCTTTATAACTTCAACTGAATGCCCGAAGTTGCCGTTAAGCTGGAAAGAAGTAGCCGACAAAGTCAAATTGGATACGCGCACGAATGTCAGGGCTTTACAACGCCGCTCTCACGCCTAGGGAATTCATTGAAAAACGGGCAAAAAAGCTACCCTGAGCCTAACCAGAAGCCATTGTTACACGGCTCGTCAAAGGGCACTTTAGTACGGGGCGCGCCTATTGCCCCCCGGGCTCTGTGGGGCGGCGCCGCCCATATTAAAAACTCAGAAAATCTACGTTTTCTTCTAATAACTTTTTTATACTATTTCGAATCTTCGGGAGGCGTGAGAACTTGGTAGAGAAAAACATTCTCTATCGAACTGTGTAGGTCGCGACGAGAGTTCTCACCAAAATAAGGAGATTTTGAAGCCTAAAGTTCCCGAAATTTTCAACCCAGCTGGTTTATGGCTAGTTTTTCACCCTGTTGTGATCAAAATACGATCAAATCTCGCTAAAATGTTGGGTGGAGTCACGATACATGCTTTTGAATTAATAACGGAAGTTCTGGAAAAGATAAACCCTTGTCCGATGGCGATCATAGTGTTTCGATGCTAGCACCTTAGCCGGAAGGATTTGCGCCTTGTATGGCGGTTTTCTAGGTAGCTATATCAATTGCATGTAGTATTAATCGAAAAACTTCTGAATTATGAGCCTCCTATTAACTAAATAGCTAAAATAGTCGGGCACTTGGACGCTTGGAGCAGGAGCTTCGTTGCTGTAGCCCAATTTTGCTAAATAAACGCATCAGAGCGTACTTATTATTAAGCCAAAAAATTGTAATAACAACCCTGAAACCTGATTATGGAGCGAAATTGCAGCTGTTTTTTGGATTCACTTCTTTAAAACGCGCTCTGGCCGCTTTGCTATTTTCTGGGGCTTTTTCGCGAGTATGATTTAATTTTGTGTTACCGTAGACGAACGGTGATACATTGGAGCAAAAAGCAAAACAAAGATTACCAAAATGGGGGAGTTCGCGCCGCAGAGGAACCGAACCCGGGGGGTGTGGGGGGCTCGCCTGGGAGGTTAACCCACTATCCGCGGGGAGAGGGCCCGCACCCCCCAGAAGTGCGTTTTTGGTAAGGCCTGACGAGCCGTGGTTAGGATTGAAATGAGACATTGTTACGCCTGACAAGCCCGTTTTTGCGCACATATCAGAAACTCGCAGCGCCTCCGATAGGGAAATTATAAGCTCACTAAAAAACGCGTACGTCTTGGTTTTGCATCTGACCAAAACATCACCTTTTCGGCCTTCGTAAACTATGCAGCTTCTTGCCGTCGAGAAGACGAGAAGTACGTGCTTGGAAATCTACTAACAATCAGAAAAGACAATCACGCTTATTTCATTTTCACGACACTACGACAAACCCAGATTCGAAGCGCTGTAAAGCTCAAGATCGGAAGACTTTTCTACACCTTTCTATCCCCAGATGAGGCTCAACTACTAACTGCACGTTTCCGCCCTGTTTTCTTTTTCCAGAAACCCCAAAAACATTTTTCCGCTGACTTTTCTAATTTCCGGACTTGCACCGGTTCACACCCCCGGAGATAACCGCCTTTATGAAGCGCCCCGTTTGATGACCCGACGCGCTGTGGGGCGCGTAAAAATTCATAAAAGACGTAGCGGCCCATATAAAATCACCCCCGGCGCTTCGATAAGGGCTTACGGCGCCGCGGGTTCTCGATCCGTCAGCCAGACGATCCGCGCTTTTTGGTTATGTGGCTGCAGCTTGTGTCGGGCAAGTTTTAAGATTTTCGAAGGATAGAAAATTGTAAGGGTTGAAAAAACTGTTAATCTAAAAACTTATATACGCTGATAATCTGCTGTTTTAGGCGCTTTTACAGGTGCCGTGATTGTGTACGGGCTCGTGAAATTCTTGCTCACGCTACGGCTACCAAATTCTCATCGCAAGACGGTAGCAATTTCTGGTGAGTGATATAAACTAAATTTAACAACGTTATTCCTTTAAAAAGTTCAAGATCATTTTAAATTACATAATTTTAGGTTGCGACTCGGGCTTCGGCCAGCTACTCGCGCTACGTCTGAATTCTCTAGGCGTACCGGTTGTTGCTGGGTGTTATTCGGAAAAGGTATGGGGGGAAAACGGTCAAGATTTTCTCAATGTTAAAAACTAACAAAACCAGTATTTAGGGCGAAGAAGAGCTCAAAAACAAAGCTTCAAAAGCCAAAATCCTCTACACCCATCCGCTAGATGTTACGGACAATGAGAGCGTGACGAAATTCTCGGATTTCGTTCGAAAAGTGACCGGGGGACGAGGTAGGGAGCAGCAGGGATGGAAAATGAAAACAAAAACCACTTTAGGACTTTGGGGAATCGTGTGCAACGCAGGAATCCTGGGAAATTCGGGTCCGGACGATTGGCTGAATGCTGAGGATTACATGAAGGTATCTAAACCGTTAAAACGTAACGATAGGGTCAAAATATATATTGTAAGGATTGACGCTTCTAGACTTTCGTCCAATCAAAACAATTCTAGACAATGTCGGTCAACACGTTCGGCGTGATGCGCTTCGTACAACACCTTAGGAAATTTGTCAAGGTATTTTTTCTAAAGAATTAACGCCATCTAGAATTCATAATTTCTATAAAAAAAACTTCTAGATTCAACAAGGCCGCATCGTCATTGTTTCTCCATTTCTGGCCGTACTCCTAGACCTACAGTTGGGCCGTATTGCGTTTCCAAACATGCCGTCGAAGCTTACGCTGATGTTATCAGGTAAAGATAAATCCGTAGTAAAAGGTAGTTGCTGACGGTCTGATTTCATACCTAGACCTAAAACCTCTACTTCTTAACGCCTGGACCTCGGGGAAACCCCCCGCCATCACTCGTCTTGAACTCAAGAATTCCAGACACGAGATGTGCGACTTTGGCGTGTCAGTGCATATTTTGGAGCCCGGCTTCTTCACCACGAACATCACTCAGACGGCCACCAACGATTTGGATAGGGTTCGTGATGGATTGGGTGATTAAATTAAAGTGAAGCGGAAGTCAGGTTTAGGGAGAAAAATGGAAGGGCAACGGAAATTAGATAAAACAAAAAGAAGGTAATGCTTTAAATAAAGGGGGTTTGTTCGGAATCAAAAATTGTACAAAAAAAACGTTAGTAAGAGACAAGAAAATCTAGAAAAGCTACAAGAAATGTTAAATGTGAATTAGTTCTAGGTGTGGACCCGCCTTGACGACGAGCAGCGCCACGAATTTGGCCGCGATTTCTTTGACAAATGTGAGTTGCGCAACGGTTGGGCAATACTATGCGGCTAGACAAGGATCAAGGAGGGGCAGATCAAGGTCCAAACCATGGCTGTCTGAAAATAAAGAAAATAGCTAACCCTATTCAAATACAACTTTTCAGACAAACACTCACGCTTCTCACGTCTTTCCCACTGCTCGGATGACTTGGACTCCGTTGTCGATGCTTATGAACACGCTCTGCTTGCGAGGTAAAGCTTCTCTAATATGGGCAGGCTCGGTCAAAAAGTTTTGACCTTAAACCGAGTTTTAAAACTTGAGACCCACCAAATTGAATTGGGGAACTAGAGCCATTTTGTGCCACTATAAAATCGGAATACTTTTAAAATATGGTTTTGTAGGTTCCCAAAAACCCGCTACTGGGTCGGCTGGGACACGATCTTCTTCTACATCCCGCTGGCCACCCTTCCGACTTTCCTGCAAGACTGGGTCATCCACTTCCAGCGCCGTGGCCGCCCGATGCCGCTGGCCACCAAAACACCCTAGAGAACGTCAGCTAGCTCTAACAAAGCAGTACTTTTGTGCTTTGACTGATAGTGCAAAACTGTTTTTTAGCATTTTATAGATCATCGAAATTCTAGCCAGCCCAAAAATCAAAAAAAAACACAGACATATAACGCTCAACGCCACGGAAGTTAAAATTATCACAGCCCGAGAAATAAGTGACAAACGCAAAATTCCCAAATTGAGAGATAAGTTAGATCACAGTAGAATGCAGAGAAATTGAGAAGAAGCCCAAGTAAAAAAAAACCGCTATTCGAATTTGACATCCCGCATCACTTCACGCTCCTCGTAGACATGTTGGCGGGTAAATGCGCTGGCGGTCGAGACGGCGAAACCAATTCCTAAAAAACCATGGAAAGCGGAAAGGGTAAACGCATACCTAGAAAACAGGCAAAAATAACATCATTGAGATGGTGTCGATTGTCGGTGATTCGGGTGACCAAGATGAAGATCGTCCTGAAAGTTACCAACTATGTCAATAAATGTAACCGTGTAGAAGGAGCTTACCATGCATTCACGAGGGCCGCCATCACACTGCAGGCCACTTGAATTGGTCTCGAATACCCCGCCCGCGCCATTCTTACAAAGTAAATTGTAAGGTAGACGGCGTGGAACGAGGCGGCGGCAGCATGGCCGGATGGGAATGATGACCTTGCGTTCCGGATTTTTTCGAGATCGCCCGTGCAATAAGCGTCTAGAATTACATAAATCAGAATACTTCGAAAAACTCACTAGGGACATACGCGTTCGACACAGAGCAGTCAATTTTCGACCAGTCCGGAGCGCAGACTTCGAGGAAATACGGCCGCAGGGTTCCGAATGTGGCTTTGAAGAACTGGAAGCAAAACGTTTCGAAAAACAAGAAGTTCTCACCTCCATGACCGAGATGCAAGCGCTGAAGCCGATGATGAACTTCAGATATTCGAACGTCGTTGCCCGAATCCATTTTGGGACGAGATTTATCCCCTTAGCTGTTTGGAAGAGGAGAGCTTCGGTGATAGCTAAAAAGAAGTAATTAGGTAGCTTGCGAGGCATTACCGATCAAAACCGGGGCGGAACCAATGATCCCGATGATCAGCAACTTTGGCGATACTGTGTTTGGCTTCCACGCCATTCGTATTGATTCGTCGTTGCAGTAGAAGCCAAGTTCTCTGGGATTGAGGAAGTAGCTATAGAACTTTTGTTCGTTATGGAGAACCGAACTAACCCTTTGAAAGTCTTGTACACCGTGTAGCCGACGACGGTCGATAGGGCAACATCAACGGCAGCTAGCAGTCCACCGACGAGGAGGACGTTCTTCCATTCCCGGAACGCTTCTTCACGACTCAAATAACGTCCGGAAAACGTTATTCGCCGAAAAGGCATGCTGAAACGGTAAATACACCTACATAGCTTCGTATTCCGATTAACTTCCACGCTTTGATCTCATTAAAAGTATTGGATAAACTGAAATATCTATGCGTATACAGCCAGTTCCGGTTAAACATCTTTATTAAAAACATCACGAATTCACCACCAACCCAAAAAAGACCCGATGCTAGAAGAGAAAGAAAAAGCGAGAAGAGAGCATGGAGAGCAAAACACCCGAATAAGACAGAGAAGCTCAACATGGCTAGCGACCAGAAACAAAGACTATGATCAACGAAAAGAGTTATACAGGCTTATGTGCACGGTGATAGTAACGCTGGGCGAGGCAATTGATAATCGACAGCGAGAAGAGGAGGATGGCACCGGTAACGATCAGCTGAAGACCGTTCTGCACCCAGCCGGCCTTCTAAAAGCAGAATTATAAAAGTAAAAAGTTTCGTAAATTTACCGGGCTTTGGTGGTCCTTATTGCCGTGAAGGGCCTGGCGCTGCTGGGTCAGGAATTCCTTGAAGGGCTCGCGCAACTAAAATCATATTTTGAAAAGCGGGAATCCAAAAAACCTTATGCCCGATGCGAGGGATTTGGGCTACAACTTGGAGAAGTCGATCGGCGTAGTGCTCGGAGAAGGCGACGATGACGAACAGCATCTGGACGTGCATCTTGATGATTGACTTGCCGATGAGGGTGGCGGTGAAGAAGGACCAGAACGGGACGAGGAAGTGGCCTGAAAAATATCTGCTTCCTTACTCAACTAATATTTTCAATGGAGTACACCATAATTTTCCGAAATTTACCGCAAGTGATCCCCGCCAGATCGAAAAGCGGATTCGGGATCGAAGCAAACAGCAGGATCCCCGGGAAGCCGACCTGCGTCACCGTCGCCTCGATCCAAAGCTTCACGCGATCAGTAAAGGTCTGAAGAATTTTTTTATGAAAATAGATAAAATATTACTATTTGCTTCTTGGCCTTCCCACGCAGCGCGCGCTTCCACGCCTTGTAATCTTCATCATCCGGCTCTTGCCCTCCTAGACGCGCAGCGCGAGCCATGAAGTAAGGCGGCAGTTCGCCAAGGGCCGTCCCGATTCCCCAGAGTAGAGCCTCCACCCGGACCTAATTATAATCTTTTTCTGAGCACGTCAAAAAATCACCTTTGAAACAATTGCCCAGAGGTTCACCGCGGAGCTGGCACGCTGGTCGGGGCAGACGATGCTAAAACATCGCTTATTAAAACACACGATAAAAAATTTGTTACCTTTCAGGATATGGCGGTTCGGGGAAGTTGAGACTTTCGCATTCGTAGGCCGCCAGCGTAACTGCCGCGATGTGAGGGCCCTGCAAAACTCACTAAAACAGAATCATAATTTATACCAAGTACAAAATGAAGGTGTGCAGCCCGGAGCCGAGCCCTATTGAGGAGAGAACGCCAAGCCCGACCCACCACAGCCACCTAAAACAAATTATACGAAAAAATTTTACTCCAACCATAACAGCTTCTTCTCAGCAAATTGAACGTAGGGCTGATGATCGCCCGGCAGCAAATAGATGTAGTAGCTGACCGCTGACAGGATCGATAGTAAGAAGAGAAAGAGCTTCGATCGGGCCATCCTAAAATACCAAAATCAATTGGAAAAAGTGTGCTTACAATCGCAAAAATTCGGTGCCCAGGTGAACGAGTTCAAGAACGGCGTAGTAGAGGGTTGAAAGTGGACGTTGCCAGATGACCATCCCCTCGCATTCCATAAGATGCAACGTCATTGCCGATGGCTCGCGCTTCATATTCTTTGGCTCTGGCTTGAGTGGAGGGCTAAAAAACAATTCCACACTAAGTAAGTAAGCGACCTGTCCTTTACAATCTTCCCGGCCGCCGCCTTCTGTAACACTGTCCGCGTATTCGACGACATTTTCGTCGCGGCCACCTTGCGGCGGGGCATTGCACTAAAAACGATTCACAAAAGCCGAAAAGGTTGTTTCAGAATGACGAATAATAACGGTTAGGAGCGGGACGGTAATCGAGAACCCATTTATTGTACAGAAATGTCAAGCAAAAATCAATGGCAATGCTAGCAGAAAAACAGAGAAATTGGATAGCTACAAGCCGTGAAAGAAAAAAGATGCTAAACCAGAGATCGGTACATAAATGCGCGGAAAGAGTGGAAAGTACAAGGTATAACAGATGTGATTTAGAAGAGAACCGGAATATTTTCGATGGCTTGCAGAATTGTTCGGACTCGCGTGGGCTTGTCGGAAGTTTCGTCAGGCTTCTCGTCAATCTCTTCAACCTGCGCGGTCTCAGCAGCTTCTCTTTGCTTGCGCTTGTTCGCCTAAAATTGCCTTAAAGCAAAAAAAAAAAAACCCGATGAAACATACCTGAATTTTCTTCATCCTAAAAAACTCTTCCCGTTCCATCTCGTCGAGCTCGGTGACGATATAGCTGAGCGTGTTTTCGAGCCGCGGGATGATCACATGCTGGATGGCGTTCACTCGTCGATTTGTTATCTGAATTGGAATGTAAAAGTGACATATATGTCCTTGGTTTGCGCATAGCTTTTCGAAATTAGAATTTCAAATCGAATTCCGGAAGTGAAAAACGGGAAAAAAAGTTCAAAGCCGCGCAGCACCTTGATGGCCTCGTCGAGCTTCACGAAGGAAGTCTGCAGCCCCGCCAACTCGACCAGCAGCTCGATGACTTGCGCATATTTCGCTTTGGCCGCCGAAATCTTCGCTCCACCTAATCCAAAAATTCTGGCAAATCAAAAATTGTTACCTTTTTCCGAGCCCGGTGAGCATGTAACGGTCAGCGCCCGACTTCTCGACCTTGCACACCGGAAGCACGACGCCGACGACGTTCTCGGTGGTGTATTGGACCCGGTAGCGGGCCGTGGCGACGTTTTGGATGACCGTCTGTGAGAAGTCGCCGGCTCGATTCTTGGCTTCGGCGAGGGAGAAGCGCGCATCATCCATTACATCACCGTAAACGGCCATCTTTGCCTAAAAAGGAAATGATCGAAGAACCTTCAAAATACAGCCAAAATTCAAAAAAATTACCTCCACAATCTGCCGAAGCACCTCGCGGAAACGCAGATTCAGCGCGTCCGACTTCTTCTTCAGCAGCGAGTGGCCCTTGTGCGCTCCTTTCAGTCGTGTTGTCATCAATGTCTGGGCCCTAAAAATCAAGTTGTTGAAAATTTCGGAGGCTTACATGCGCGACGGGAAGACAGCAATCCGGTCCTTGCTACCGGTCGACATTGCGCTGATTCGGATTACCTAAAATGAGTTTGTATTAATTGAGGAAAAGTGGGAAAGATCGAGAAAATTGTGTTGTTTTCTGTTGAAAAAATGCGTTTGAAGAAAAACAAAATTCGGCTGGGAGAAGCTACGCACTTTCCTATCGACGCTTTTCGTAATGTGTATAACGCGTACCGCCAAAATGAATAAACCTAAATTTATTTATTTCCTAGCTAAAAATCTGAAAAAAAGCCCCTAAAATCACAACCGATGATGGCAAAAATGCTTGTGGCAATGGCTATGGCAATTCGAGCGGGTAAGGGAAGGCACGAGGTAACATTGAGCAAGGTGGGCGAACAAAGACAGAAAAGCATGAAATACTATATAAAAAAGTAAAAAAAAACGGGCTGTATCTAATTCTTGGAGTAAAAAATGACTAAAACGAAAGTGGCAATCGGCAAAGCTAAGCAAGTGTGACGCGCTGCCCAGCTTTAAATTCCGCGATTTGCTCTCGCTTGTCTTTCGGCCGCGATTCTTCGAACGTTGCCAGGATATCGTCCATCGTGATTGGGGTATCTTCCCCTAAAGCTCATAGTTTTGCCTATTTGTTCTTGATGATTAGTTAGAATATTTCTACTTTAGTTACTTTCTATGTACCTGGGGTTTTTCTGCTCGCCAAGAAATGAGCGTTTAGCATCCAGGCATTCAAGTCGGCGCCCGTCCAGCTGTCGCTCATTTCGGCTAGCTTTTTCAAATTGAATTCGCCCTGGCGTGCAATTTTCTTTAGAACGATTTCCAGGATTTCTTCGCGGTCTTCCTAAAATCATTTTTTGCTCGAATATTTGTAGTTGTATTTATATTTTTTTTTTTATCTAGCATCTATGATTATCAATTCTGCTTTCCCCTGACTAGTATCAAGAACTTAGTGTTTCTGTGCGTTTCTTACCTCACTCGGCGCATCACACACCAATTTGTGGTCAAAACGCCCCGGTCTCAACAGCGCCGGGTCGATCAGATCGACTCGCGATGTGCAGCCAAGCACGAAAACGCCTGAAAAGGGCTTCGTAGACTAGTTTAGTGGAATTTTCTGCGCTTTAAATAAGGTACTTTTCGATGAGCTCACCATTCAGCCCCTCGGCTCCATCCATCTCTGTCAGTAGTTGATTCACAACACGGTCCGTGACTCCGGTACTATCAGCTCCTCTTCTAGGGGCCAATGAGTCGAGCTCATCAAATAGCAGAACACAAGGAGCACTGGCTCGGGCTCTAGAATAGATTCAGATGTACTCTTCCAAAATTTTAGGCGATTATAAGGACATTTTTAGAAGCTACCTTGCAAAAGCGTTTCGCACATTCTCCTCGCTGCTGCCGATGTATTTTGATAGCAGTTCGGGGCCCTAACGTAACTTTTTTTTTCATATTTTGCAAGCTTACCTTGATAAAAATTGTCTGGAATTTAGTATGGGCGGCAAAGGCCTTTGCCAAAATCGTTTTTCCGCATCCGGACGGCCCGCAAAGTAGCACGCCGCGTCCCATTCTCACGCCACATCTCGCGAATAGATTTGGGTACTAAAAATCATATATTTTTTTAATTAAAATAAACAGCATATGAAATTTGTAATTCCCACCATCCCCGGCCAGAGTAAGAGCTCCTCCAACGTCTTCTTCTGCTCCTTCATTCCGCCGACTTCATCAAGTCGGATCTCCACTTGCGTCTCCAATTGATTCGTGCTCAACGGTCTTGAATTTTCAAGCCCGTTTTCCAAGTCGGCTTCATTGCAGAGTTTGGCACCTAGAAGATAGGCTAATTTGGGATTTCAAAACGAAAGAAAACGTGCTCTAGGCGGTTCTAAATCGTCTTTTTGAAGGTTTTTGAGGCCGACACCAAAGATGGTTTTTATCCTTTTGTGAATCTTATTAAAACGGGATAATTTTTGTTGAAGCTGAATTCGAATAGCCACTACTTCCGATTTTCCTTGAATTTTTTATCTCGATTTTTCGAAGCGGTTAAAGCGGAAGTCCTTTCAACGTTCAAGCCCCACTTTGCGGCGCTATTTCCGAGTTTTTCGATTCAGTGACCTTTTATCTCTTAAAAAATCTTGATTTTGGCCCTGTATTTTTCTAGCATTGTACCCAGCGCGTGGAAAATCCGGGAAACCTCTGAAAACTAAGGAATAGAAATAGGGTATTTACAAGAAAATTTCTGCACCTCTTATCGCTGTAGCGATCTGTACCCGACGGGCGAGGCGCTCGAGCTCGGCCACCGTGAATCCCTCCGTTTTCTTGGCCACGCCCTCCAAGGGCACCTCCGAGTGGAGGAAAGCCGATAGTACCTCGAGACGATCATTCTGCGATGAGTATTATAATTTAGTTTTTTTTTCGTCGTTGGCTAGTTTTGCAGCTCTCTTCTTTCAACTTGAGGCTGTGGTTTTTAGCATTTTTGGGAAACTGGTTCGAGTGGGTAGAGAGAGAGAGAGAGAGAGAGAGAGAGAGAGAGAGAGACAGAGAGAGAACGGTTCTGATGGTTTTCCGGGCCTGGAGACCTAACTTTTGCTTACCAGCCTGGTGGGGCCAAAATTACAACTTTTAAAATTTCCTATGCTTTTGTATGACGTTGTACTAATCAAAGTCTGCTAGAAACACTATAAAAATAGGCTATAAAATGCGAGGCTCGCTAGCTCCCCCTCCCCCCGTTAACAGATAAAAACCGAGAGGAGGACGTCGAAAACTTGTTTTCGAAGATCTCGTTATCATTGCTGTTATTGTAATTACAATCCAAGTTCTTTCTATTTTTTACTGCCTTTTCAAGTCCGAATCCCCAAAGCTTTTTTCCTCATTTTCCACATCCCTCCTACTTACACCCTCGCCCCACCTTTCAAAATGACACCCGACGATGCCAAAGTGTGCCATCTGGGAAAAAGACAGCCGGGCGAATTTTGCGAGGTGAGCGGCTCGAACCTGTTCCCCTCTTCTCCTCCCTTCAGCCCCCCGACTCGACTGCCCGCTACAACCACCATTCCTCCAATTAAATCCACCACACAGCAGCGACCAGCCGCTGCCCATCGGCATACAACTAGAAAGAAGACAATCCCAAAAACCCACAGCTGACTGCTCGGGGTATTCGAATTCTATAGTTCTCGGGAAGCTTGGCGATTCTTAGGGCTTCAAGTAGCTGTAATTATACCTCGTTGCTACCTCGTCTTTGGCATATTTGGGGGCAGCAGCACTTCAAAATATCGAAATGGTCAAGGTGTACAGTGGAGCGCAACGTTGTCCAAACAGCAGTACGCTGCGATACCCAGCACACGTTAATCTGTGCGCTCCCTGTATTTTCAGCGATACTTTGGACTTTTGGCCTGTTACTTTTCTTTAACGGGTTACAATGCATACATATTAAAGATGGGTACGATACGCTCCTCCGCACGCTTTTTTGGCGTTTTCGTAAGTTACTTTCACTTTAAGACATTTTTCCAAGAAAACTGAGTTTCTTAACGTGTCTTTGGCTTCGATACTGAAGCGCATTACGATTCTGTACAATATCCGTTCCCGGCGGCACTTTTTTGGGCGTTCACCGACTTTTTCTATGGCAACTGTTTCGGAGTCGTTCCCATAGTAACAAAATGCGAACAACTCCTCGTGTGCAGAAGGCTACAAGTATTTCCCGCAAAAAAAACTTGACAAATATTCAGCTCAATGCCCAATTTGCCGCCCGATTTTAACCCCGAGAATGGGGCCAGTTTAGCCTTGAACCAGCCGAACCCCCGCGACAGCCCCCCAGAGATCAGCGCAACGTTGCATAGGCGGCTGTGCTGACGGAGCATAGCCGAATCTTTTTTCCTAGCTCCTTCTATTTCGTTTGTCACTTTGTTAAAAGTTTAGACAAGGAACGGTGCGTGGCGTACCATATCTTATGGTAGTCTAATGTAATTTTTATCTATTGCCGCATTCGCGGTGAATTTGTAATTTTATGCTCGTTAAAGATAAGATAGATAGAAAGATAATTGATACGATCCTTTTATTACGCTTAGCTTTTTCCATATTTTAATAGTCTTAAATTAATCCGCCACGTGTTCCTATTCCTAATTCGAGCGGATCAGGCGTGACCTTGCGGCGACTGGTCCCATCCAGCTAGTCGCCACCCTCTTCTACGCCCCGTCTAGACTCCAGACTCAGTACTTCCCGTTCTTACTAGAGCAGCTTACGAGGGATATTTATATACTAAAATAACTCTAGAAAAACTAGCGCCTCCGCAAAAAAATTACCAATTTTTGGATCGGATTTTCAGAATTTTAGACATTCAGAAATTGGTTTTGTCTTATAAGGTCCTACCGATAAAAAATTAAGACATTATTACTGCCCTGAAATTTTTGATTCTAGACTTAAAGGTATATCTTCAATCGTTGAACCTGCGCTTAGAGCCGAAACTAACCTAGCTCGATTTGATATTCGAAAAAAGAGATTTTTGTACGTTTAAAAATCCCCCCCTCTTCCAAAAGCCTGAATTTCAACTTAAAAAATGCTAAATTTCTCACGGCCTGCCCATAATAGTGCGCCAATATCGCCTGGTGTACCGGGTGGCCCGAAACGATTGCCTGCAGGGCTCCGAAACGGGGTCACATCGCTCGCTACGCGCCACCCCCTCAATCTCGTGCACTACCTTTCATTCTGGATCTCTCTCTCCCCCTCTCTCTCTCTCTCGCTCTCTCTCTCTCTCTCGCTCTCGCTCAGTCTACAACCCCCTAAAAGTGTTGAGCTGATTCGTTTTCGCCACCCCTCGGATTTACACAGGGGATCAGCCTAAGCTGGACGGATAAAGGCATTTTCTAAGTGACCCGACAACCTATTTTTCTATCTGTATCACACATTAATTCATCATTTTTCTAATAAATACGATGCCTACTATAATGTTTTTTGTATTTTAGAATGACAAAGGGTCCGGCGAATCCATTTGGGCATCCGCTTTCTAAAGAGGCGAAAAGTTTGGTGAACGACGTGCGACTAAAGCTGTCGCAGCCGATTCATCCGAAGGTTTGAATTTATGGAATTTATAGTTTGAGTTATAAGGTTAATAACCAGCTATAAATATTTCCATTTTAATTTTCTGGCATTTTCAGCTTTTCTATAAAGGGGAAAGCTACTTAATAATTTTAAAGATACGAACTGAGGAGCTTCTCAGCCCATTTTTCTAGTTCGACACCGACTTCAACGTCTACCGCTTTGTCCTGGCCGCCGAGAGGCATCACAAAAAAGAAAAGGACATTGTCGACGCGGCCGCAAAGGCCTTGAACAATCACCTACGTTTTCGAAAAGCATTAGGCCTGGTAATTCCTAGCCTACAAACTACACCATCTACTACTCTTTTAGGACACGGAAGAGGTTGTCTCTTTCGATGAGAACCCAATCTTCACCAAGCGCCTAATGCCAAAAGGCGAGCTGCTGGATGTCACGGATTCGAGTAATCGCTTGTTGTGGTATATTGACTACGCCTCGATTACGGTGGAGGTAAGTTAATTTTGTAAAAATTGTTTTATAGCTGAATGGTAGTGCGCTGGGTTTTGGGGCGGAGACCGCGGGTTCGAGCCCCGCCAAGCTATTTTATAATTTTTGCCTCAAAAACTATGCAAGTAATTCTCGATTTTTTTAGTCAATCGCGCACACCATCCCCAGCTCGTTCACCTGCAAATGTCAGTTCTGGCAATTTGAGCAAATGTTGCGAAAAGTCATGGCGCACGTAAGTTCTCTCTCTCTATCTTTCGCTCTCTCTCTCTCTCGCTCGCTCCCTTAACTTCTGGCATTTTAGGAAGAAAAAACGGGCAAGTTCAGCTCGTTGCGCCACATTATCGACCTGAGCGGCTACGACTTGAACCCGTTTACGATGCTGTTCCTAAGCAGCGGAACGATGGCCTATTACACACAGCTTTTCCACTTTGAGCACTACCCGGAGCTGGTAGGTTTTTGATCTGATTAGGGCATGAAAATAGGGGCCTTAGCTTGACTTCACGCGTCCTTTAAACCACCGCAATTGTACGAAAATGCTACGAATTTTAGGTCTCCCCCTGCGAAACGGTGAACATCCCCAGCTGGGTCCATATGCCGTATCGGTTAATCAAGGGCATGATGCCAGCCGGGTTCACCGACCGCTTCAAGCTGTACGATAAAAAGTTTTTGGACATTCTGCAAGAAGAGATCAACATTAAGCATATTCCGACGACGTTGGGTGGAGAGAATCAGGTAGGTATATGCGAGCGCGGGGAAGAAACAAAAATCAAGAGAGAGAGAGAGAGAGAGAGAGAGAGAGAGAGAGAGAGAGGAGAGAGGGAGAGAAACTGAGAGATAACCCCAGAAACGGTCAATTATGTAAAAATTTAGGACATCCGTTGCATCCCAGCCCTCAAGGTCCCAGAAGAAAAATACTGGCAACCTTCGGAAAACGAGATCATCGACCTCCTCGAGAATTTCCACGTCCCCGCCAGGAGATCCCGCCACTTTACAGTCGACGCAAAAGAGGGGGAGACTCTCTCGTGGTACTACCGTACCGATGGGGACCTTATATTTTGGCGTGTTTTCCAGGTGGGGCCCAGATATGGAAATTCGAGACCTACGGTTTTAGCCCCATCACGAGACAAAGCCCGAGGATAAGGAGTTGGACCACGAAAACTTCGAGCTTGTCTACCCGTTCATAAAAGTGGCGGCGAAACTGGTGCACGAGCGGGATTCTGTTAAATGCAATAAGGAGGGGAGGTAGGTATAAGAGAGAGAGAAGGTTAGAGAGAGAGAGAGAGAGAGAGAGAGAGGGGGAGAGAACGGTAATCATCATAACCTTCAGATACTTCTTCCTATTTTGCAACAAACACGCCTGGCTATCGAAAAAGACGGCCGATGTCATGCTGACGGTCACAAATTCCGATGGAGAAAGAAGAAGAGTTTTTGCCGATGGAACACATGCCAAGTGCGATTTGGTTGTGTAGAAACGGGAGGGGTGAATAAATTTTTAAGAATAGCTGGTGAAAAAGCACATCGAAAATAAATAATATAGCATAGATACATTTGGGAGCGCAATTAAAGTTAACTCACCAAGGCCAAGTCCTCGAACTCCAGCGTCAGCCCGAAAAACCGATTCCCTCCGCCGCCCACCAGAATTGGGTGTATCGAGTGCAGGGATTTGGCCGTGAAGACGAATTGGAAGTGTGCGTTGGATTTTAGGAGGTCACGGAGCACTAAAAAGACGGTTTTATTTGCAGAAAAGTGGCTGCCCTGATCCCGAAAATGTTCTTGCAATCCAAAACTCGCCCAGAAATCAGTTTGTCTTTAAGTTGGACGCAATAACTCGCAATTTGCAACCGAATTTTAAGCTTGAACAAAGAGTTATTGTAAGGGGACCAGGCAAGCTAGCAGTGATGATTTAGGAATTTTCTTGTCATTAGTACATTGGTGGCGGTGGAATTCTTGACTTCACAACACCTTTAAAACCCAAAACCTACTCATAAAGATCCTCTCGATCTGTAGCATTCTGTGCTCCTCATCTCGATTTGACTGAGCAATCAAATCGATTCCATCCAGAAATATTACAGCTGGGCTCCTGACCGTACACAGCTCCATCTCGTGCAACAACTGCTTTTTCAGCTTCTCGGCTTGCTTCCCTGAAAGTTGGACGTTTTACAGCAACCCGAATTGCTTGCCTTTCAACGCCGAGCACTCTAGTCGCCTGGAAAGATAGCTTTCGAAGATTTGTGCCAACTTTTTGGCTAAAATCTCGAGCAGTGAGCTTCTACCGGAGCCGGAAGGGCCGAGGATCAGCAAGTGGTTAGAGGTAAAATCCTAAAAATGGCTTTTACTACTGTAGTCTTGAAAATACCGCTTGGCCACCCCATCCAAAGTTCAGCCACAATTCGATGGAGTCGATGAGCTTGTTTTGAAAAACTAAAAATCGTATACTTTCGAGGAATTGTTGAAAACCTGAACTCCTTCAACTTGTGCGCGACGTCGAATCCAAAATTGACCACTCGTTCTTCTGAAGGGGTAGAATGTTCGGTGGAGGATTTCTGAATAGGCAAATTTATGGATTTTAAAAATGAACTACTGGTTCAATGGTTTTTTACAAAACTTTAATACCTGAAAAATTGGCCTTGTATTTTCCGTGACGCGGAAGCAAATATTCTTGCCGTTATGCGGATTTTCCGATAACTCTTTGAAGGTGGGGCAGAGCAGGATCGGCAGGGTAGTACCTTAAAATAATAAATCCTTCCTATACTTATTCATTAACAAATAATCAGTACTAATAAATACCTTAACTTACGATCGAAACCCGAAACTGCATACCTTCAACCACTACTCGAACCGTTGTACCCTGATTTCCAAGTAACAGAGCCGAATCTGAAGCCAATTTCCTGACTTCACGATCCAGGCTAATGCATAGCGGATCGCCGAGCTCGACTAGACGATCCGATACCTAAAATAGCGTTTTGGGGCAAGCAAGCCTGAAAATCGAACCCCTGGGCTAGGTGTCGACCGCTACGTGTGGTGCACAAAAATGAAAAAGTGTTACGCGGTTTTTGGTCGTAATTGCGTAATCTGGTGCAATCTGTCTAGACCTAGCACAGAAATTGACAGAATTGACACCGACCTCTTCGTCCAAACAGACTTCAACTTCACGTAGGCTCTTCACTCGGGTTCTCTCCAATCTCTTCACAACTAACCGTTCATACTCGGAAAGAGGGGAACCGGACGAGACCAGGCAATGACCGGGGTGGCCCTAAAAACCGGGTTGAGCAGATGATACAATATGCATATTTTGATCGTGATTTTGATAGGCATAGAATCCATACCTTTAACAACTCCTGCAATTTGCCAAGCTTTTCGTCCTGCTGAGCGGAATGGGAGACCAAATGAAGCCTAGCAAACACTTCCGGGCAAGCCGGACGTAGTGTACTGATTGCAACGTAGACAATGCTACCGTAGGGCTGTGTTTTGTCTAAAAATTATGACGTCTACATGTTTTTTTTCGGAGCCCTACCTGGGTTCATGGTATAGACGTCATTAAACTGTAGCAGATCTACGAGACCTCTGTGGAGATCTTTTGGGAGGACGCGGAGTTTTTGAGGAGGATTCACGTCTTCGAAATAGTCCTCAGAAGCCGCAGAGGTTCCGGCTTTGTCGAGTTCGGTGAAAATCTGGAAGTCGGACGTTCTCTCTCTCGCTCTCTCTCACTCTCTCTCTCTCTCTCGCTCGCCCTTTCACTCTCGCTCACACTCTCACCTTGCTAAATTGCGCCTCGCTGTTCCGTTTCTCCTCCCTGTTGGACTGCTTGATGAAGCCGTTGGCAACTGGAGCTACGTGGAGCTCCGTATGGGCAGAAAGGAGCACCGGCTTCGACGTTTCCGGATGGATTTTGACTAGAATGAACAAATTGAGAAGAAACAATCTCTTATCAGCTGTCACACTATCTTTAAAACGATATCCAAATAAACACATTTCATTTAAATTATATTACGAACGAATTACCAATTTTATGAGTGAAAAACGCATTCCAGAATTGTTAGGATCCTTTGATCCCCTCTAACGGGACTGTAACCTACAATCTACAACTTTGTACAGCGTTACGGTACCCCAGAAGAAGGCTGAAGTATGTAAACGGGTAATATCAGCGCTATAAAATCAATAAAGTTTAAATCTTACCAATTTTAAAAAGCACCGGACGACCGCCACTAGCGAAAAAGGGTATCACCATTCCCTGCGAGACCAGCCGGCATTGGTTCAGAAATGTGCCCTCAATCTCGTAGGTGTTGGCTTCCTAGAATTACGATAGTATCATTAAAGTAATAACCAAAAGAAACTAAAAAATATTAATACAAAAAAAATTATATTTAAAACCTACGATAACTTGAAAATCTTCGGACGAAAGCGGTGCGATTTCCACGGCATCGCAGGTGGTCGGCTCGACGCTTTCGACAAGGGCCTAAATTTTTCATATTCCAAAGTCGAAAGTCTTTTTAGATTGAATTTAAGGCTCAACGGGCCCAAACTCACCTCCTCATTATCCGAAAACCCGGCAAATTCCATCGATCTGGCGTTGAGCAGCACATACTGAAATCGCTCTGGGCCGCTGAGCTGCACGAAAAGCTTCCGATTCGGGTCTTCGCAAGATCGAACGAGGACGCATCGAGGGTTTGCGGTTAACTGAATTAATATCTCGCTTATTTACCTTTTATTTACTTATTACTAGAAAACCTTTTCCTAAAGAACCCTTCCTAGCCTACGAAAGACAAAAAAGCTGGGTTTTCACTCACCGGAGGCTGCTTCTTCAAATTAACCGTCCCATCCAAGTCTGTCGTCGTCGCAAAGGCAAACGAATTCGGCCAATTATGTTCCTTGACGAAACACGGGATTCTGGACGACATTTACCCTAAAATTGGCGGTTCTTAGATTTTTAGAGGCATGGAAAGTTATAAATCCTGTAGAATTAAAATTTTAAGACGTGTAAGAGCCTCCAAATATCTAAAACAAAGCTTAAGCCGATTGAAAATCATTTTATTTCTTATTATTACAGAAAAATATGCTTTTCAAAACACGACTGCACCTTTTTCTTCTTATCTAGTCTACTTTGAACGGGCTCTGTCTATTCCTGTAGTTTGTAGCCCGCCCGCCCGACCGCTAAAACGAACCAACTCACATTTGGCTTGATTGATATGAAGGGTAGCACTCCGGCGATAAGAAAAATGTGAAAATATTGTAGTTATTTTAGGTTTTTTCTACTTTACAACTTATCAACCTGCCAGCGAGCAGACTACACGCGCCAACTATAGCCGGGGAATAACATTCGGATCGGATCGGTCGGATCGGATCCGCGGTAAAGCGAAAGAAAGCCCGAGAAAAACAAAAAATACATAAAAAGACTGAATTGCGAAATGAAAAGTTATAGAAGAACATGATTATGAAAAACGGCATAAGCCCAAAAATCTCGGTACTACTGCTGTAGGCTTCCTTACGGCCAGGAAATGGGAGATCAAGCCAAAAAGTTGTTCGTGCGCGAGGGTACGGTAAGGAAAAAAATCCAATAGCTTTAATTAAAAGACGAAATGATTGTTTTGATTGAGTTTGTTTTTAATTTAACTATGCTATGATATTTTCTGGAAAGCTGTTTTACTGATCCACGAAGAGTTTTTTGGCGCTTTGTCGAAAATATAAAAATCATGTAATTCAGCGTGTTTTTAGTGTGGCTACGTCACGTTAATGCGCAAAAGCCACAGGTCATTTTGGTCTCAAAGTCGTTGTATATTTCGGGTTATCTTTCAACGATGCGTACACGCTAATTCGACCTTGTCGCATCTGCTCATCCGATCCGCCTCTAAGAATTCAGAAAGGTCCATCACCATTTCGGAAATCAGTATTTACACAGCAAGTTCCCAGAAACCACCCCTTTTGCCTTAAAAACGTTGCCTCAAAAAAAAATTGTCCGAAAATGGCCCCAACGAATTTCCCCCACGATGCCCTACCCGCTGAATTACGATCCAGGATCCAGCGTCATCTGCCCTCTTCTACACGGTTTTTGCTGCGCCGGGTTGCTAAGGTAAGTTCAATATTATCGAATTTAAGAGGTATAAAAATTATAAATGTCGATCTAGCCCGATTTGGATAAGTTATCTGGGTTGCAGCTTTTAAAAGTACCATATTTGCCCTTTCAGTCATTCTCGGCGTGCCGCAAAATCCTGGACTCACACTGTGGAAGGCTACAACTCGTGCTGTATGAGGTCAGTTTGTGAAACCTTTGGGTGGTCCTATTTTATTTGCATGGCTTTATAACCTAAATTTTCCATTAAATTTATGAGCTTTACGAGCTTTATTTATTGCCTTGACTTCTTAGCTTTAAATTGATCCCTGTTTTTCAGGAAATGCAAGAAATCTGCGCGATTGACCATTTCCTTACACTTCGACGGAAGGGTGAGGAATTGACGCTGAATGTTGATGGGGAATGGAAGTGAGTTTTTCCAGTAACCAAAGACAGAGAGAGAGAGAGAGAGAGAGAGAGAGAGAGAGAGAAAGTGACAGTGAGATAATTGAGGCGAGAGAGTGAGAGCGAGAGAGTGAGAACGAAGAAGAGAGAGAGAGAGAGGGAGAGAGGGAGAGAGAGGGAGAGAGAGAGAGGGAGAGAGGGAGAGATGGTGAGGCAGGCGAGTGAGAGCGATAGAGTGAGAGAGAGAACCAGATTGCGGACACGAAGCTTCCTACGTTTTAGAGCGTTCTTCAAGGGCCGGCCGGAAAACCGCCTCCAACTCGATACCGCGAGCAGCCTCGACTTTTTCAAATCCTTCATCGACCTTTTCGATCCTCGCATAATTGGCGTCCACCAAAATTGCAATTTCCGCTTCGTGAGTCTGAGAAAAGCCCTCCATAAAAAAACTAAATTTTTAGAACGACCCTTTGTTGCGGCTCTCCCTCGAATCACCCAAGCGGCCTCTCGCCTTCTCCGCGTGGTTCCACGCTTGTACGAACGCAATCCCGGCCCTCAGCGAATGGGTCGACGGCATGACGGGCCGCTATTCTTCCGTAAGTATTGTTTCGGTAATATTATTGCTGCGAAAATATTATCTTTGTTTTTAAATTTGTTTTTAAAAACTATATAAAAGAACTTTGAAACTTTAGTCGAAATTGGTCATTTTTGTCAATGAATTTGGAAAGTTTTTATGTTTAGAAACAGCAAAAAAACACTTTAGAAATACTTTCTAAAATTTTATAAAAGAAAAATGGCCCCGAAGAAAAAAGAAATTATTTTTATGTTTACGTATAATTTTTATAGCGTTATAATCTTTAGCTAAATTTGAAATTTAAATTTATACTAAAAGCTTTGATGACAGTTTTTGGCGTTTCTGCTGTTCGTTGGGCGCAAATAACGTGTTTCATACGTTGGGTCCCGTAGCCTTGAGTACGACATGCTACGTACCTACGTAACGTAGCCTTGCGTACGACATGCTGTCTTATCGTAGCCTGGAGTACGACATGCTACGTACTTACGCAACGTAGTGTAGTACCCACTGGAATGTTGCAATTTTTTTAGGGACTAGACTGCCGGCTGATCGTTGGCATCATGGATCTCCTGCCGCAGCCACATGGCCATTGCGAACCCGGCGAATTTTGCCAGCAGCTTTGCGCCAAGGTAGATACCGTCTGTCTGAAATTAACAGTACTTTTATAGTTCCTAGCTTGTAGTTAGAAAAATTTCAAAATATACTTTTTTTAAGATTAACAACGAGCCGTGCGTGCAGCTACACTGCTGGTACCTCATCAGATCTAGCGATCGATCGATCTGGGATAGGACGGTGGCGCAGATGGCAATGCTGCTCGAGGCGGTTTTGAAAAATGTAGGTAGAATTGAAGGTTTTGAAAATTATAACAGCTCCAAAATGGAAGCTTTTTAAGCGTATGGAATTGAATAAAATTGAAGCTTTTGAAGAACAAAAAAGATGCTAAAAATGAAACTTTTCAAGTTTATAACATAAAAGCTGATAAAATGAAGCCTTTAAAGTTTATAAAATTTGGTGCAATTGCAGCTTTTTTGCTTTATATAATTTAACAAATCAAAGCTTTTGGTGATGATAAAAGTTAATAAAAATAAAGCTTTTAAAGCTGAAAAAAATTTATGAAATTCAAGCCTTGATTTGCGGAAATCATAAGTAAGATTTGAATCTGATCTAAACTGATAGCATGCAAGCATTGAAGCTTTTAGACGTTGAAATTGAAGCTTGCGAAGCTCCCAAATTTTGTTCTCGATTTTGAATCTAATATATAGAAGTATAATAGAAGTGAAGCTTTTCAAGCTTATCAAAGTTGAATAAAATGCAAGCTTTTAATTTTGTGAATTTCTGGGTTAATAATAAGCTTTCCAGCCCCCAACCGACCCCACAGCCAAGCGCATTGTTGCCCTCGAATTTGCCCGGACCACTGATGAAGACTTTGTAAGTATAAATTTTGATTTTATAAATTCAATAAAACCCCGTCTTTATCGTATTCCAGATCCAGTACGAACCATGCCGATTTTCAGGACAAAATCTCGCTAGACGTCTCCCAATGCTGGCGGATGGGACGAGCGGCTGTGAAGCTCTTGGAATCACAGATGACCGGTGACTATGCAATTTATTGGAAGAAGACTAAGGTAAGTATAATTTTTTGTTTGGATTATGATTTTGATTATCGACACCTTGATAAATTTTTGACGAAAAAGTCACTATTTTTCTAAAGATTTTTACAATTTTAATCAATTTTTTTAGTCACTGCATAAAATACTATTAGAATAGTTTCGATTTGCTCATCAAACGCTATGAAAAACAAACCCCTTCCCTTTTCAGGTGGGCTTCAAGACCCGAATAACCCCGGACACCGTGGTCTTCGTCGGTCGCCTTGTCATCGCCAAAAATTTCGAGGGCAACGCCTCGGCCATCAGACGTGAGCTGCACCACCGCCAGCTCGAGGCGCGCGCCTGTGAAATGATGCTCCTCAACGGGGAGCCTGTCCGCAAAAACAATACCCTGTCGCGCGCGCGAAGCGCTATTCTTTGCTAGCGATGTGGCGTGTGATACGCTCTATAAAAGCTTGTCTGTATTACTGCCCGGCCAGCCGTGTCGATGATTCGAATAAAGGATTTTTCGCACAAATGCCGAATTGTTAGGATCCGGGAAGAGGGGGGAGAGAGAGAGAGAGAGAGAGAGAGAGAGAGAGAGAGAGAAAGAGAGCGAGTGTGAGAGTGAGAGTGAGGGGAAGCCCGAGAGAGTGAGAGTGAGAGTGAGAGTGAGAGTGAGGGGAAGCCAGAGAGTGAGAGTGAGAGTGAGAGTGCGAGAGAGAGCGAGAGAGCGAGATAAATAGAGCGTGAGTGTGTGAGAGAGAGCGATGAGAAATTGGTGGAAGGCGGAAGGCCTGGAGTAAGGCAATTTATCGTGTATTTTTTACCGAAATCCTGAGACGTTTATTCGTTTATTCTCTGCGTGTTCAATTCAAAAAATCAGGATGGCGAGTAGGGGATGGGGTCGAGTGAGATATGAAAAGGTAAAATCACATGTAAACGCTTGAGTGAACTTTTTTGGTTCGGTCATTCCTCGAGGGGCTGGTAGGCGGTGAGGATCGGGTCTTCTTCTTGCGTGCAGTACCTCTGCGACCGCTGGAAAATCAGTATGTAGAAATCTATGCTATCATCAGGGTTTAGCGACCGTCTCCGTTTTTAAGACTATCTTTCTCTCTCTCTCTCTCTCTCTCTCTCTCTCTCTCGCTCACTCTCTACCTCTCTCTACCTCTCTTTATATCTCTTTATCTCTCTTTTTCTCTCTTTCTCTCTCTTTCTCTCGCTCTCGGTCTGTCTCTCTCTCTCTCTCGCTCTTGCCAATATCGCATAATATAATTCCTCACGAAGGGCCACGCTTCGGTTGAGTAGCCGCGGTTGATGATGAACTAAACTTGCATGATTTTTAGACTGGTCCCAAAATCCCTACGCGTTGGATGGCCAGCTCACGAGTCGGGATCGTGTTATACGGCTTCATCTTGGCCCAATTATCGACAACAATCTGCTGACGGCGCCTCAGACCAAGGAGCTGAAATGGTATCACTATTTGAGCCCAAGGGCGGTCATTTGCTACGATGCCCAACTTTTTTTTATTAGTTGCGTCGAATATTAACAGCCTATCTTGTAAAGAATTTTTCTGATTGGAATGGTTTATCTCATTAATGCATAATACATCCTCATTTTTCGATTTTCAACATTTTTTTAGTTAAATAGCTCATTCGACTGAGAAAATTTTGCTGAATACGATGGCTTTATTCTGTTCTGAGAAATCTTCCGGGGATGGCAAAATCAATGATCTTAGATTTCGGAAATTTGAGAAAATAGAACTTTGGAGCGCTACAACTTTCTGGGACGCGCTATTTGGCAAAAAATTGGAGGCAGATTTGGAATCAGCAAATAATGCCGCACAAAATAGGTTGGGTCCCATACCGAAACGCCACCTTAACCTTACGTGGGCCCCTTGGTACACCCAAAAAGCCACCCACATCCGTGTCGGCGACTACTTTTCCGTTGGCGTCTTTCTCCTCGGCGTTTGCCTGCTTCATTTTTTTGGCAGCTTCCTTCGCGACATCGTCGTCGTCGTAAATCTCGTCCAGGTAACAGTTGCTATAACGCGGAGGCTTATTTCAGCTATTTTCGGTTGTTTTGCAAGGTACTGTTCCATTTGGTCGGGGCAAAAATCTGCGACGAAAAGGGCAAATTAAAAAAATTATTGCATAACTTTTCTATTTTCCATTATTCGGGGATGAAGGTCGAACGGCGTTTTCAAAACATCGAAAAAATGACGAAAACTAGCGCGTCAGACCCATTTTCGGAGCTTTTTTTGTTGTTGCTATAACTTTTTACTATAATATTATTTTGGGCTATAATCAAAAGCTCTTACCAGATGAAAAGGCATCGCGAAAACCCCGAAAAATAGCGAAAATGTCCAAAAAAAACCCCCACTATTTTGCCCAGGCGTAGATCAAACACCTAAGAAATTAAGTCAAACTGAACTTCTAAATTCTAATAGCAAATTAGTCGCGGCCCGAAACGCCTACCGGCGGCGGATGTGACTGCAGCTGGCCAGCAAGAGCGTGGGCCCACGAATGGCAATCATCAGGGCAGAGTTGTTCTGCAAAGTAGACATAGTAGTTCTGGACTGTTAAGGGGTGGAGACCAAATTTTTTCCTAACATTCTCTACGGCCCTATAACAAAATATAAAACATTCATTTTCAAAATTTTGTGAACTTTGTCAATTTGTTAAAAACTCTATGGAAAACGACAAAAAAGGTTAGAATTTTAGAATTTTCAAAATTAAAACAAAAGATTTTTTCATAACTTTCTGGCAATGAAGCTCAGCTGGGGTTTTTGAACAAGCGTGAAACGTAGCTCAGCGCTTGGCTTGAAAAATACCGAAAAACGCGCAAAAATTCCGTAATTTCGAATTCAAATTAGGTGCTCTTCCCCCTTCGGATATTGCCAAAGCACCCGATTTCTACTCACGAAGCGTTCACGCCGGATGAGGCAAGAGTTTAGGCCAATGTGATAGGGGTCGATCCTCCCGACACCGAGCTTGCGTGGCAGGTTGAAGAATTCTGTAATGGTAAATTTTTTACTGAGATAGGCACGGGTTGGGACAGACAGAGCACAAAAGCCGCGAAGCGGTTTTTGAACATTGAAAAAGACTATCAGAAAAATTATTAGAAACCCTCAAGCTTATTTGTTTTCTCGCTATTAGTACTTAACGAAAATAACGATCCTGGACTGTTAGCGGGGGGAGGGGACCAAATTTCCCAGTTTCTCTATGGCCCTATGGAAAAATATAAACCACTTTTATAGCATTTTCCTTAGTTTTTACGCATAAAAACAATCTAAAAATAATAAAAATTTTCAAAAATCTTTGACTTTTTGATCAAAATGCATGAAAAATTACCAAAAAGGTCAAAATTTTGGAATTTTCAAAAAATATTTTTTGATAACTTTCTAGCAATCAAAAATCTACATATCATCAACAGGCGGGTATTGCGGGAAAACAAAAAGTGCTGCCCCCCCCGCTAACAGTCCAGAAGTAATATTCTTACGAACCGGGATCCAGGTGATGCCAATCCAGGAATCGTTCCCACTCATAGAGGCTCTCATCCCCTGCGGGCCGCCGCGAGTGCAGCAGAATGTAGCCGATCTCGCGCTCGCCTCTCTCCCATTGCTGCAAAATTGCGGGTAGGGTGCTATTTGAGAGTTGTTCTATTTCGAATCTTCTGGCTGCTCTCGTCCCGCCCGAATGCCAACATCCCCACCCCCGCTATCAGTCCCGCACCCGTAAAACTCCACCTCCATGATGGTGCGCAGCGTGGGGACGACCGTCTTGTCGAACTGCTCGAGCAGTTCGGCGTCGGGCACCTTGGAAGTGCGGTTCTCCTCGGTCACTAAACGAGTTTTAGTTTATAAACAATCTTTAAATATAAATAATGGAAGTGTTTTTAAGCTTTTTTTACTATTCCTAAACGCAATGGTTTTTACCAAAAATGGCCGTCTATGCCCAAAATTTCGGCTTTTCGAAAAAGTTTGAAAGTTTTTAGACAGTTTTTCTAGTTAAAATATCGGTTTACTAAAGGCACTATAACCCCCTATAATCACACAAAAAACAGTTTAGAACATTATTTCTTTATTAGAAGAAAAATTATGCAAAAAGAATCTCGTGTGCGTACCGTCTTTCATCAACGACATGTAGGCAACGATGTTGGGGGCCTTCACGTCGACGAGGCTGGTCGTGTCAGTAATGTTTCGCCCGAAGTGGATCCACAGTGTTTTCATGTTCTGAAAAGATCAAAACCGCAGTTCAGCTACATTTGTTCCCACCGGAACTGCCGAGGTCACTTCTGTGATCGTCGATCGAATGTCACCAGCTTTGCCGGCAGGGTCGGCGTGAACGGCCACGCAGAACGGGTCGGCAGCAGCTAAAAAAATACCGATCTTGATCCTTACTCCTAAATACCGATCTGACGGCAAACTACATCCTTGGGGCCCTTGATGGGGAGCATGGCTGTCTGGGCGCGCATGTACGGGGCCGTCTTGTACTTCTCCGGGGCGGGCAGCCTCCATTCGGCGCCGAAGCCGAGCTGGAAAAACTCGATTACCTGATTTCCTCCAAAATTAAGATACTTTGAAAAATTTTTCACGAAGGCGGCTCTGATCAAAATCGGCCATTTTTGGTCAAAAAAATCGAATTTTTTCGAATTTTTGAATAAAAATTGTGAAGCTTTTCCGTTTAAAAATAGTAAAAAAAGTTTTTAGTAATCCAAAAGTTTCAGAATCGTAAAAATTCAACTTTAATTGACTTTTTTTAGTCATTTTCCTACATTTTTGACCAAAAGTAAAAACTTTTCGAAAGTTCTTACTATTTTGTATATGGTTTTGATCTCTAAACACTATGGAAAATGATATAAAAATGGTTTATATTCTGCCATGGCGCCGTAGAGAATCAAAGTTTGGTTCCCCCCGCTAACAGTCCGGAACCGAAAACCTTCAAAAAATTTTTTTGGAAATTTTTATTTGCGTGAGAAAAATTGAACACAGCGCACCTGGTCAAAAACCGCATTATGCAGCAAGATGTGGAGATCTCGTGCGGCTGCCGGCTCGCGGTCCACACCCGGGGCCACACCGCGGCACTTCGCTTCGCCAGCACGAAAACCGTGGCGCTGAGTACGCGCGTACCTAAACGTGAACCTAGAACCTAAACGCTCGCGGATTGCGGTCCTCACTCGTACTGGTCGCCGTAAACGAGCCGGTACTTCTTCTCCTCGTCCCACCAGGCGCTGCAGCGCGTCAGACTGTAGGTCACCGTGCTGAAACGGTAAAAATCGGCCCGATCTGACACGTCAGCTCTCCCAAAAATATCCCCCTCCGACCTCCTTCGCCGGCCGTACCGTGTCCGATTTTTACGATTTAGATATGTATCGAAAATTACTACCATTTTTGGGAAAAAGGTGAGTTTTCTGATGTTTTTCTGACCAATGGTTTTTTGTATAAATCACCTTTTGTAACCTCTGACTTTTTCGCTACAGCTCAACGCAGCTTTTTCAAACCATTTGCGAAAACACGGTTTGGATAGCGCTTAAACCGGTGAAATTGCTTTATTGACAAAAAGGCGTGCCCTTTTTGCATGAATAATGCCCAAAATCGAGCAAAAAAATTCCGAAAGTCCCAAAATCTTTCTGATAGACACTCGCCTTTAGCTTTTGATAGATACCTAAAGTGTAAAAATTGAGCACGTATGCGGCCGGCTAGACGGCGTGGTTTATTTTCTATTTTTTTATGAAGTTATATGGCAGGTTTTTCAGTATGACTAGATACAAAAGGTCGGTTGACGCCCCCGATCCCCCCCCCCTCCATAATGCGAAAGAATCGGTTACTGTAAGTTTTCTCCCGGCTTGATGTGAGGGTAGTAGTGAGGAGTGTCTATGCGCTTCTGGATCCAAGCCCATCGTTTCGGCGACTTGGTGATGAGGGCCTGAAGAACTTGTTTCGATGCTGATTGCGGCTCTGAGTGCCACCTTGAAGAAGACGTCCGCGTCGGCAAGGTTCAAAAGGTCGATCGGGCTGAAGAGATTCATCACGAGAAGCCACACGTCCAACGGCATCTTCTCGAACTGCTCGAGGGAGATGAGCGCGTCGGCGGCGGGTTTCTGAAACGGGAAACTTGTTTTGGTAGGTTGATTTTAGCAGGGCGGGGGCTGTTATTTCCGTTTTTGGGCACCCTCTTTTCCTTTAATTTATTACAGTACCAGAACCCTCGATTTCTTAGCCGGAGGCTCGTTGGGACGCCGCGAAATTATGGGCGAGGTGGCCACCTCAAAAGTTTAGTAAATGAAAACCGAATAGCCGAATACCGAACGCTTCCGGGGCGCCGTGGAGCTGGTAGAGGGCGAATTCTGAGGGCAGATCGGGGATGTGGAGCGGGACACAGCTTCCCCAACGCGATGATCATCTCCCTGGTTAACGGGGATGGGCGGTAGCATCTTGCCCGTCAAACCGCAGGCCTCCAAGAAAGACAAAACGGGGAGGGAAGACAAAATGATACTGCAGTTACTGGCAATATTGAGGGCCGGATGCGATTCAATATGTAAATATTTTCAATTTACCCCTTGCCAAATTGTTTTCAGTTTTCTACGTTTTAATGGGTTACAATGCGGTTTACTCCCACCGACCCGCGCCCAACTTTTATATCTCGGCTCCTCATTGGCCGACAGTTGAGTAAAGTATACCAAAATGTTTGCCTTTCTCTGGCGAGTAGTTTGGTATACTTTTCGTGTAGCAAGTGTCTGTAGGAGGTTCTGGTTTGTTAGCGGTGGGGGGTATTTTTCTGTCAATAGCTTCTTTTCTCTTAAATTACCATTTTTTTTGAGCTGTAGGCTGTACTCTAAGTATTTTTGATGTTTCCAGGTTAACGGGGGGCGGTTGTTTTAGCGGGGGCGGTTGCCAACTTTTCTTTGTTTAGCCTATACTACCCTAGCAATAAATCATTGTTTGTTTTAATAATGTTTTTAGTAGTTTCCGATAAACAAAAATTATAAAAACAAGATCCTACAGTCACAAAATCAAGGGTTTTTGCGCGTTTCAACCATTCTACCGCACCGCGATTGTTGATAAAAACACCTGATCTTGATAAAAAATAGAGCCCTGTACGTTCTAGATATGTTCACTCATTAATTTTTGCCGATCGACTAGGTCTCTGGAAATTTTGGGCAGCTTTCACTTGCTGGGTCGAGTTTGGGGCTGGGGGAATCCCCTGGCAGCCAGCGACAAACTACGCACGCTTACGAGAGGAAATTTTCTTGCTTTTAAATGTTAAAGATTCTCATAAATTTCGTTTTAATCGAATTTAAATTACTTTTCATACCCATTGAAAAGCTTTATTTAGAAGCCTAGAATGCCTTTGGAACGGCTAGAAAAGCATTTCGAGCAATCCGTTTCCATCCAGTTGACGTAAAGTCGTCGTAAAACTGGTGACAGGTGTCGCGCGGAATCAGGAAGCTGTGAACTTTTTCTTTTTTTTTGAATTTCGTTTTTCCTCCATGTTTCTGTAAATGAATTGAGGCCAATTTACGCCGCCTACACTGATTCTTTTAAGTTTTCTCTATGAATTTTCACTCACCAACCACGAATTTGCTATGACTTCTGTTTTCGATCAATTCTGAATTTCGGTCTATCTTTCTTTTTTTCAGCGTTTGATGGTGGCGACAGTCGCCTTCCCGTCATATCGCCAGACACGCGACGGCGGCTACCAAGTGAACCCAAATGGCCTCGCCTACTTCCGCCTTTTCTACAATGAAATCTTGGACCTGCTGTTCCGGGACCGCAACAAGCTCGTCGGCTACATCATGGCCTTCAGCAGCATGCTCGGTACCGATGCTGAGAAATTCCTGACTTCATTTTCAGGGCCAAATACCGAAAAGTTTGCCGAGCGGCTTCGCGTTGCAAGTTCGCTGAACTGTTTCAAGGTATGTGTTTTATTCAGAAGCATTTAATTTGCACGTGTAGATGGTCTCACAAATGCTTCACACGCTGCTCATCACCGAGGAAGGCACTTTGCTAGTGGATTCGTGGCTGGAGAATGGTATTTTTTGGAGATTGGGCATTTTTGCTTTTCCTTTAGTTTCTCCCGAGCTTCACGCCGCCGCGCACGGCACCGGCATCGATCCGCAAGCGCCTTGGGTGCAGGTGTTCGTTAAGGTGAGCGGTTTTCTGCAAATAAATTATTTTTCTAGTTCTTCATGCGGGAAGACGATCCCAAGTTCCTGATGCGCATCGTCGCCAGCTTCCACGTGCTCGCCATCATCGACAAAGTAAATGCTCGCTTTTGAATCACATACTTTTTTTCTTTAGATTGAGGCCAAACCACGCTCCTATGACGGATTCCTCTCCGAATATCGAAAGGCCATAAACTATGGTCAGATACGTCGACTGGCCGTGTTGAAAGGACTTGAGATGAAGCTGGATGAGCGATTGTACGGCCAAGGTATATTGCGTTCACGCTTTTACCTGCGTTACTTTAAGAGTTCGATCATCGCTTCTACGCTCGTCTCTTTATCCGCACGCTACCGATGTGCAACAAGGACGAGGGCGATCGTGATGATTGGGTTTTCGAGCTGGTCACGTTAGTGATCGTATTTCTTTACCAAAACCTTATATAGATATCTAAAGAAAGACGCTCGCAACCGGGCCATGCTCACGATTTTCATGCCCAACTATTCGCAGGAATTAGGTATTTTTGCTTGCTTTTCTGAAATACTTTTTGTTTCCAGAGGTGCGCCGTCAAATGCAGATCAAGCCGCGACAAGGACTTTTGTCGAGAGGTCGCCGAAGAGAACCCGGGCTCGAAAAAGACCCCACCGAGTGCACCCCACAAGCCGAGGCCAAGTCACAGATGTACGACACTTGTCAGTTGGGAACGCTCCCGCTCCTATTTTTTACATTTTAGGGTCCTGGACAGCGCTGGCGCCCCCCACGGTACCGACACGGCGCTGCGCTCCTACCAGCACGAGCTCGCCGAGCATGCCTGCCAAGGGTTTGGTTGTGTTTTTGCTTACTATGCTGGGTTTTGAGGAAAAACGCTGTCATCGTGGCGCCCACCGGTGCTGGAAAGACGTATGTGGCCGCCCACATTGCCCGGTCTCATTTCGACTCTGCGGAACGTGAGGGCCGCGCTGCTAGGGTATCATTTTCATGATTATTGCATATTTTTTCACTTTTTAGGTTGTGTTTGTCGTCCCGAAAGTGCCGCTCGTCGAGCAGCAGTGCAACGCCTTCAAGCAGTTCTTCCATGGCGTTACTTTTACAGTTTTGGTGTTGTCATCTCCTGTTTTAGCGCTACCTGGTTGTTGGACTTCACGGTGCTGCCACGATCGGCGATGAGGATGACCGCAGAAAGTTGCTTCTCGGCGCCCACTTGATCGTCATTACCCCGCAGCTCCTCATGTACGATTTTTACGCCTTTGTCTATTTTCTTTTTTCAGTAACATGTTGAAATCGGTCCGCCGAGCCGAGCGCATCTACCTGTGCGATCTGACGATGGTGATGCTTGACGAGTGCCATCACACCACCAAGGAGAGCGCCTACAATGTGCTGATGGACATGGTGCATCAATATAAGCACACCAAGCCACAGGTATATTGTTTTAATTCCTTAATACCCCTATCTTTACTTTTAGATTGTCGGTCTGACTGCTTCGTTGGGCACCGGCGGCATGACGAACAACCCAGAGAACGTGTGCGAGTACATCTACCGCCTGTGCGGCGCCATGAATTGCCAGCGGCTGAGCGCGGTGCAAGGAAGCGCTGGGACAAACTCAACAAATACGTGCAACTGCCGGACGACGGTATATTTTTGCTTATCTGCCATTATTATCGGTTTCAGAGGTGAAACGGTGCTCAAGGGATCGCCAGGCGCAGAGTTTCTAGTAAGTTTTTTTACGTATTTTTTTCAGACGAATTTCAATTTCAGCTACAGACTCCGCGTTCGCATGCAGGACTTCGAACACCGAGCCATCACCACGCTGAAATCATTGTCGAGCGGCAGCGGCGCCATCTTCAACGATGTGAGCGGTTTTTATTTAGTTGCCTCATTTTTCCAGCGCGAGATCGCCATCGGGTCGGCGTTCAAATGTCTGACGCGCTACGAGGGCATGGTTTCGCAGCTCCTCGAAAGGGTTAAAAATGAAGTATGCTTTTGAAACCTGTGTATGACTTGTAGGAAATGAAACTTTTAGTCAGAAGCAACTTGAAGGCGCACGTGCGTATGGATCTACTTGCCGGCCTCAATTGCTAAAGGTAATTTTTATTAGCTTTCTTGGAGAGAGTGCTTTCAGCTCTGCGCCAACGCCATGCTCATCGATGAGGTGATGCCCTCCTGCTACGCGTTGGACTATTTGAAGAGGGTAAGAATTTAGTGCGAAAACCTAGTTTTTTGCTTTTTCAGGCCACCGGAGAGCAAAACGAAAACCGTCACCTGTTCTTCGACGAATTCTGGAGCAACGGTACGTATAGCTTTTTCTATCTCAATAATTTTTGCGTTCAGGCAACGATCAGGCCCTGCGCGCCGCGTGCGAACAAGAACGGCTCGAGCAAAAGGAGATTGTGCGCGAACTAGAGTCGCGCATCCGCGAGCAGCTCGCCCGCCTGCCCGGCAGCCGTATCCTCATCTTCGTGAAGGAACGCTCGGCCGCACAGCTGCTCTCGATGGCCATCAACGAACACGCATTCTTCCGCACGTTGCGCAACAATGTGCGCGGAAAGATTGCCGGATTCGCTACGGGTAAAATACCTCGCACTTTTTCTCATATGATATGCTTTTTCTAGGAGCCGGCTCGAAGAAGAAGGGACAACAGGCTTCACAAACCGTCCAAGAGCAGGCGCGCACGATGGAAGACTTCAAGGATGGAAAGCTGAAGGTTTTTTGGAGTTTCGAACGCTGATAACGCTGTAATTTTTAGGTGATGGTCGCCACGTCGGTGATGGAAGAAGGTGTTGACGTCCAGGCTTGCAACCTCATCATCAAGTACAACATGACCGGCACCACCATCTCCGAGGTGCAAAAGAGAGGTACGAAAATTTTCTAAGTCTTTATCTCGCAATTTTAGGTCGTGCTCGTGCCGCCGGCTCCAAATCTGTGCTGCTCGTCGTCTCCGATTCTGTGGAACAACGCGAGATGGAGAATCGTCAGGGCGAGATGATGATGGCCCAGGCGCTGAAGATTATCACGCAGCTGAACGAGGCCGAATTTATGGCTAGGGTAATTTCTTGAGCTCGCCCTTCTAGTTTTTTAGTGTGACAAGTCGAAGCGCGAGCGCCAACCGAGAAAGACCGCCAGGCTGCCGACGAGAAGCGCATGTTGAGCAATAATAAAAGTAATTTTGAATCATATTCTCAAAATTCTTTCTTAGTTGCACGCTGCAATGCATCAACTGCGAGGGCGACATCGGCCGCTCCACCCACATGCGCACCATCATGAACCACAACTACGTGGTGTGCAGCGACAGGATCTGGGAGCGCATCATCTTCGAGCCGAAGAAGAAGATCAAGGCTAGTTAAATACTGCGATTTTATTTTGTATTTTTTAGTCGATTGGCGAGACGGCCCTCGTGCTCGGATCGGCTTTGTGCGGCCGAATCGCTAACGAAGGCGAATCTGACGCGGCGTGCAAGGCCGTCCTCGGCACCGTCATCAAATACGCCGACACGTACCATGTCCAGTTGTCGTTGAATTCGGTGAGTTTCCGCTTTTCTCGCGATGGTCAATTTTGTCATTTCAGCTCAAAATCATCGACGACGCCACCGAGGAGTGCGTGGAGAACATGACCAAGAAGAAGTGGGGCAGCATCAAGACGCAGCTGTTCTACATCCCGGAAATTACGGAGGGCGACCTGGTCAGTTTGGTCTCTCGGGATATAAAGTCTTTTTAGAAGCGTATGCTGCACTCCGTCCCCGACCGGTTGACGCGCGAGTTCCTGGCGGCCGAGGCGCAAATCAAGGAGGAGGTCGGCTTAATTATTAGTTTTTCGGGCGGGGAGGGCGTTAGGATAGAAGAAATATTTTTTTGTAGTCTTGTGTATGAAAAAGTCACGACAAATATTTTAGAAAATTAGAAAGAAAAATAGAATTCTTGACCATTTTCACGCGATTTGTGACCCAAAATGCAATGTTTTTGAAGTATTTTAAGAAGTTTCTATGAGTGCAAAACGCTTCCTAGTTTTTCTATAAAGCATTTTTATAACATAAACCAGCGCCCAAAACCCGCTTCGGCCTTGGGCGCGGGAATCAGGCCTTCGCATGAGAAATTTGACCTTCAATTGCTCGGGTCTTTCGGACCCCCCCTCCCGACCAAACTCGCGAGTGCAACTGGCATGAATGAGGAAATCTGTATTTTTTCGCATTATGCAAATTAGCCCTCCCAGACCCCCAAAAATGAATAAAACGGCTTTAAATGTAAACTTGCATTTTATCGAGATTCTGTAAACGCCAACGGAAAGAGGAGGGCCTGATTCCCGGGTGGCGGAGAATTAGGCATTTTGGACACGGGAAGGGCCCCAAATCTGACTCGAAACTGACCCTCCGCACACACACACAGACAAATACGCGACCAAATTATCTAAGGTAGGATTTTTCCAGGCGATGAACCAAATCGAGCGCAAACGCCGCCGTCGCATCAAGGACCAAGAGCCGCTGAACGAGTGGTATGCCGATGATGACGATTTCGAGGATGAAGCCTAATCTCGAAATATCCAAATTTTTCGCACCATTTCCCCGACCCGCTTTCCCTTGTACCTCTCCCCTCTGCCCCCACATTTTATTGCTTTGATTTTGAGCCAATTTGTTTTGTTTTGGCGACCCCTTCCCCCCCCCCCCTTCGTTGTTGCTTGTTTACTCTTCTGTTTTCTCACTGTATCGGGTCTCGTTTCGCGGGTTGACAATTGTGACAAATAAATTTTCGGGTTTAGCTGAATTTGGAACCACAACAATATTGAGGAGCTGAATTGTATGATCCTTGGGGGGATTTCAGGCCTCACCCGACTTCAAGCAGCCTTTACCCTCTGGATGGTGTGGAATCTCGCCCCGGATGCCCAAGTTCAATTTGCACAGCTGGGGAGTTGTGGGTGTGAAACGGAAACGGGCGTGCAGCAGAAAATGGACCAGTTGCCGGAAAAATACCGGGCGGTCTAGCCTAAACTTGATTTTTGTACTCGGTTCTTCTCAGTTTCAGCTAACTACTATTACAGCTTTTAGAAGCCGAACTTTTTTAAATGACGATAAACCCAACAGCTGTCCTGGTGCTCTGCGGCTTCTTGGTGGGCGTTGTCTACAAATTTTCCGAAGATCTGTATTTACCGCCGGCGATGGATATCAAAAGTAAACCCTTTTTGCCACTTTTAGCCTTAGATTATAACTTGAGCCTCAACTTCCTGAAAAACTTGTATTCGGAGGAGGAAGATCAGTTCGCCATTTTCTCGTCGTGTCACCTAACAATCCCTGATCCTTGGGCGTGGAATATTAATCGAACGTATCAGGATAGGGATATTACGATGGGATGTGATAAGAAATATGTAAGTAAATCGAGATAAAATCATTCACAAAACGTTAGAAATTAACCTCAGAATTTAGAGCCCAGCGACGATCTTTAAAAAGAGCAAGATATTGATATCGAAATCTTGGGATCAAGTGGATCATTGTGACGTCAGGTAGAAATATAATTTTTGAAGCAAAATAACTTAACAACTATCTAAAAATCGACTTTAGCTGTTCCGTGTACACATGGGAAAATGGATTCGACAAAACGAAGGAGAACATTACGAAAATATACCCGGGAGACGCCCTATTTGTAAACTGCGCCGTCGTCTACACAGAATGTTTCCAAAAAGGCAAGGAGAAGCCGATTGATCGCTACCTGCACACGCAACTTTTGGAGGTGGATGATGAGTGGGTTTTTGAGTAATATTCTATAGACTGTTTGGTACAAATATTCGAGGCAATTTCGAATCATAGATATCAGAGCGTTTTTAGGCCCGAGACAGCACCCCAAAAACCGTACGGTCCAGAAACATCGAAAAACTTCCGGCCTGACGTGCATATTATCTTGATTGATTCTGTTTCTTCAACACAAGCAAGGAGGTAAGTAAATTTGTAAAATACAGCTATTTAACTTGTATAGATCACTCCCAAAAACGATGGAATTTTTGCAAGAGGAAATGGGCGGCGTTCTGATGAACCACTTGAACAGGGTGGCTGATAATAGCCACCCCAATGGATTTGCTTTCTTGTTTGGTAGGTAAATTCGATACTTTAATCTTAAGTCCACTCCTAAAATTGTATTTTTTAATTTAGGCAAAAGAATCAGCCCAGTTTTCCGCGGCTTCATGGGCGCTGAAGATTTGATGGAAGAGTTACACGTTAACGAGTATTGTCGAAGTTATTTGGACAATCGGAGCGTTATTTTGCAGGAATATCAAGCACAAGGTGGTCTTTATATAATTTTTATATTTTTATTCATATTACAGCACATTTTCTGATTTTTTAGGCTACAAAACGGCACACATTGCCGATTGGGGCGATGTTTTCTTCTATCCCAGTTGCTGGGGTTTTGAGAAACATCCGACCACGCATCATTACAGGTAAGAAAAAAGTAAATATCTTTGTAGGCCTTAATATGATGTTAACAAGATGTTTAGAGGAATCACGCGTACACTAGCTCGCAAAGAGGGACTCGAAAAATACCTGAATACCAAATGCATCGAGGAATTTCATATTCTGCTAAATTATCACGCTCAGCTGGCGAGGGCGTATAAAAGTAAGCTGATTATAAATAGCTCAGGTTTTGTCATTAAGTATCGTAACAAAAATAGTTTTCGTTTTCTAGATTCCCCGAAATTCGGCTTTACCTGGATCGCTGAGTTGGTACATGGAAACGCGAATTTCCTCTGGCACACCGACACCTTTTTCGAGGTAAAGATAGGAATTGCGAACCGCCTTTTTTGATTTTCCGGGGGTTCCGGAAAAATTGACTTTTCGGCGCATTGAACTCATTGGAAGCTAGAAAAACTACAACAAAAAAAGGTGGAATTCCGAGACCAGCGGAATCTCTGGCCTTCCTGGCTGCGTAAATAGGCGCGAGATGGGGCACTTTCTGATTTCGGGATTTAGCGGCGAAAACGCGAGATCAAGCAAGATAGAGAATGAAACAAAAAAGGCGAAAATGGTATTTTTTTAGAAATTCTTTCGCGACAATGCAAAGACGTTTGCCAACTCGTTTGTGTTTTTCATGGGTGACCATGGGGCCAGGATGGGGCCGGTAAGTTATTGTTATTCTTCTCTGTCTATGTATCTTTCTCCATCTCCCTCTCTCTCTGTCTCTCGTTCTCTCACTGTCTCTCTCTCCTTCTCTTTTGCTGCCTTGCCTCCCAAGCTGAAATTTCAAACTTGAAGTTTTGTAGACGGTCAACACTCCGTTAGGTCAGCGAGAAATCAACAATCCGATGCTGGTGATGACAGTTCCGGAATTTTTGAGGGACAACGAAGAGGTGAGAGAGAGAGAGAGCGAGAGAGAGCGAGATACAGAGGACGAATAGAAACAGTATTCTTTTTTTAGCTTATTAACAACCTCAAAGAACAATCCGTCAACCTGCTCACTCACTACGATATCTACGCAACTCTCCAGGATATTCTCAAGGTTCGCTCGCTCTCTCTTTCTTTGTTCTCTCTCTCTCTCTCTCTCTCTCTCTCATAATTTCTATAAAGCCAATTTTCAGAATGCCCATTACACGAACTATACAAAATTCGACTACGAGCCGATCCTAAACCCAAATCCGAACAATGGGACTTCACTATTGAGGCCGCGAGGCCCGTTTTCGGATAGGTACCTTGAATTTTCTGTGCGCTGTGAAGCATTTTTTTTTAGAAATTGCCAACAGATTCCAGTCAATGGAGACTACTGTCTATGTCACTTTAATAAAACGGACAAGTCGGGAATTTCCGGTTTTTCGAGACTGTTTTTTCTTTAGGAACTATCGAGACATGGCTAGTTTTGCGGTCAGGACGATAAATGAGTATTTGGAGAGGGAGGAGCTATCGGAGCTGTGTGTTCCGCTGTCTTTAATAAGGGTACAAATTTTAGATAGTTTTTATACTATACGAACTACTAACTTTCTAGAAAACCAGAAAAATTACTGTAGAAGGGGGCCTACAGGCTCCTATTTACAGGTCGAGTCCGTCCACAGTTACGCGCCGGAATTTCAAACTCGGCTTTATGAAGTGACTTTTAATGCCAATCCGTCTGGCAGGTTTCGAGCGGTAAGTACTATCTTTATACTTTAATTAACTAGCCGTAACAAAATTCATAATTAAAATTTGTTAAATTTTAAAATGGTAAGTGTCTTTAGATCGACGGTTTTTCAAAAGTTTAAAATTATAAAATCCAAGATTTTTAGCGAATCCGCATCGATTCCGACAACGGCCATCCGAAATTTGTGGCCTCCGGATACCCCGTACGACTAAACCAATACGGAAGAACGGCCAATTGCGTTGCCGGTCCCAAGCCATATATGAGACCGTATTGCTACTGTAGAGACAACTTAAAGCAACCAACAAATACCACAAAAACCACCAAAAGCTAAGTGTTTTTGAGCTGTATTTATAGGAGCGTTATGAATAAATTATTTTCTACACAATAAAGCGAAAAAATGAAAAAACATGGAATAGGTTTGAGATAATTTAAATTTATGTTGCGTTTAAATTACATAGAATTTAGCATATTTTGTTTAAATTTTGAACTAATGCATAACTTTCTTGCATAAATCCTGGTCTCTGAAAATAAGAAAATGCTAGGCCATTCTGGCTGCTTTTCAACTCCTCCAGACGCCAGCCATGATTCTGACGATCTTCCTCCTCCTCTTTGACATTGGGATTTATGCTGAGGAGGTAAATTTTTAATCTATTTAAATCGTAGATTCTATCGATATTTCACGTATTTCAGATGTCCTACGATCAACCGACGTGCGTTCACAACCTCTGCAACGCGACCGCAATGTACGGTTTTTTTGGGAGCTTTAAATAGGTGTAGATAAATAAAGCCCTTCGTGTTTTTATACCTTTTTAGATACACTTATTTATAACGTTTTTAGTAGTTTTCGATTGCTAGCAAGTTAACAAAGGTGTTAAAAATTTTTGAAAAACTTGAAAATTTTACCCATTTGGGTTATTTTTCATACACTTTTGGCCAAAGAGTCAAAATGTTAGGAATATTCTATTGTTTTAATATTGTTTCTATATCTAAAAAAACCAAGTGAAGTTTTAGAAAAATGGCTGATATTTCATATGGCATTTTTAGGGAAGATTTCGTCCCCGCGCTAGCAGACCGAACCCCTTAAAGCACCCTATCTCTATTTGAATCCCAGACTTAACGAAAATACAACACTTTCCAGCTACCCGGGCGATCGTTCCCTCGACCTCGTCTGCCCCGGGTCGAAAAACGAGCCGCGCGGTGAAATCAACTACCAATTCACGTCGGTATTTTTATCGGATTTTTATTGATCAGTATCGGGGGCATCGGGAACTAGCCTCGCTTCCCCCTCCCCGATAATTCGAAAAAAACCCATAATTTCCGGCCTTTTTTGTAGTGGCTACCGGACGGTGCAGCACAAGTCATTCTTCTGGCTGAACGGCAAGGACGTTCGCCGTGAGGACATCACTCGGTGCGTCGACCCGCTAGAATTTGACGAGAAGCTGCTCAAGGAGCGCCCCAGGGAGCAGATGGCGGTAGGGAGAAGTTTACTTGGTACTAGACTGGCGAGGCTGATATACCCACCTACCGTATCTCGGCTCTCTGTTCACCTACATGTGTGTAAAGTATACCAAAATGTTCGCCAGAGCAAGACAAACATCTTGGTATACTTTACACACCTGTAGATGAACAAGGAGCCGAGATACAAAAGTTGGGTGTAAACCCATCTAAACGGTAAACTGCACCCTAACCCTGACGTCCTCCCCACCCGATAATGCAAGAGCACCTAGATCACCTAAGCTAAATTCCAGACGGACCACGAGTGGCACGGTGTGAACTGCCAGACGTGGTCGGACAAATGGGGATGTCTGGAGTGCCCGTTTCAATATGAACCTGGAAATCGGTAGGGCGGAAGCCTCGCTTGTCTTATCCCCGCCGTCATTCTAGGAGTTGGAGCATCCAGAACCAGCTGAACGGCACGTACACCACCTGCAACCCTTTGCCCTACCGCCAGAACGCCATCGACGACCTGGCCCCGAAAACGTTCAGCAACGCCAGCAGAATCGCCTTGCCCGCCGGGAGATATTGCCCAGAGTGGGTCGCCGAAATGGAGGGATCTCTTGCATTATCGGAGGAGGTTTTCCTTACAGTTGAATTTTTCGATCTAAACGTAAAAACTTTACAAATTTTAGGAAAAAAAATACAAGAAATCGCGATTTTTTGGGAACAACATTTTTCAGAAGTTGGTTTTTTCGTATTATCGGGTTTAAACCGAATTTTTTTGCATCAGTCTAGAAATGCCTATTAATGTCAGTGGAGGTGTTTTAGCGGTGTTTTTTTGGCAAAATGTAAATGTATTTCGACTAGAAATTTTTGCAAGAAGTCGAAAATTTGGTCAAAAATCGGCCGTTTTTAGCCGCAAAAAAAAAATCGATGTTTTTGATGGTTTTCAATCACAATGCAATTTATAAAGCTTCTACCTTCAGGATTATTTAAAAGGTTAGAAACACTTAAGCCACATAAATTAGAAAAATGGCATTCTAAAAATTTGTTCCTCGAAACCCCCGATAAGGCAAAAGGACCGTAAAATCTGAAATCAAATTCGGTGAAGAGAAAAGCTTACCTAATTTTGCAGCGGCTACTTCCGATATGGGCCCTGGAGCAGATGCTCGCCCTGCACACCCGGCTGCCTGAGGTGTACGGACGAAAAAGTGAGTGGGTTCGTCTAGATTTTCTGGGTACGGATAGGCGAGAATCACCTGTTCCAGAGCTGCCTCTTATGTGAGGTCGGCTACCAACCGTCGTTGAACAACCAGCTCTGCTCAACAGCCAGCAGGACCATGTGCCCGGGGTACGTAGCTTGCCACGACGGTGCTGGTGTGTTAGCGGGGGGAGGGGGGGGTGGGGAGATTAACCAGCGTATATCTATGGAATTTATTTGGGACTTAAGCAGGCCCTTTCCGGGTTCCTCGCTTCGGTCTGCGCCGAATTTTGACTTTTAGAAAAATGGCCATGAAAAAAGTTCGTCCACCCCCGATAATGGAAAAGCACCTTAAGAAGTCTCAAACTCGGTAAATGTCTGGTCTAACTATTCCAGAGGCTTCTTCGCGCAGGATGGGCAATGCAAAAAATGCTCATACATCACGCCGCATTGCAACAAATGCGATAAGGTATCTTTTCGAGGTTTCTAGTAATTTTCATTGCTTGCCCTATCCCACCTTACCCTAGTCTTCCTGGATGTCACTTTTGAGGCCTGATTTCAGTGCCTTCCCGGATCCAAAGTGCTTTAAAGACCCTTGGAAAGATGGCCGGGCGTCCCCAGGGGTGAGGGACCGACGGGGCGATACCATGCACGCTTTCCATCGCGTAAGGGGCCCCAAAACCCCCGACTGGGTTTCAAGAAAACAGATTTATAGCTATAACTTTTTTGATTGACGATATTTTGGGCCAGAAACTTCCATAGAAATAGTTTTTAGCCATCCCCATCGTTGGTAAAAATTTGAGGCTGATTGGATAGAAGACAGCCATGTTCTGAGCGGAAAGACGTTTTTGGGACGCTCTTTAGTTGAAAAATCGTCAGTAAAGGCATAAAACACTCCAGAAAATTTGGGGAGTACTTTGCTTTCCTTTAGCAAGCTTTTCTAGAGCATTTTTCGTTATTATTATTTATGAATAGCCTTATTTTCAATTGTTGCCCAGTAAAGCGCACCAATCCACCCCTAGGGTATTTGGGGCCCCTCCGCCGCCCCCACCTACTCGGCCCCTTTGGTGTGGGGGTAGCGCGCTGGACTGCGGAGCGGACCATCCCTGGTTCGACCCCCGCCCGGGTATTCTTTCTTGCTTTTTGACCAATCCCATCTTTCCAGAGGCCTTTAATGCTGCGTCACCTGGGGTAATCAACCCTCTTCTTTCCGACATTCCGACAAAAATTTCAAAATACAAGTTTACAAAGTTAAAGCCGGCTTTTAACGTTTTTCGGGACCGACGGGGGGAGGGTGATTTGCAAAATTCCAAAAAAGATCCATCTCCTCGTTTTTTCGTCTTTCGTTTCGCCCCAACGAATCGTTTAGCATGGCGTTTGCCTAAGTTGCGGTGACTCGCTGATGCTGGCCCACGGGAAGAATGGCATGGTGTGCTTGGATCTGTGCGTCAGGTGCGTCCCTTTTTAGAGTTGTTAATCTCCGCTTCTCCCCCCCCCGCTAACAGTTCAGTACCGCATTTTCTTCATTCGTTCTCCTTCCAGGGGCACCTACTACGATGTGTTCACACGGCAATGCACCCAGTGCCCGAGCTGGTGTTCCCACTGTTTGAGGATGTAGTGTTCCATTTGGAATCCACCTGACTCATCGTTAATTGGCAGGGAGCTGTGTCTCCAATGTGCGCCCGGGCTGTACAGCTTCCTGAATTATGCGCCCGAAGTTCACACTGGCTTGTGGCTGTACTGCTACAACACGTGCCCGTTCGTTTTTCGGCTTGCTGGATGGCCGGCTGGGCGTGTTATTTCTGGCGCTTTTGCATTAGCGGGGGGCGAACTCTTTGTCTTTGGTAGCCAATGTTGAATTTTTTTTTTGATTGTCACTAAACGTAAAAATCGGCGGAAATTTTGTTAAACTACAAAAAAAATCTTTTTAGTTACAAAAGTCGAATTTTTAAGCTTTTAGAAGTTTCTGTCATTTGAAATATAGTTAAATTTCACGAAAAACATTGTGAAGGGACGGACTATTCGGGGGCCTTCTAGACATTTCTGGGTCAATAAAAAAATAGTCATTCCAACGTCCCCCCCCGCTAAAGCGAAAGCACCCGATCGCTCTTTTCTCTTTTTCACTCACTCTCTCGCGCGCGCTCTCTCTCCTCTCCCCTCTCTCTCGCTTTTACTCTCTTTCACTTCCTCTATCTCTCTCGCGCTCTCTTTTCTTGTCTTACTTTCCCATATCCGATTACCCGTTTTCCAGCGCGGGTACATACGCCGAGAAGACGGAACCCTGGCGATGTGTTCCGTGCGACCCGTCCTGCGATACTTGCTGTAAGTTACCACCACGCCCTCTCCCTCTCTCTCTCTCTCTCTCTCTCTTGGTCTCTCCCTCTCTGTCTCTCTCTCGCTCTCTATCGCTCTCTCTCTCTCTCGCTCTCCCTCTCCATCTACCTCGCTACACGGCATCCCTTAATTTAGATGGCCCAACGAGACGTCACTGCTACGGCTGCACTTCGTTCGGCATCGTCGACAGCGATAATATGCAGGTGCCGCCTTCAGTTCCGAACCCTCGCAGCCATCACGTCTTTTTCAGGCCTACTGCAACCCCCGCTACGAGTCCCTTTCCGACATGCGCTACTGTATCCAAGGCCGAGAGCGCTGCTCCGAAATTCTGGTAGAGTTCGTGCGGCCGTACGTGGGCACCGCGACCACCATCTACGGCGACGATCGGCCGAACTTTGGCACGACAGACCTGGCCGAGCGCGCGAAGATCGTCTACTCGCCCGTGTTCCGGGACGTGGAGATGTACAAAGCCTATTGGGACAAGTGGGTGTCGGGTGTGGATCTGGCTCCTCTCTCTATCTCCCTCTCTCTCTATCTCTCTATCTCTCTCTTGCTCTCACGTGATTATTCTTTTCCTCAGACGGGCCCACGACGAGAATCTGACTCCAAAGAACCTCTACCCATCGTTCTGCGTCGACAACGAGTGCCTATCAGGCTGTGACACGTCCCAGGCCACGCTCTTCCATGTGGGGATGCCATAAACTTCGAGACCAAATTCCTTTAGGAGCTTTTGCATTATCGGGGGGCATCCGCAATCTTTCATGCACAACGCGCATTCTTGTTTTTCGAAAAACTCGTTTCTAACAATTTCTGATGTACGAAAACAACTTGGCTATAGGAATTCGACTACGGCGAACATTTTGAGATACTCCGCGCATTAATAGGACGTATGGCTGAAAAGTTAGGGCTGGGGGTAAACTAGACTTTAGCCTAAATTTTACTAAAACCAAATGAAATAATTGGTATTACTTCTTGTTTCTTTTCACACTTACTTTATCTTTTCAGCCGTGCAAGGCCTGCAAACCGGGCTTCATCCGTGACTTCAAGGGCTACTGCGTCAAGGGCTGCCCGGTGTGAGTTCATCCGGCCACCAACCCCCATCTTTCCTTTTTTTTTCAGAAGCAGCTTCTACACGAAGAAGATTCTCACCCAAGAAACCGATCTGCCCGACATGTTCGTCGAGTACGTGCGGCGGCTGCGCGACTGCATGCCGTGCCTCGACCCGGACCGCTGTCTCCGATGTGATTGGGTGAGCAAAGCAACCGAGCCGGTCTAGTAATTAAATAAAACCAGGGTTGAAAAACCGCTTCGCGGTTTTTCAACCCTGGCCCCGTCTTCTCCAATGATATTCTGGGCTTTGCATAATTTTCCCGGATTCGGATGACAAAAAATGAAAAATGCTCTCGCCGTCTCTCTATATAGGCTACCGCGACTTCCGGTGCATGCTAATTTGATCCTAACAAACTGGGGTGTCCGGTTTTCCATGAAAAACTTAATTTTAATGTCGAAAACATCATATTTTATAAAATCTAATGTGTGTGCAGTCATCTCCAGCCCATTACGCACCTAATGACGTATCGAACATACGCCTAAGTGCTTCCCTTCTTCAGATACTACTGGAACACGGTGACGGAAGTTGCATGCAAATGCACACACACACACACACACAAACACTATTTTTTTATATATAGTAGGATATGTTAAAATTTTTTGAGTGGTTTCCGATCACTAAGAAAATACGAAAACTTTATTAAAAAACTTTAAAACTTGGTTTTTGAGCGGTTTCGGACATTTTTCACAGGCTTCTCTCCAGAAAGTTCATTTTTCGAGACTTGGATAAATTTATGTAAAGTGTTTTGATACTAAGAATAACGAATTTCGAGATTTAATTTTCAAAATAATTCTCAAAATAAAAATAAAAATGATAATTGCGATATTCGGGAGCCTTGAACTGGGGGTAAAACCCAAACGTCTTCGAAATATTGCGTCCTACTTTAGTACCTGGGCAGCAACCGAACTAACGACCAGCATTTGATCCCGGTTATGTACGCCGAAGCGCCCTACATGTATCCGCACAAAGATGAAGTGAAAAGGTGGAAACGTTAGGCATCGAAAAAGCTAAGACTTGGGCAAAGCTTAGGCTTAGGCTTAAGCTTGGATTTACGCTTAGGCTTAGGCTTAGGCTTAGACATACAAGGCGTCGTTTTTAGGTGATTTTGGAGTTTTCAAACGAGGCTTAGCTAGTTCGATAGAGGAAAAAATTCCTCACAAGATGTCGTTTTCGACATCTGCTAACCGTCGCAAAGTCGCAACCTAAAAACGACTCCTTGTTAGGCTTGTTTTGTGTAATGCGCTCCAAAAACCCATTCCTAGAACCTTGGCAGATCCGCATCAAATGCCTCGAGTACACGAACGGAATTGGCAAGCCGAAGTGCTTCGACGAGTGGGTTCTCTCTTTCTCTCTCCCTCTCTCTCTCTCTCACTCTCTCTCCTCTCTCGCTACCTCTACCTCTCCTTTTCCAGATTCCAATTCGTCGACGAATCCGGCCACTGCCAGCCCTGCCACCCGGAATGCGTCGGATGCGTCGGCTTCAACGAGAATCAATGCCGAAAATGTCGGCATTTTATGGACAAAGATGCGGTAGTCACAAAATAGCTAGCATCATTTTGGGCTTAGAACTGCGTCCAGGATTGCCCACCGGAAACGACACCGAAGCTGATCCACGAGGGCGTGTGGTTCTGTGAGCAGACCCCGAAACTTCGGACCGTCCCCTATCGGTGGGCTTCAGAGCGAGAGGAGAGAGAGAGAGAGAGAGAGAGAGAGAGAGACGAGAGAGATAGGGAGCGAGAGAGATATAGGGAGCGAGAGAGAAGGAGTGAGAAGGAGAGAGCTTGATCGTATTTGATACATTCTAGGATATCACCTTCAACCAACAATACATGAGCAACTACCGGGTGGTGGCGATGACGTTCCCGATGCTGCTGCTCCTCTACGTTGCCGTGCAATTCTGGGGGCTTGTTAGTGAGTTTTTCTAGCTTCTCTTTCTCGCTCTCGCTCTCTCGCTCTCTCTCTCCATCTTACGCTCAAGCACAATGTTTCTGCAGTTTCCTGGTTCTGCGCCGGGCAGGACAACTGCGCGCTGATCCCGTGGAATGAGGAAAAGTAGGGCGGATGATTTCTTGGGTTGCCAGGCTTGGCGGCTCAACTTTAGCAGTTTCTTTCCGCCGAACAAGCCTTTTTCAGACTAATCCAACGCCGCGCCATCGCCGACGTGACGCAACTAATGGCCGCCCGACGCCACGCCCGTTCAACTACTGACCTCCGTGGACCGCAAGTACCGGAAAAATTAGTCTGTATGTGGTTCTGAAGCTACATAAGAAAGGAGTTTGAATAAGCCTAAGCCTAGCTAAGCCTAAGCCTAGAAAAGTTCTTACACAGCACATGGACGACCTTCTTTCTCAGCACCCGACGAAATCGAGCAGCGCAACCCGTTGATGAATCGCCGAATCATCATCCGGCACATTGTAGGAAAAACCTCGATTTTGTTGATCATCTACCAATTCCAGCTGAAACGGAAGATGGCCCAGAAGCCGAAACCGCCCGAGGTCATCAAGGGACCGTCATGTGGGAGATGTTCAAGAAATCAACAATCAATTTTTAGACAGCATCTCCACCACCCAAGGCAGCCCGCCGACGGAGTCTCCGAAAAAGAGGGGCGCCACCGACTCCGGCAAGTCCGGCAAATCCGGAAAATTGTCGAAGCACTCGCGCGTCTCGGCGAAGACCTACAAGGAGGTGTTGTTCTCACCGGTGCCGGAGAGTCTGGAGATCGACGCGACGATCGTGCCGACGGCGGTGGGTTTCTTGGAGTGGCTACACAGTAATAGCTGCTTACAGTCCTTGGGACTGGTCTGTTATCGGGGGGAATTAGCGAGAGAACCAACCTTGGCCTATAGCCCGCAATGATCTTCTGATGTCAGCGACATTATTTATGAGTTCTGACGCGATTTTCATGTAGAAAAAATGGATTTCCACTCTTCAACCCCCCCGCTAAGCGACCAGTACCAGCGACAATTGTGTAGCTGGCCAGGCACTACGAGACCATACCATTTTACAGTCCCCCGAGGGCAATCACTTTGGCAAGAGCCCACTAAAAGCCGACAAGAAGCCGCCGACCCCGCAGAAGAACCGCTCTGGCCTCCTCCCGCCCGTCAACCGCAAGCCGTCCATCGGCCACCTGGACAAGGTGGGATTTTTCAACAATAGGGTTAGTAACCTTCAAATTCTGCTTCAGAAGATGCGCCACTCTCGCGAGGACCCGCGACCACCCACGCCCAGGACGCTGACGCCGCAGACGGCCGCCCAACTACCGCCGTTGCCAGAACGTCGTGTTGCGAGTCGAGAACGAGGAGCGATTAGTCGAGGAGGGAAGAGTACACGGCAGGTTGGGTTGTAGTTTTGGCTGAAGCTTAGGCGTAGGCTTAGGCTCATGCTCATGCTCAGGTTAGGGCTTAGAATTTCGGTTCATATCTGTCTTTTTCAGAAGAAGTCGTCGAACAGCGCCGAGGTGTCGGCCGGAACCAGCGGCACTAACCAGTCTCAGCAGCGCGTTGCCGCACATCCCTCGAAGAGCCGCGACGACAACCGTCAGACGGTAGATCTCTCTCTCTTTCTCTCTGTCTCTCTCTCTCGCTCTCTCTCTGCATCACCATTGGATTTTCAGTCTCGTCGCACCCAACCCTCCGGGGCTCGTTCCGGCCGCCCACAGCAGCAGCAGCAAGAATCGAAAAACCGATCGCACAACCGAAAATAATTCGTCTACTCGCCACACCATATTTTTGTCTGCTGCTTAGTTTATATAGTATCTTCCCTCTTTCTTTTGTGATTCTTCATATACGTGGTCTATTCGTGGAGGAGGATAAAGGCTTTTGGTGTTTGGGTTGACAGCGAGAGAGCGCGCGAGAGAGAGAGAAAGGGGAGAGCGAGAGCGAGAGGGAGAGAGAGGGAGCAAGCGAGAGCCTGAGAGGGGAGATAGAAAGAGAGAGAGAGAGAGAGAGAGAGAGAGAAGAGAGAGAGAGAGAGAGAGAGAGAGAGAGAGAGAGAGAGAGAGAGAGAGAGAGAGAGAGAGAGGGAGAGGGAGTGAGTGAGAGAGGGGAGATAGAAAGCGAGAAAGAGTGGGATAGGGAGAGAGAGATAGTAAGCGTACTTGTCAGGATCATTGAAAACGATAGATATATAGAGAAAACAGCGAGAGCATGGCCGTGAGCAAGAACGAAAAAATCGAGTTCTGGAGAGCTAGAAACGAGCAAGAGAACAAATTGACGATGTCACCAGAAAATCTTGTTCGCAGATCCGAATTTTGCATAAGAATTAGCTAATTAGCATCCTTCCCGTGAGGTTCATCGCTCGGACTCCTCGGCATTCTGTTGCTGCTCCTAGGCGCCGGCATGGCGACCATCCTCCTCGCCATCTTCCTCCTGCTCTTCGATGCCGGGATTTATGCAGAGGATGTAATTTTCATGACTTTTTAATGCAAATTTTTTGGTCCAGGTGGCCTACGATCAGCCCACCTGCCTGCACGACTTCTGCGGACTGGAGAAACAGTACGATTTGGGGGATTCTTCGAATACATTCGATTTGAAAAGACCGTAAAACTACGAGATGCAATCTGACTTCAGTTATAGAAAATATTTTGAAACATTTTGATTTTTTTTGATAATTTTTCACCAATTTTTGACCAAAACATCAAGCATCTTCGGAGACTTTTATTTTTTATATTTTGTTGATATCTACGAACTGTAAAATGTTATACTTTGTTATAGGGGCGTAGAGAACCCGGGGAAAATTGCGTTCCCTCGCTAACTCCTTCCAGCTACCCGGACGATCATTCCCTCGATCTCGTGTGCCCAGGCCCGAAGGACGAGCAGCGCGGCCAAATCAACTACAACTTCACGTAAATGGTCACGAGCTTTAAGTACAACTATTTTTTAGTGGCTACCGTACGCTGCGCCACAAGTCGTACTTCCTGGTTAACGGCCTGAGGGAGCCGATGCGTCTCGATCAAACCCGCTGCTTCGACCCGCTGGAGAAACCGGACGGGTATACGATGCAGACGGTAGGGAAAAACAGCCCCCCGCTAACAGTCCAGTAACAAGTATCCAACCTTGAATTGTAGACGGACAACGAGTGGTTCGGCGTGAACTGCCAGACGTGGAGCGAAAAATGGGGATGTCTGGAGTGCCCGTTCGGCTACAGCTACGCGGAAAAGGATCGGTGGGCCACGGAATTAGACTTGTAACTTAATCGCTCCCCGGACGCACCAATTTTGGCGTCGGCTCAAGTCTAGGAAACCCCCCCCCAGCCGTAACTTTTCAGCCATACGTCCTATTAATGCGCCGAGTATCTCAAAATGTTCGCCGTGGTCGAATTACTATAGAAAAGTTGTTTCTATACACCAAAAATTGTTAGAAAAATTTTTATAACAATTATAAGTCTGGGTTTTCTTGAATTAATTTTTCCTGGTCTAAAGTGACTTTTCGTATCTCGGCTATCTTTTGTCCTACAGAGCTGTCAATGGTATCAAAATGTAGCTCTTGCTCTGTAAAATAAGGCTACAGCACATTTGAGTCGAAAAAATAGCGGAAAATAAAAATATTTGAGTTTTAGACTCCTGGTACATTGAAGCACAGCGACTTAATCTTTTCAACTTTCAAAATCTTGTAAAAAAATTTCTAGTAATTTTTGCCGCAAGAAAACAACTTTTTTATAGTAATTCGACCACGGCGAACATTTTGAGATACTCGGCGCATTAATAGGACGTATGGCTGAAAAGTTACGGCTGGGGGGGGGGGTTTCCTAGACTCTTACCTTGGCGTCCAAGCCCCCTGAAATACCCAATTTCAGGACATGGGGCTCGCAGGTGCAGATAAACGGCACCTATACGACGTGCAGCGCGCAACCGTACAAACCCGAAGTCGCCGCCGTGATGGCCCCGACCAACTTCCAACAGGCCATCAAGCTCACCATGCCGAATGGCAGATTTTGTAAGGAGTGGGTGAACTGATGTTAGCCCGTCGTAACCGGTTGTACCTTCCAGAGGCTGGTTCCTGAGTACGGTCGGGGTGTGCATGCAGTGCGGCAAGGGCTGCTTGAGGTGTACGACAAGAGGGGTGAGGCCAATCTCTCTCACCACTTTCTCTCTCCCTAACCTCTTTTTCTCCATCTCTCTAACTCTCTCTTGGCTTTCTGTTCTCTCGCTTTCCCCCTCTCTCTCTCTCTCTCTCTCTCTCTCTCTTCTTCCATATTTTCCACATCAAATTCGGGGAATGCTTACAGCAATGCCAGCTCTGCGAGGTGGGCAACAAGCCGACGCGCGAGAACGAGGGCTGCGCGAACACCACGGCGCCGCTGTGCCTCGTGTACGTAGAAATACTATCCGATTTTGGTTCTGGACAGTTAGCGGTGGCGGGGGGGGGGGAGATTTTTAGTCTGTCAGGATCCAAATTTTTACCAGTGATTCCGTACGGCCCTATGGCGATGCATAAACGATTTTTATTGCATCCTACAAAATTTTTAGATTTAAAACGTTAGTAAAAAGTTAGAAAAATTTTCGAACTCTACAATTTTTAGACGATTTTTGTAACTTTCTAGCAATCAAAACTTACTAAAAACTGGATAAACATAGACGATTTCTTATGAAAAGGCATAAAAGTTAGGATAAACAAAAAGTGGTTTCCCCCGAGCTAATCTCCCCCGCTAACAGTTCAGCACCGTTTACTAAAATATCTGTCGAGACCTAGGCAGCAGATGGGGTCGATTTTAGCTGTTTCCGGCCCCGGTAAACTACAATTTTTGCAGGGGCTTCTACGCTTCAGGAGGAGAGTGTAAGGCATGCGAATACATGACGCCCGGCTGCCTGAATTGCGATCGGGCAGGTTTTTCAGCACGGTGTTAACTTTTGAATTTCTACCGTATTTTCCATGGGCTTTCAGACGGGCAAGTGCCTGGATTGCGGCGCGACCCAAATGCTGGTGCGCAAGAAATATGGATCGATGTGCATGGCATTTTGCGTCAAGTCGGGACTTAAACACTTCACACCTCAAAAAATGTGTCTGTAAACAGTCTAACGCTTCCAGGGGCTTCTTCTACGACACCGCGGACGACGGGTGCCGACAGTGCCCCAGCTGGTGTGCCGAGTGCTCGAAGTAGACGAACGTGTTGCTGGTAGAATCCAAAACTTTTTCAGCCTCTCGCGCTGCAGGCGATGTGCCCAAGGTCTGTACTCCTACATCAAGCCGGTCAAACGGCCCGCCGACGCGCGGCTGAGGTGCTTGAATACGTGCCCGTAAGTTGAAAGCTGGCACTCGTGCTTGTTCTCTCTCTCTCCCTCTCTCTCTCTCTTTCTCTCTATATGTCGCTCTCTCTCGCTCTCGCTCTCTCCCGCACCGGATCGCTTGCATTCCAGGTCGGGTACATATGCCGAGAAGACGGCACCCTGGCGATGTGTTCCGTGCGATCCGTCCTGCGATACTTGTTGTAAGTTACCACGTGGCTCTCTCTTACCCCCCCCTCTCTCTCTCTCTCTCTCTCTCTCTCTCTCTTTCTCTCTTTTTTCCCGCTATACAGCAGCGCCTGTTTCAGATGGTCCGACGAATCGCCACTGCTACGGCTGCATGTCGTTCGGCGTGCTCGACTCTGACAACATGCAGGTTCGGCCGTTGCTCTCTCTCTCTCTCTCTCTCTCTCGCTCTCTATTTTTATCTTTCGTTCTCTGCCCTTCCCTATCTCTCTCGCTCTCTCGCTACTAAGCACCGATTTCCAGGCCTACTGCCACCCCCGATACCAGAGAGAGCCCGATCGATCTGACCCGTCCGACCCCACCAACTGCAACGCGACCGCCACCCCCGAGGCGTGCAACCAGCTTTTCCTGAAAAGGGTATGGAGTCTATCCTCCAGACGGTAGCAAGTAGCCCAGACAATTTAGAACTTCTCTGTTAGTGGTTGGAGCAAGCCTTTAGGGGGGTATTGAACTGTTGGCGGGTGGGGGTATTTTTAACAAGATGAATTAAATTTTCGCCGGTAATTCTGCGCGACATTAGAACAAACAACAAACCATTTTGACGGCATTTTACAGAATTTTTGTAGGTAAAAATCATAAAACGATTTCAAAAAGTTCCAAAATTTTTGCCTTTTTGGTCAAGAATGTATGCAAATTGGCCAAAAACGGGTAATCGGTACAAGATTTCGAACAAATTGTTTTCTGGCAATTTCATTCTTTTTGCAGTTCGTCTACCCGGCAATCGGCGTCTCGAAGACGATCTTCGGCGTCGACCTGCCAAACTTCTTCACGAAGGACCCCGCCGAGCGGGCGCAAATCGTCTACTCGACCATGTTCGCCACAATCGCCATGTACCAGAACTATTGGGATCAGTCGGGCTCCTTTGCCTTCTCTCTCTGACCCGTTCCATTTTAGTCAGGTTCCTAGGAACCGGAGCCTGACCAGCCGCTACCCGTCGTTTTGCGTCGACGAACAGTGCCTCACCAATTGCAACGAGAGTGTGGCCACACTTTTTCATGTACATTTTGCCAGGGGTTTTGGTATAGACCAGCGCTAATCCGCCGCTACGCGGGGGGTCGCCGCGTAATCGATTACGACGCCTTAAATCTGTACACGGCATCCGCGTTGCTTGTCGGCACCTTCACGTGCCATTTAATCCTCGCCTTTCAGCCGTGCAAAGCCTGCAATGCCGGTTCGGTCCGCGACTTCAAGGGGTACTGCGTCAAGAACTGTCCGCCGTACGTTTCGAATGTTTTCGTAGTTTTTTTATGAAAGAATGATACAGTTGAAAGTTCAAAAATACCCAAACACGAACGGGCGACAGGTCCCTGCAACCCTCCCCGCCCGATAACACACCAGTACCCCAATTTCCAGGAGCAGCTTTGACACGAAGAAAGCCGCGCTGCCACCAATTCCCGGCGGGATTCGCGACTGTATCCCGTGCGTTGACCCGGGCCGCTGTATACGGTGTGATTGGGTATCCTCATTGTGGTCCATTTAAAACAGTATCTACAGTACCCTTCGCTGAACTCCTCCAACGGCCCGGTGCACCCGGCAATGGTCATCCACGACCCCTACAACCACAGCCGGGAAATGGAGCTGGATGGTGGGTTTTTCAGGCAAATCCTCAAAGGAACCCTGCTAGTTTGCCACCTTGGGAACTTTTGCATTATCGCGGGGGGGGGGGAGGTTTGTTAGTATCCAATTCGTTAATACTGATAGAGGCAGCCAGGCCCATACGAGGGGGGGTACCAGGGCACGGTGCCCCCTCCTCCCCGAAATCGGAAATTGACAGAAAACGATTCTCGCCCAATTTCGAATTCTCGGTCTTTTTTAACGTGTTATATAGCTTTTCCATTAAATTATAATCACATTCTATAAAGAATAAATGCTTACCATTAATTAAACAAAATCAAGCATAAGCAAAAATACATGTTTGCCTAGATCCCTCCGTCCTGCGCATACGATGTCTGGAGTATAAGGATGGGAAGACGATGCCGAAATGCTTTGAAGAGTGGATATTTTTCTATTGATATTGTCGATCTCTCTCTCTCTCTCTCTCTATCACTCTCTCTATATCACTCTCTCTCGCTCGCGCTCTCTCTCCCTACTTCTATAACCCTTTTTCCAGATTCCAATTCGTCGACCAAACCGGTCGCTGTCAGAACTGCCATCCGGAATGCATCGGATGCATCGGCTTCGACCAGGCCCTGTGCAAAAAATGCCGGCACTACATGGATGAAAAAGCGGTATCCCTACTGTATTTATGTAGCACGATTTACGGTATAGAACTGCATCCCTCACTGCCCTCCCGATCACACGCCAAGGGAGATGATCGATGGCGTGCGGTACTGCGAGCGGAATCTGAAGCCCGAGGAGGTCTTGCTGGAGGTTGGCTTTGCTGGAAAGCTTCTATTAATGTGTCCATGGCTAGGACATCACGTTCAACCAACACTACATGAGCAACGACCGGGTGGTGGAGATGACCGTACCGATGATGCTGATGCTCTACGTGGCTTTGCAGGTGTGCGGGGCGATTAGTGAGTTTTTCTCTGGGTGCCTTTCTCTCTCTCTCTCTCATCGTCTAACGATTAACTCTACTTTCTGCAGTTTCCTGGTACTGTGCCGGACCCGACAACTCGGAGCTGATCCCGTGGAAGCAGGAAAAGTGGGTAAAATCTTGGCTTGGCTATAGTTTGCTCTTGGATTCCACTTGATAGCCCCCCCCGATAACGCGAAAGTACCACTTTTTCAGGAGAATTCGACGACGTGCCATCGCAGACGTGGCCCAATTCGTGGTCGCCCGCCGCCACGCCCGCTCAACTACCGACCTCCACGGACCACAAGTGCCAAAAGCCATGGGCTGTTAGTCGCTTCTGAACTGCTTCAAGATGTTTCCTTCTTAGCCGCCGACGAAACTGAACACCGGAACCCGCTGATAGATCGCCGCGTCATCATCCGGCACATTGTAGGAGAAACCCCCAAAGATTGCTCATCTACGATTTTCAGCTGAAACGGAAGCTGGCCCAAAAGCCGAAGATGCCCGAGGTCATCAAAGGGCCGTCATGTGGGAGACGTTCAGGGGATGAGCAATCGATTTCCTTTTCTAGACAGCGTCTCCGCCACCCAGCCAAGCCCACCGACGGAGTCCCCAAAAAAGAAGGGCCACACCGACTCGGGCAAGTCCGGCAAGTCCGGAAAATCCGGCAAGCAGTCGAAGAACTCGCGCGTCTCGGCGAAGAGCTACAAGGAGGTGTTGTTCTCGCCGGTGCCGGAGAGTTTGGAGATTGACGCGACGATCGTGCCGACGGAGGTGAATACTTTGCGAAGCCTAATTTCTCCTGCCCCCGCTAATTGTCCAGTTCCAAAAATCGCCTATTTACAGCCCCCGGAAGGCAGCCCATTCGGGAAAAGCCCATTGAAGCCGATTGCGCGGCAAAGCGAACCCGACAAGAAGCCACCGACCCCGCAGAAGAAGTCCGGCATGCTACCGCCCATCATCCGCAAGGCGTCCACCGGCCAGAGTGACCACAATGACAAGGTTGAAGGTTTTTCCAAATTCCGGATTTCGATTTTTGGCTCTTCCTGGCCAGATTGTGATCCCCGTTCAGAAGCCGCGCAACTCTCGCGAGGACCCCAAGCCGCCCACTTCGAAGCCGCCCACCCCGAAAACGGTGACGCCGCAGACGGCCGCTCAGCTGCCCCTACCACCACTTCCACCACTTCTGCCACTTCCGGAGCGTCGAGTGGCCAGTCGAGGAGCGGTTAGTCGAGGAGGGAAGAGTACGCGTCAGGTGTGTTTTGAATGGGCTTAGGCTGTGGATTCGGCTTAGGTCCCGCATTGGCTTAGGCTTACGCTTAGGCTAAAGCATAGGCTTAGGCTAAGGAGGCTTAGGTTTAGGTTCAGCTTACCAGGAGTGCTTTTTTTGAGTCATCGGCAAAACCTTACGAGACCTAGCTCATTCGATGGAGAATTCGATTCTGAACATAACCCCGTTGTTTTTTTTTTGCAGAATGGCTATCCCTGATTTTATAAAATTAAAATACTAGTGACCGTCCCTTACCATGAGTGCCTTTCGAGCCAAAAGAGAGGCTTTTGGGTGCAGTTTTACAATTTTATAAAATCAGGGATAGCCATTCTGAAAAAAGAACAACGGGGTTTTGTTCAGAATCGAATTCCTATCGAATGAGCTAGGTCTCGTATGCAGATGACCAATAACTCACTCCTTGTTAGTTCTAGGCTTAGATTAGGCGTAGGCGTACGCTATGTTCTTCTAGAAGAAGTCGTCGAACAGCGCCGAGGTGTCTGCCGGAATCAGCGCTGGGACGGCCCCCGCCGCCGTCAAGTCCCCGCAGCGCCCCGCCGGAAATCGCACGAAAAGCCGTCACGACAACCGTCAAAAGGTAATTTTTAACGTTTACACATTTTATTACGCTTTTATAAGGAAGTTACTAGTTTTGACGGTACGACATTTACGGATTTCTACGGTTTTACGATTTACGATAGTTTTCGCATTTTCAGTCCCGCCGCTCCCAGCCCTCCGGCGCCCGCTCCGGCCGCCAGCTTCAACAATAAGAATGACACCGACAATAATTGACCACGTAAAAACTCGAAATTCCGATAATATGCTGATGTCCTGACGTTTACTTTACATTGTCCATTTGCTCGTTCTTTCCTGTGATTCTTCGTATACGTGGTCGATTCATGATGAAGAATAAATGCAATTTGGGCTTTAGGTTGAGAGCAAGAGAGAGAGAGAGAAAGAGAGAGAGAGAGAGAGAGAGAGAGAGAGAGAGAAAGAGCGAGAGAGAGGGAGGGAGGGAGGGAGACCAAGAGAGAGAATGAGAGCCAGCGAAAAAGCGAGAGGGTGAGAGACAGGCAACAAGGCGAGAGAGTGTGAGAAACGGTGAAAACGCGAGAGGGTGAGACGGACAGCCAAAAAGCGAAAAAGTGAGAGAGAGACAGAGAGCTAAAAATTAAATACTTATAAATCTACTTTCTGGCGGTTAAATCTGATAGTGTACTGTCCCGTACTCTCAAATCCATAGTTTATCCTCCTATAAAACTCGAAAAAATTATCAAAATCGACGAGTAGTAGATGACCAAGTTGATGAGAAAAATTCGTAGACCAAAAACCTGTGCATCGGCGGGGTGGGCAAGTTATAAAAAACACACAAAAACATACCAAAAACAGATATGAAACATACAAAAATACATAAAGAAAGACGTCATGAGGGCGGTTTCGTGAAAATTCAAAAAAATTGCAAAGTTTATGACTAGATTTTGGGGGATAATCTGAGCCTGGCATTGCGCGTGGGAGATCACATTGAGGGGTACGGGGAGAATGAGATTTATAGTTTTAAGTTTTGATTTAAGACATTAAGAGCTTTTAAAGGACGGCTAAAGGTAGGCGGGCTGGTCGGGCCGCAACGCGGCCACCCGCCGGATATATTCAGCCTCGCGGAAAAAGTCGGACTGGAACGAGTTGTGCCGGATGGTGGACATTCCTGAAAATGTGCGTTTTTGGCGCGTTTAAAGGGGTTGTGAAGGCCCAGGGCGCTTGGAAAAGTAAATTAAAAGCGTGAGAAATCTTAAATTTATCTATTTGATCAAAAAAAATGAGAAAAATTGGGAAAAAAATTGATTTTTTCGGCTTTTTTATAGTTTTGAATTTGAAATTCTATCTATTAAACTAATTAATTTATTTTGTAGGTTCCAAGCGCCCATAACCCATCCACAGAGTGCAAAAAATCGCAAAATCTGCAAATCAACTACGGTATGATGAAAACAGGTGCTAAAAAGTCGGAGGAGCGAATGAGGAGGGCCAGGATGTTATAAAAACAAGATTTTTTTCGGTATTGCAAAGCCCATTTCTACAAAATGGACACGTAAAACCCATGCAGAAGAAGGACGTCAGTAAGTTGAGGGACATGTAAGATTCAGCGGAAAAACTACGCTGGAGAGGGGTTATGCCGAAAAATACGAACATTGTCTTTCGTTTTGCTATGATCGGGAGGCGTATGAACTCGAGCTTGTCGGGAATTTAGAACAAGTGGAAGCCCGAAAATGGTAATTTTTGCCCCCCTCTAGAGACAACTTCCAGAAGGAACTCTGCTAGCTTGCTCGGCTTTTAAAAAGTCCGCTCTGGTTCTGGCTCGTTAACGGGTTTTCGTAATTTTTATCGTTTCGAAATTTGTGAACGTTTTAAATCGTTTAGCACTATACAATCAACACTCATTCAAAAAAAATTTGTGGAATTCTATTTATTGTTCATTTTCTAATACTTTTCGAATGAATCAATGGCCAAACTTCCAAAGTTTTTGTGTTTTATCTTTCAAGAAACAGTGAGAAATGCTATCAAACTGATTTATGGTTTGCCTCAGGGCGGTCCCGTACGGCACCCCCCGATAATGAACCAGTGCTTTTTCTTATTCAAAATTTTTCTGCTTTTTTTCAGCACTTGCCCAATTTCTCGCTTTGCTTGTTTTTTTTTCGGCATAACACTTCTCTTTCGCAATCCAAAAACTACAGGTTTGTAGGGCTGGGCTACGCTCTTGCTGCCGGAGGGGTGAAAATGGCGTCAAAACCGCCCAAACCAACTACGGTAGAATCTTGGTGGGACACAAATGTTACCCTCTCTCTTTCCCTCAATAGCTCTCCCGTCGCATTGTTGCGGCTGCTAGCGGAATAGGAGGCCTATTTTCAGGGTATTTTGGTGTATAATTGCAAATTGAAAATGTTAAAAATCGAAAAATTGAACTTAGCCAAATTAGGTATTTTAGGAAAACGGAGGGTACTGTAGAATTTAAAATCCAGTTTTTAAAATGGGTTAAACTTCCAAAAAATCTCTTTAATATAGATATTTCATAGATAAATTTAAGTAAGAGCTGAATGGCTCTAGATTTCATCTATTTTTTGTATTTTGTTGTTCAGGAAATACAAATTTTGTGCAAGTTTAAATTCTACAGTAACCCTCCTTTCCCAACAATTACGACACCATATTCAACTGAAATAACTGAATTTTTCGTCAAATTTCAAAATGTTATGTTTGATGCTTATTTCCGCTTTACATTATGTCAGCGGGCAGCGCCAAATCGAATCGTTTTCTTGAGGGAAAATGATTTTTTAGAGATTTTTTGCTATAGACGTCTTGCTAAAAAGTTTCTGAAAATGTTGATTAATGAACAGCACTCAAAAAGCCTAAAGTTGGTACCTGAACTCGTCTCATCGATAAACCGCAGTTTCATCAACAACTCATGTGGTTCGAAGGGTCGATCCCGGAGCTCGTTGTCGAGGAATTCGCGTACGTCGTTCCAGGTTACCTTAAAGTATACCTTTGCCTACTACTTGTCATTTTTCTAGAATTCGATACTCGATTCCTCAAGGGTCTTCGCTAGTTAGCCTGTCGGTTTTTTCACGCATGGTCGGAACTTCGAGTTTTTTTACAAACCTTTCCACCCTTTTTCCTCCTCATCGCCCCGAGTAGGGCAACAATTTCTTTCAGCTCTTCGCTCATCCCTAAGAATCGCTTGGCACGACCAAAATAGTGGATTCGAGTGAAATAGGCTTTTAGATGGGTTGAAGCCAAATCGACGCACATCGTCACGACGGATAGACCTGAAAGGCGGCGATAAAGATAAAGAGAGAGAGAGAGAGAGAGAGAGAGAGAGAGAGAGAAAGATAGAGATAGAGAGAGCGAGAGATAGAGAAAGCTCTAAGACCCACCGACTATCACAAACGCGACGATTAGCGATAAGAATATGTAGTCGACGACGACGATATCCCCCAACCCGACCGTCACAATCAAATTGAAGCCAAAATGGAAGGCGTGGATGAAAGACCTGAAAAATATGATTTTTGATTACTTCCTTTGGATTGGGTTTGTATTCGAATCCTGGCAGTATACACTCAGTAAAATAACCATAAAGGCAGTGGTTTTCGTCGAATATCTCGGCGATTTTTGCACATATCGATATGCAATTTTTAGAATAGGCTTCTGAAGAGTCACTTGATATCCTGTACAAATCTGAATCAAATCCGTTCGTGGAAAGTCCGATTTTTGGCAAATGACGTTTTCGAAACTGTAAAAAAAACTATAAAGGCAGTCGAAAGAAATTCATTTAAAAATTCCCAAATTAGTTTCTTTACAAATTTACAATAGAATCATGGTTGCTAGAACGTTTTCTATTAAAAATTGTTTTCTAGCATTAATGGTAGCCCATTTTTTGTGATTCGACCGGTCATGGCCCGGCCAGCTGATGCCTCCCATCTTGTAACGTTCTCTAAAAAAATTCCTTCGTCGGAGCACTATTCTGGCCGCGTCCTTAGCTTGGTTTGGGGCTCTAGTATTGTCGGCCAATTGGAAATGGCACCGAAAGCAGCCCAGGCGCTCGCGTGGACAAATAAGTAATGATATTTATGACGGCGAAATTCGAACTCGAGGCTTAATTTCGCAACGACTTTAAGATGCGAACTTTCTTTTTTATTTTTGAGGAAATTATATGATGCTCTATGCTTGCCTGCTCCTATATATGCTCTTTAAAACACGTGGCGGTGGCGTAAATTAACGTCCAAGGCGCCTGAAACTCAACATTACGGGTGGTCGCACCATCGACAGCTCGGATTAAGCTTAAGTTTTGTCGCCATGCTTCCCGGCCTGAACAAAAGCCATGTCAAGATCAAGAAACGCGTAAACCACGATTGAATCGTAACTAGGACCGTGGGTTCGGCCGATCGGTGGATCCGTGGAACGCCCTCAAAATCCCAGATGCAAGCTGGAAAGCCTTGGATGTCTAATTTTTTTCTCAGAGGAGATGCTAACCTAGAAACATTTTGTTCAGCTGCACGCATGCACGGATAAGCGGTGGCCAGGCCGCCTAAGTCACTCTGCACGAAAATTAGGAATTCAGCTGTGGTTTGAAGCAACTTCTCGTCGCTTCCGCACCTGTGAGAGATTACATTATAGAATTGCCTCCGCTTTCCTGACGTTTCAAATTGCGTTTCCAATTGGCCGACAATACTAGAGCCCCAAACCAAGCTAAGGACGCGGCCAGAATAGTGCTCCGACGAAGGAATTTTTTTTAGAGAACGTTACAAGGTGGGAGGCATCAGCTGGCCGGGCCATGACCGGTCGAATCACAAAAAATGGGCTACCATTAATGCTAGAAAACAATTTTTAATAGAAAACGTTCTAGCAACCATGATTCTATTGTATATTTGTAAAGAAACTAATTTGGGAATTTTTAAATGAATTTCTTTCGACTGCCTTTATAGTGTTTTTACAGTTTCGAAAACGTCATTTGCCAAAAATCGGACTTTCCACGAACGGATTCGATTCGGATTTGTACAGGATATCAAGTGACTCTTCAGAAGCCTATTCTAAAAATTGCATATCGATATGTGCAAAAATCGCCGAGATATTCGACGAAAACCACTGCCTTTATGGTTATTTTACTGAGTGTATAAGAGTTACTCACCAATTCCTCTCCCAATTGATAAACATGGCAGAGCCCATTGAGCAGTACAGGCAGATACAAGCGACGTAGGCACCTGAAGAGTATTAGTACTTGGCAAAGTAGGATTTATTTTTAATGAATTAATAATAATATGAAAATTATGTGAATAACTTTAATTTTCAATTTCCTTGGCAATCTCTGCCAGCATGAGCAGCAAAATCAACTGGAGAAGCTGCTGTTTTTGTTGTATAATCCGCATCAGGGAAAAACGACAAAAAGCCGACAGATGAAATACCGACACGGGGAATCATCTATATTTTTTGCGTGAAAGCTATTGTCGTGATTTCGTTGTGTCGGCATTCTTGCTGTCGCCATTTTGGTTGTCGGCATTCCAATTTGTCGGTATTTTTGACGTCGGCGTTTTGGCCGGCGAGATTTTGTCGTGTCCGTATCTTTGTTGTGGGCGCTTTGGTTGTCATTGCTTTGTCTTATCGGTATTTTTGCTGTCGACATTTTATTGTCGGCATTTTGATGGACGTGAAACTCTCCGTATTGCGCCTTTTTTACACACTTACCGATCGGAAACCACAGCTTATCCTCGGTCCCATCCATCCCCAATATCTCCATCGTGTCGGTGTTCCCATTTGATGAGTGCACCGACTTCCGCCGAGAGTATCGATTCCGGCAGAGGAATTGCTAAAAAGGGAGTGATACCTTGGAATTAATGGTCAGAGAAATTTGACAGGCTTTGACAGTAGACAAATTGAGGGCCCCAGGCATATACATGTTCATCTAGGACAGAGACGCATGGATTCCGAGACCAGGACAGCTTTCAGGACAGTATTGGAATTTTTTTGACGCATTTTCGGAATTTTTATATCAATAAACCAGGGCTATATTTTGTTAGACACTATGCTCTGTCCATATCTTTTTAGAAACAGACCTATACATTGTGTAATCCAATTTCCAGGGATTCCTAGCCTTTTTAACAACCAAAAACATAGATTTTCTTTTGTTAAATTGCCTCAATATATAACTAAGCTAATTTTGAAGGTCTGGCAGGTTTGAAATTCTATGCGATATAATAAATTATTGATTTTACTGGCAATATAGAGTACGGAAAGTTTTTTGTAAATGATGCACTATGGAATCGATTTTAACAATCGCTTTTCCGATCATTTCCGATCTTGACGTAAAATTACAGTTTACGAGCCACATTTCATGCTGCCTTTTTGGAAAATCAGAAATAGGCTTTCCGCGTAGCTTTTTAAAAAATATTCCATGCATTTTGGAAACGATAGAATCGAGATATCGAATATAGGAAGATATGAGATTACATAGGGGCGGGCTCTTACCTCCACCGGTTCCGACCACTCCTTCAGGGATCAAGTTTAAAGCAAATATTCAACAAAACTTACCTTGATCTTTTTCGTCATTTTGTTCCAGTTGGCCACAAATTTGAGCAGCGTCTCGGACAAGAACTTTCCAATGTCGGCAGCGGTGATGAACATCAGGGGGATGCCGACAAGGGCGAAAACAACGGCAAACACCTTGCCGACGTCGGTGTCGACGGATACTTCACCGTAACCTGAAATAGTGGATTGGAAACTGCTCTTAGAAATGCTGCAATTCCAAAGCTTGACCCAAAGCTGATTTTAAGCTTACGACCAAGCCGAATCCTAAGTCTAAGCCTAAGTGCAAGTCTAAACACAAGCCCAAGCCCAAGCCCAGGCGCGATCTTAAGCCTAATAGTCCAACCGATAACCCAGACCCAACGAGAACCCAACGGCGCGAACTATCCCCTATACCCGACTGCAATACCAAATTTCAGCCACGATTTTGATCATCTACTACCTACCGCAAGTCGTCAACACGGTCAACACGTAGAGCAGCGCCGTTGGAAAGGTCCACCTGTTGTGAAGGTTTGTCAGATCGGTAGGCCGATTCATTTCTCTTCGAATTGGCCTTCGATCGTCGACTACCTCCGAGACGGACATCATCCATTCTCTGAAAAGGATGGGGTTGAGAAAGAGAGAGAGAGAGAGAGAGAGAGAGAGAGAGAGGAGAGAGAGAGAAAGAGAGAGATAGAGAAAAAGAGGGAGAGAGACAACGATCTCTTACCGAAATAAGCTGCTCCACTCCTCATGCCCTATCCGCTTCACCCCGTCCTGCGCATTGCTAACGATATCCCAAGACGTGGCGGTAAAGTTGGTCATCATGTTCGTTAACCTAAAGGATCCAATTATTCAACTTCAAAATGGGCTTTTTTCATTTCATCTAGGCTTACAATTTATTTCGCCGATTACGTGGCATGACTAATTTTCCAGCCAACTTTGAAAGTTTAATTTCTGAACTTCGATACCTTTGGCTTTCTGAGTATCACTAGACTCACCGAACAAGCTTTTTACTCCGGGCCATCAGTTCGGTCCTCGTCTCGAGCAGCATCAATATCCACGCGCCCAGACACAAATACCCGATGAGCACGGCGACCAAGATCACGTGAGGAGTGAGGATTTTGATGTACTGAAAAAAATAAATTTCCATGGGTTATGTGGGCTATGCAACGTGCAACAGTTTGGGGGACACCCGTGCTGAGTATTTTTATGGAACCCAGGATCGAAGTTTAGATATAAAGGGCGTTGGGAAGTGGGAGAATCGACCTTTTGCGTTGGCTAGGTCTTGACATTTTTGCTACGCGTAAAAACTCGCTCTTTCACTCTCTCTCTCTCTCTTTGTATTGTTCTCTCTCTTTCTCTCTCTCTATCTCTCTCTCTCTCTCTCTCGGCTTTTCTCCGTCTCTCTCGCTTTCTCAAGCTTTTCCAGCGCGTTTTGCCGCATTTTGTATCTGTCGAGACCTGGCCGTCCCGACGGGTAGATTCTCCCACTTTCCAGCCCCTTTAATTGTTAATGAGGAAAATACTCGGCACCCAATATTATATCCATTAATTTGTAACTGGATTTTTAGTAATCAGGTTCCACACTCGGTTGTGTATTCGCACTCGCATTCCCTTCCGCCCTGCCTTTTCCCAAAAAGTCTTTGGCTTCTCGGGCTCCTCATCCGCCTCGTCGAGCGAGTTCTTGCTCTCCTCTTCCGCCGACGAGGAGCCAAACCCATTTGAGTCGGATTTTACCTCGTCGATCTCATTGAAATGGACGCCGCGGGGACTAGGTGGCCGGTCAAGAGGGGGGTCTTGCGGAATTTTGGAGAGAGAAACGTAAAAAGATATGGCTTTGGAATTTGAGCTTTTTTTGCATAGAACTTTTTTGGAAACCGTAGATCCTGGACACCAGGTGTACTATTTGCTAATTTTGGTTTGGGCATCTTCAAGTTGTTTCATACCTTTATACACTGTTGTGGGCAGCTTTTTGGCTCCTTGTCTTCGGTGTCGTCCTTTATCGTGTCGGTAATCACAGTAGCGCCATCGTCTGCATCTAAAAGGGCAGCTTAAGCTCGTGCTCCCACTTTATTTATCACTTGCTCACTTTCTCACTTCTCTCTTTCTCTCTCTCGCTCTCTCTTTCTCTCTCTCTCTCTCTCTGTCTCTCTCGCTTTCTCTCTCTGTGTGTGTCTCTCTTTCATTCGCTCTTCTTTCTCTCTCTCTCTTTCTCTCTCTCTCTCTCTCTCTATCTCTCTCTCTCTACTTCTCTCTCTCTCTCTCTCTCTCTCTTTATCTCTCTTTCTCTCCCTCGCTCTTTCTCTCTCACTCGTTCTCTCTCTCTCTCTCTCTCTCGCTCTCTTGCGACGGGTCAGAAAAGAAAATCTTCTACTTTCAAAGGGTAAAGTAAGACGCCAATCAAAATTTTTGTATAAAATTTACCTAACAAGGCTGATTGTGAAGTTAACGGCACACCGTCCCATCGTGTTGTTACGTGGTCTAAAAATCCACGCATTATAAAATGTTAATAGATTCAAAAATAAGGGTTTGGTTTGATTTTTCTGATGCCAAACTAAAAGAATAACCTTTTCTTATAGAATCTCCTCTAAATATGGAAAACTGATCGATGGTCGTCGGCGAGACGGAATAGTGACTTCTGTCCGGGTCATTGCGACCTGGGGGAATTCGGCAAAGTTTGAGTCGTAGATTCCGGTGGTGTACTCGGGACGAAACACGAGAAGCTGGTTTTTGGGTGCAAGCATGCAGGGGGACACGCATTTATAGGTGATAAAGAGACGGTAAATCTGGTGTCCGAGCGGCCGGTTCATCGTTAAAGATTGTCGTTCGTACCATTTTTAGCGGATTTCTTTTTACTTATTTTTTAACCTTTTAAAATCGGATTTAGCAAGAAAAGAAAAAATATAATTGATCTTTACGTAGAAAAACATGGTGACGCATGACAAGCCGAAATTTATCAATTTGTTGAGCTTTTCCAGCTTGAAAAGCTGTGGTTTGAACTCGATTTATTTCTTCGTGAAATCGCTTAAAGCTAAAATCGCTTTTCCATTTTTTTAAATTGCGGTTCTCGATGCCTAGATAGTTGAGAAAACCCAGAAAAACTCGAAAAACGCCCAAGATCGAATATTGTGGATGGATGTGCTCGTATTCGTCATCCGGCCCTCTGGGCGGCCCTCGATCCGACCTTTTCCCTGCGGGACCCAGAATACGCAGAAAAGGGAACTTTTCGGGGGTTTTATAGGCAGAAATAAGCAGGTTTTTCAATAATTATAGGCTATCGATCGACCAATTCGTAAAAATCGAGTAGAGGAATTTATCGTAAGTACCGGAGGAAATCAGATAAAAATTCCAAACTAAAAGAGCTTTATCATTAACTGTACTCATGAATTTTCTAATGAACCAAAATTTTTCTTTCATTTGCATACCTGAATGCCCAAGCGTCGCGCTCAAGATGGAGTGATAAACCGACGGGCTCCCGGATAGCCGCTGCGAATTTCGAATTGGCAAAATATACATCTTTTTTTAGGTTCGGTGAAGTAAACAAAAAGGAGTAGGCAAAGTCCAAAAATGTCCCCAGAAACTAGCCGTTGTTAGGACTCCTATTCTAATGCGGGCCCGTCTGCATAATGTTATGATTGGTCCTCGGGGTGGAGGGCACTTTTTATGGGTACTCGGGGCGTTTTTTGGAATGTGTTATGCTTATTTTTGGTCCTAGGGGAACACGAAATCTAAGAAAAAAGACGATTTATATGTTTCAAAAGTCAGTGGAAATTGTAGTTTTGTACCCGAACCTCAAAATATATTCCTAGGTTTTTTACGGAACTTACGAGCTTAAATCTGAAATTTAAATGTTTTTTTTGGAGGCGCATTAATAGAGCAAAAACTCAAGCATACCTACTATAAACGCGTGTAAAATCTCTTTAGGCCCTATGAAAACTCTTCTATCACCACCCCTTTAAAAGCTCTTGAAATTTGAATTCCCTACCGCCAACCCAAATTCCCCTTTTGCTTCAATTTCCTCCCGACTCCAAGTTCCTTATCAAACCTGCTATAAATCCCCCCGCTAGGTCCCGGCACGATTCTCCGTTCTAGCGGAATAAGCGGATCCCCCATAAATTGGGCGTAACAGGGCGGGAGTTCGGATTTCCCGAGTTCTTAAGGACCTCCCGGGATGCCCGGCCAGGCAGAGGAGCAGTTGAAGAAGCCGAGCGAGGGCGATATCTGGGCAATTTATCTCTAGCCCCGTGCAAAGGGCCCCCACCACCCACGCACCGAAAAACTGGGTGGCCCAGTGCGGAATTCGGGAATTTTCGACTTCTAAAAGAAGAGTTCTAAGTCGCTCTAAGACAGGTACGATATGCATTAGTGGAAGGTGCTCTCTAAGCTGATTCAGCCTAATTCTATTCTATTTTGATTCTCACAACGTTTTTTTTTCTTGAACCCAACAGCTGGGCCAAATCGGCTTTTTTCAGTAGTAGTAGTTTTTCTCTCGACTGCTAGTCTTATATTTTTGCCCACACTGCGGCTAATTCGGGAGAAGAGCTCAAGCTCAAAAGCCGTATTGCCAACATGCAGCATCAACCCTTAGCCATGAAAGCCCGGCTGAAAAGGGACCGGAAGCGGCATGCAAACAAGGGCAGCGACACCCAGCTAGGGGTCCGGTTGGCACCCACTACGAGTTGATACTATGTACGTAGGTCAGTCGTAAAAACAGGGTCAGAAGATGTAGTTGGCAACAGAGGGATACAGAGAGGAACACGGAGAGCGAGAGAGAGAGAGAGAGAGAGAGAGAGAGAGCGATAGAAATATTCAAAAAAGCAGAAAAGTCATGAAAATTTCAAATATTGCCAGTCCACTACATGACGCTCCAAAACCCACCAATAATAATTTTCCCGTCCTCCAAAATCGATATCGTCGGCCTGCGAGCGCCCGATTTTTTATGCCGCTGATGCTCAGACACCGAAAATACAGAATCCTGCGGTGAGTGCGAGTCGTGAATTTGTCGAACAACCAGGCTCTGGTCATCATGATGGCTCAAGCGATGCTGATGTTGGTGCTCCCCTTCGCAGAGGAGTCTAACATGCTCCAATCTGGCCTCATTTGCTTCTCTGCCCAAATGTTCGGCAATAGCCACGCTGAGCCTCGTGTCAAGCTGGCTCAGATGTAAATGAGGGGTAGTTTGACGTCGTGTTGTCGGTTTGGAATGGGGGGAGTAGAAGAACATATCCTTTCGGTTTATTTATGGAGTTCAAGCTCAAACTCGAACTCAACCTAAGCGATACGCTCAAATTCCTGGGGCCAAGCGTCGTGGTGGACCATGGATGAGCCCGGATTCCGAATGGCGCCTCTTGACACGGTAATTGGTGGGTTGCCAGAACCGAATTCGTGGCGAAATATTGACGACTGGGATTTTGGGTCTTAATGAAATTGGAGTGGAAATTGGATGGAGTCGGAATTTTCCCGCTAGACGACGAAGGTACTATGAAATACTATTGAATACGGTAGAATACGTTAGAAACCACTAGAATACGTTGAAATACGGTATAATACGCTAGGATACGCAGGAATACGTTAGAATGCGTTTCAATATGTCAGAATACAGTGCAATACGATAGCTGGGAACCAGGAAGTCTCAACTTCCGGAAAGATCCGGCACTATCCGATAAGCCAAATTTCAACCGTAATTAGTAAATTCTGGGAATTTTTGTAGCACGACTGATCCGGTTTGAAGAAGCTGTAGAAACCGGCAGAAGCCGCAGAAAATCAGGGCACCCCGAGGCACTTGAGAAGCAGAAGGAGAATAAGAAGACGGAGAAAAAGAAGCCCGAGATTTCGACTAGAACCAAGAGGGGTACGCAGAAATCCTGAGGACAAACTGGAGCAAGAGATCCACCCCGCCCCTTCTCCATGGCCCCGACCCTAGGGGTGCGCGCCCCATTTGTCTCGCCGATTGTTTTTGCATGTTTGAGCCGGATGCCCAGCGGGCTATGCCCATATGCTTCTTCTCTTCTTCAGGGGGACCGCCAGGGATGCTTTTGGAATTTTTGGGGGGAGTCGGCTTCGGAGCTTGGGCTCTCCGGGGAGAAATCGGGAGCTCGGAGTTGGGCAGGAAATTTTTTGCGCCCCTGGAAGGTCTTTGTTTTATGGGGTTGGTGCAACTTTTGGATAAAGTGGAATTTTTGAATCGGGATAATGGGTTTTTGTGCCTGGGGATGGAATTTGAGTTTAGAACTTTACGGAATTCTGGCGGTCTTTTTTAAAGGGACCGAAAAGCCGACGTTTTAGCTGTAGCAGCACAAAGATGAAGAAGAAGTCATACGCATTTAAATAAAAAATGGACCAAGATGAGGCGGAGATTTGTCATGCTCCATTCAAATTTAGCTCTTTATCTAAACAGCAGAGAGAGCGAGGGAGAGAGGGGGAGAGAGAGAGGGAGAGAGAGAGGGAGAGAGAGAGAGAGAGCGAGCACTCGGGCTCCTATCCCACTCCCCTTAAAGTCCATCTTCACCCCCAATCCTTGGCCAAGTGCCAAGATACTCGACTCGGCTGGACTTCCATAAGATAAATTGTTAGCTCCTAGCCAGCCCAAAAAAGCAAAGCCTGCCTTGGGCTCCTGCTCCTGGAGATAGATCGGTGGCCCGGTTTTCACTCCACAGCCCCAAAAATTCTCCACCACCCAGAAGCGATTACTCACGGGATTTCTGGAAGGGGCTAAGGCAACTTTTCAAGAAAAAGGGGATGTTTCAAAATTGATATCATAGTTCAGGTTATGGAATTGGCTTTACCTTCAAGATATGGAATTTTTTTACGGCAGGTATCTAAAAGCTGTGAAGCTGTATCTAAAAGCTGTAAAGCTGTAAAGCTGTAGCTGTAAAGATAACGCAAGGGAAAAATTCCTGATAATAACAACTCAACAAGCGAAAAAAATCAGCTTAATTCAGGACTTTAATGGATTTAGCTTCGAAGTGCCTTGAACCACACAACTGCTGCTGCTGAAAGTGTTTAGGTTATTTTAAAGGGGCTGCTAAGTAAAAAAACAGGTCATATGACCCCTCAAAAGCTAAAAAATTGGTTTGCTATGAGGACTTGACATATTTTTTGCTTCCGGGGACCTTTAGAAGGCAAAATTTGCAATTCCACGAAGGGTTAACATATTTTAAAGGGGTTGACAAGACAAAGTTTAGGTCGAGTAACTTGGTATAACGCTTAATAATACGCTTTTCACGACAGAAACGTTTTCAACGCGCTTTAAACTCACCATCATAATTCGAAATCAACTGCTCCGGATCCAACGATCCCACCGAAGTAAAGCCCGACCTTCCCGAGATTCGATAGATCTCTTCCCGATTCGAGATCCGGACGCTGGTCACGGGGGCAACTCGTGATCCAAGGAATAATTGAGACACCCGACGCGTCAAATTTTGGAGCAGCTTGGCGTAGTAGTCGGAGTGGAGCGGAATAATCATCTTCTGATTCTAGCTCTCTATCGTTTCGAAAACAGCAAGTTTTTCTACCCTTCTCGGCCGCCTGACGTGAATTCCGATGCGGGCCAGAATTTGGGAGACTTTTTTGGAGGCCAGAATATTCAAGGCGTCGTGTTTTTTGTCGAGAACCCGGCCCGTTTGGATTACTGGAACGCAGAGATGCTTTTGAAATTCTGGGAATGGGAGAAATCAATTAACAGGTTAGTAGCAGTACAGTAGCAGGCTAGCAGAGGTGTTTTAGCAATTGCGGTGATCAACAAATTTTTTAAGAGCAGCCAGCAGAGAGCTTTTAACAAGCAGCTAGCTGAAGAATTCGGGGGGGGTTGAATAGCAAAGATTCGTTAGGAATAGCTGCCAAATAGCTTTCGAAATAGCCGAATAGCAATTTTTGCAGGGCAATCTAGCGAAGAGCCTTTGGGAAAATTAGTCTAAGCAGTTCCGCCCCAAATTTTTTGGCACGCTAGCAAAGATTCTTGAGGAAAATGCGCGCTTTACGAAGGCAAATTAGCAGCAATACTTGCGGAATTGACCGAAATAATTAGCTTGGATGGGCCAGCTTGCAGCGATACTTGAGGAATGAGCCGTTCCTTGTTCCGTGGCCAAAATTGTACGGAGCATAAGCCAGCACAAGGTCAACCAGGACCCTCAAAAAAGCCCCCACCGGCGCAAAATAGCGCCCAATAAAGGGGCCAATAAAGGAAACGGGGTGGCTGGCTGGTTATGGAAGTGGGTCCTGCTCCTGGGGCGCTGCTGCTCGAAAATGTCCTCCTCTCCGGGCTGGCCGCTAGCCAACCGACGAATATGCTAATTTTGACGTGTGCGGAATTTGGGGGCGTGTGATTTTGGGGTGGGAATAGGTGCATCTGAGCCGTTCCTCCTGTGCCTCGCAACTTTTGGAAATAGACTGCGCTTTAGGACAGGGCAAACAGAGGTAATTCTGTTAAAATTTGGGCCTATAGGCGAAAATTTTTGGAAACGCGACGAGCATGAGCTTTACAGTATTGAAGGGTGCTTGGAACTCACACTTGAATTTGGAATAACTGAAAAGTGCCAACTAGAAATGGAGAGGGCTAGATAGGGAGATCGAGACAGATAGAGATAGACAGCAAAAAGAGAGAGCGAGAGAGAGAGAGAGAGAGAGAGAGAGAGAGAAAGAAAGAGAGAAGAATATGGGAAAATGAGAGAAGAGCATGATCTGCCTCTGACGGCTTCAAATTTTCGAATACAGCAATTTGTAAATACCAGGGGTTTTAAAGGAACGTTGAAGCCAAAGATTTTTATGGATCTCATATAAACTGACCTATTTTTGCTAAAATCTTTGAGTGTCACATTCTCGGCTTTGGAAATAAACATGAACTATCAAAGATGGAATTTGAACAACAGCAAAATCCGCGACAAAGGGGTCGCACGACGAAGTGACGCATATCAAATTCTCCAGTCATATTTCTTACCCGATTTCCGTTTCTTGGCCAACGCCTGCTCCTCCTTGATGCCGGCGGTGGTCTTGATCAGCCCGGCCGCCGAAAAGAGAGCAACAGCCGGGCTGAAGCTCTCCTACAGCAACGCCTGCGAGAAGATCATCCCGGCCACGCAGTTGTTGCTCGCCGAGGTGCACGCATTGCTTTACGCGAGGTAATTACGAGAAAAATGGAAGAGAGATAGAAGGTGATAACTACGAGATCTTAGCTAAAACTGAATGAGGTTGATTCGGCTTTTTAGTGGTTTTTCTTATTGCTTTACGCGAGGTAATTCCGTAAAAAATGAAAAAGCAGGAATAACTGTAAAATTAAAATTTCTTAGTTACAGAAGCATATAAAATGATCAAAAATCGCTTCAAAATCCCAAAAACGATCAAAACCCGTAAAACCCAACACCCGAAAAACATGCCGACGCGGTCGGCCGGAAAATCGGCGGCATCGAGCCGATCCTGCTGCTTTTCTCGCGCCTCTTTGGAGCTCCTTTTCTTTTGCCGACTAGCGGTTTTTGGCTAACTGGTTCCGGATCCTGATTGGGCTTTTGCGTTGTCGGGGAACCCCCCGGAGAAGACCTTAGATCCAACCCCATACGCACGAAACAACACGCCAAAATAGACGGGAGTGCGGGATACCAACTTTTTCCTTGACGTCCAATCTTATATAATAAATAGATGATGCGTTCTTAAACGGTTTATATTATTTCTAAACGTAGGAACCTCACGAATTTTCGTAAAAAAATACAAAATATCGATTTTCCTGTAAAAATTACCAATTTCGGCCAAAACCTCGAAGTGAAATTTTTTCCGTGTTTTTGAGATAGCTTTTGCATTAAGATAGCCGTATTTAAGTTCATAAAAACTATTCATAAATACTTACTACGTTACGTTACGTATGCTAGCAAATTTTAGACTGGGCGGGAGCTCTGGCCTAATAGCCAAAAGCCAGCGCCCCGAAAGTCCAAAGAAGTAAAAACTAGTAAAAAATCTGCCAAAAAGTTTACAAAGCATCACTAGATAAAAATATTGTGCAATCACTACCTTACAATGACCTTAACAAAATTTTAAAGCGTCGATTCGACTCGGGATTGAGTTTTAAGAAATGGGCAGTGAGGGCGGACGGGCATCTTGGGTCAAAGGCCCACATCAAATTTGTTATTCCATCAAATGAGCGGGCGGGATGAGTCGTCCGCTTCTTTCTCCACTACACGCCAAGAAAGTGGACCCGCATCAATTATTTAAGGAGATTTCCGGGTGGGTCCCGAAACGCCGAGGCATTTGGACGTGCTGATCGATGCTTTTGGGGTTAGGGTAGAGTTTAAAGGAACTGGGAAGACAGAAATTTACGTATTTTTGCACTTCTTGTCAAAATTAGTTTGGAATAGATTTTTAATAACTTCGGAATTAAAAATTAATTATTTTATCTTGTCGATATTTCATATTGTCGAAATTTCATATTGCCGAAGTTTCGTAATTTCGGAATTCATAAGGTCGATAGTCAAAATCCGTAAATTTCAAAACACCGAAATTTCATGATTATGAAGTTTGCAATGCCCACATTTGATGATGTTAAAATCTCAATATGTACATTGTAGAAGTTAACAGCCTCAAATTTTTAAAACAGGCTGCTTGGAACTCCTGAATTTCGGCATTTTGAAACCCCGAAATTTTGAAATTTCACATTTGATTTTCGATATTTTAAAGGTGCCAGGAAGATAACAAAAATTACAACTTTGCGATGGATTTCAGACTCAAACTATCAAATTTTGCGCGAAAACTTGCTTTAAAGGACAGCTGAGGGCAAAAACAAAGACTCGGAGATTTCAGTGCCCAGGAGCCCGAACTAATCGTAGGCATAACTTTTCCTGGCGTCTACCCCACCCCGGGGGTCGAGGTTCCATTGGCTTGGGTTCCAACCCGGCGCCGGTGGGCCCGGAAGAACACTGCCCTACTGGAATTGAGTTATGCTCGCCCTGGGACTTTTTAGGGTAACGGAAAAGGGTGTAAAGGAGAGGTCGAACCCCCGCCTGGATGGCGCCAACACCGAGTAACCCTTTTTTGGAGCTCCGTTTTCGGTTAGGGCGTTCAAATCAGCGCGCGCGGGCTAGCTCGCTAGGGGATAAATGGATTTTCGGAGCATTCCTACTGTTTTAAAATATTGTATGCAGAAGGAAGACGCAAAAATCTCCATGGCCAAAACTCGATCGCAAAGATGTCGACACTCGAAAATGCCGACAGCTAATTGCAGCAGCGGCAGCGCGTCGAAAAACGGTCGGTATTTTGGCTGTCGGGATTTGGATGTCGCTATTTTATTTGTCCGGCTTTTTCGCTACCGGCATTTTTTCCTTTCGAGATTAAGGCTGTCGGGGTTATGGCTAGAATTCGCGGAAAGAGTAAGAGAAAGCGAGAGAGAAAGAGAGTGAAAGATTTATATGCAAATTTTTCGAATTATAGGACAATTTTCCAAGATTTTTCGATTTTCAAGTGGTTTTCTAAAAATTGAAAAACTTGCAAAAATCTAACGAGCCACACAGCCCGCATACATAAACGGAAACGTTGTGGACCTTTGACTTTCAGCCGACAAGACAATGGTGTCGTTTCTCCCTCTCTCTCTCTCTCTCTCTCTCTCTCTCTCTCCAGAGCTGCAAATTTGGGGCACCACCCCCACCAAAGAAAGCGCCACCACACGACCCCCGGGGGCCAAAAGAGGCAACAGCATTTTTTGGCCCCCAAATTGGGTTTCAGCAGCTGTGCGCGAGATGTGCGGTCTCGCCCGCTGGCCTCTATGGCGGGCAGATGATATACTAGTAGTCAGAAATACTAAACTAAATGCTAGGTTGGATAGTAAGGTTATGATAAATACGCTAATTACGGGTTGAAGAATGTCGAAAATCGCAAGATAAATTTATTGAGATTTTTTTCCCGTATTATCTCAATTTTTTAATTAAATTAAGACATGCTAAATACATGTAAAATTATTTAGAAGTGAAATCTGCGTAAACTTAGCCCGGAATGTTCACCATAACTATAAAAATATTTAGAATATTGAGAATATTTTCTATCGCGAATTGTCAACTTCCATACTTATTACATTGACCTCAGAAAGTCCAAAAAAATCAAAAATTCTGCCCTCGAAAATTCGGGATCCCGTCCCATTGCGTTTGGCTTTGTGTCCGTTCCGCGGGGGTCCTCTTTACGACACGAAGGGCATCACTACCACCCCCAAATTTGGCCCATAAAATGGGCAAAATAGGGTAGGATGCTCTTAGGGCCAGGCGCCAGGAATGAAATAACAGATGTTAGAATACTAAAGAACACAATCTCCAGATTTTTAGAGCTAAAAATTTGAATTGTTCGATTTGGTAGCTATATGCTGCGTCAAGGGCAGCACCTTAATTTTTCCTGCGATTCCGGTGGCCTCATCAGTATAATTCATCAAAAACAGTGATGAAAATTATGATTGAGAACTCGGAGTTCGGGCAATGTACTAGTTATGCTGAGACCGGAAATTGGAGGAATACCCTTAGAAAAGGGGGCAGCCCGAAAATTGGATTTCCACTCAACAACAACTTGCGCGCCACCCAATGTTGCCAGCGCCAGGATAATTGGCACCACGACGTGGGCGCATGCAAACAGCCTCGGAGGCCACTAATATGGACTTGGATTGACTCTACTAATTGGGTGTAGAGCAAAATGTTGCGATTTCAGGGAAAGAAAGTCTGGCTCAGAAGAAATTCTGGATTCTAGGGTCGCGGAATTTCATTGAAAAATCGGGAAATTTTGAAAAATTGACAAATCTTATTGAAGGATACCAAAAAAAAATTAAAAAAGTCAGCTTGGCCCAGCAACAGCGCGAGATAGAGAGAAATAGATAGAGAGAGAATCCAGAGAAATCCAGAGAATTCATAGTCAGCAACTTCTGAAAACTAAAAATTAAATGCCATGGGTGAGAGAGCTGCAGAAAAACGAGCAGGATCTTTTGCACTAAATTTGGCCTACCGCCGCCATTTACATAGCCTATCTTCTAAACCAAAAAGCGTCCCGGCCTCAGAAATTTGATCCTCAGGATGCCAGAAAATTTTCAGTTTCTATGAGGAGCCAGAGAAAAACGAAAAATATGAAGATGGAGGTGCCAATGGCATGAACGGCATTCATCAGATATGGAGCGAGAGAGCAAGCTGCGACGTCAACGCTTTTTTGTGGATGATTTTTGGGACATCAAGGCTCCAAAAAATTATTTGAACTTACTAGGAGAAATGGCACTCAAAAAATATAGCTGTGAGTACGAGCTTCACACAAAACATACGGGAATTACTACGAAAATATGCCAATCAAGAATATGTAAAAATTAATCTACTGACCTGGATGCTGCTTCTGGCGCTCCTCCTCCTTCCGCCGCCGTTTTTCCTGCTTCTCCATCTCGTCCAGCTCGCTGGGGCTCCTCAGATGTACCTTCTTCGTCCCAGACGGCAATACGGTGATCTTCATGCGCCTCGCATTCTCTTGCAGCGTCCATTCGTTCCAGAATTTCCGCAAAAACATCGTCGCGTCGTGTGATTATGATTTGGTGGGGGAGAGGAGGCGGCGATGCTGTGTACCCGTTTGTTCAAAACCCGCGTATACGACGCTAAATTCGAATTGCGGCTGGTGAATGAGGGGAGAGGTATGGAAAAGGTAGGTATTGATACGGGAAGAATTATATGACCCGATTTTAAGGTAAGTAAAGGTAAGCAATTTTTAAAATTGATGGAGTAACACCAAAATTGTTTAAAAGAACGTTTTTCGCATTCTAAAAATCGGTAGGTAAGCTTTTTACTATATAAGTTGTGTACCATTTATTTGCTGATCGAAAATCTTTCAACCGCATTTTCTAAGTAAAAATTAAGGCTTCGTTCGCCAAAATGTTTTTAGGGGAGCCATTCTAATGCGATGAAAAAGGCCAAAAGTAACAATTGAGAAAATCTGTGGATAGTTTAAATTATGCCAATTTATTTTTATCATTTCTGGGTATTCTAGAGGATAGACTATAGTAAAAAGCTGGAGCCGAGCTTATGAAAATGAAGGCTCGAATCCGTTTTGAGACGATCGTCCAAAGTAATGGAGCGGAAAAATCCGGAACGGCTTGGTCATTGACTCTAAATGAAGACTAGCGTTACATATCAAGTTTCTTACAGCTTCTGGCGGTTGAATTTTTTAAACGTTTGCTACTGAAATAACGTTTGATACTTATAAAAACCTACTGAAAATATATGGCACTAATATACTACCAAAATCGTCGTGATAAGAATGCATAAAATACCTTAAATGGCCCGTTAGGAGCTCAAAAATCTAATAGAAATTATCAATTTGAAGGTATCTCTCAATGGATCTTCTTGCCAATATACTATTAATGCAATACGCACTAGTGAGTACCTAGATTTCCTGCAAAACAAACAAAAAATTGATCCAAGCACCCCAACGCACACAAGAGCATTGTTGGTGTGCAAAGCGATCCGTCCTAGGCGCGGCTGAAATGAGGCACATGGGATGGGTTGGTGTGCCGAGAGGGTCTCGGGATATATAACTTTGACAAATCCCCCCTTCAAGGCTTCAACCCCCCGGCTTCAAAAGCGCCCCTTCCGCCCCCTCCTTGACCCCTGCCCCCGAGCCGAATTGTGTTTTTCTCGCGGCTTCTTGCTTCTCCTTCAGCTTCTCCCCCACCCGAGTTCGAATCTCTTTCCGGATCCCCGACCGCATAACATCCCGCTTTTTGATATGCTTTGCTACGATTTTTGAGGAGGCCCGGGTTAGCCAGTGCCTCGACTAAATCGGGTTTGGGAGTAGCTTTTTTGGGGTAAGTAGGAATGTTGCGGACTATTGGAACGCCGAAAAAAAGCGAAAAATCACTAGGAGGGCTAAGTATTTTTTTGGTGGTGTGCCTCTAATTATCTTCGGCTTTTTTGTTCTCTCTCGCTCTCTCTTTCTCACGCGCTCTCTCTCCCTCACACACACTCTCTCTCTCTCTCCCTCACACACACTCACTTTCTCTCGCTCTCTCTCTTTCCCACTCGCGCTCTCTCCCTCACACACTCTCTCTCTCTCTCTCCCTCTCTCTCTCTTCTCTCTCTCTCTCTCTCTCTCTCTCTCTCTCTGCTTTTCGTCAAAAAGCGAACGCTAATGTAAGCAGATTCCCAACTTCCGATCCAGTTTAGGTGTGGCAGGGGTAACCTTTAAAAAAAGTTAAAGTTAAAAAAACTTAAAAAGCCGGATCGCTGCTAGAACCTGCAGAAATCAAAGCTCTTGAAGTCAGCAGGATTTCATGAAAATTGTTGCAAAATGCCGTCACCCAGGGCCGAACATATTTGCGAATCGACAAAAAGGCAGGAAACAATTTGGGGGTGACCATGTGGGTGGTGGACGTCGGGATTCCGCGAAGGTGGCCATTTGGTGGCCGTTCGTTGGCCATAGGAGAGGCACAAAGGCCAAATCACCGGGGGCCGCTAAACCACCGGTTGACCAAAAGCAAGGGGAGCCGAATAATTTGCAAATTCCTAGGCTTCAAATTATGGCCATCTGTCAGGGGGTCTGAATCAACTGAGTAATTTTTGTCTAAAACGGTCCCTCCTGGCCTACCCTGAACTCCTAAATGATCTTTGCAAACCTGTTTTAAACCCAAGTTCCCAGCTATACAAGTCTGTTGTGATTTACTAAATGGGCTGTGCTACCCGGCCTCAAGTCAGCCACACATTTTCAAATTAACATCTTTTAGAGCGATTGAGAAGACATGTTTTTGGTTTTTTGATTCCGGCTTTCTCACGATTTTACCTGCGACCCGTGAGGCGTAGAAATTCAATGCCAACCAAATACAAAGTCCTACCTTGCCTAGCCCTCTAACGGAACTGGAAAGGCGCAGCATCGACCCCCGTCCCCTAACTAGGCATTGACACCTACGATAGCATCAGTTTTGGCGTATCGCGTAGCTGTCGATATCCGCGCCTCAGAACGTGTCAATTCGCAGGCCTTCGGCCACGCACGCCCTTTCCCAGTTCCTGATCCCCCAAAAAAGGCCTGTCAAGAGTCCAACGATGACCTCAACCCCGAAAAACTCGAGATTCGCGATATTTGTTTTTACTTGCCAACCCCGGGACTTCCGGGCGCCGATCTGACAAATCGCGCGAGCCCGGGTGACTTGTTGGGGCCCTTTAATGCCCAAAAAAGGATGCTAGGGCTGAGGCCATGTGCAGGGCCATAGGGGAAGCGGGTGGCGGGCCCCAAGGGGTTCCCGATGAGCACTTTACCGGGTGCACTGACGCTGCTGCTTAGCGGGGAAATGTGAATTTTTGGATAATTTTTGAGGTATATAAATTTTTGAGCCGAAAGGCTTGGACGGAATTTTATAACTAGTTTTTTTATTTATTTAAAAGGAAGGACAAGGTTTCCAAACTGTCTATTTCATTGAAATCAAGCTCAATCAAGATTTTGAGAAGTAGGTTAATTCGAAGCTGTTCAAGCATCTCGAGCCCATTTTGGAATCAATCCTAAGTAACCCAATTCATAGACTAAGCTTAAACATTTTAAAGAATACCAAATAAGCCAGAGGGTTTCAAAAATGAAGCAGTATTTCAACTTGAGCGTCACTTGGAGGATTCTCGTCCCAATTTTGGGTGAGCCTATCGCAACCGTTCAAATAGGAAAAAAAAGGAAAGTAGCCGTGGCAGACGCCAAAATGTGGTTTGAAAAACTGGCAAAACTCCAAAAATTCAAAAAGAAACTTACGTGGCGCTATGACCAGGAGCACGACACACACCTAAAACAAGCAAAGGAGCTTGAACAATTGGCCGTCCCAGGCCAGGGAGTTAATTTGTCGGTGGCCACGAAAGTTGCGCGCGCCGCTGAGTGGCACTGAGATTCAAGGGAAAGCTGAAAAAGGCAGGGCGAGAACGAGGGAGCCGCTGCGGGACACTCTGCCCTACGAAGCCCCGGGGCCGCCACCACTTTCAACAATAGTTGCTGAAAGATTTGCTTGTTCATACCGTGGAGCACCAGCTGCATCTGAGGCATAACTCCCCCCTCACCACCCACATTCCAGGAGAGCAGAAGCCGCTCTTCGACCGAAAAGTCGGAATGGGGTGCGCTTTAATACTCCTTTTTTGATGAACTACGCGCGGCTACTTATGGACGGGGAGACGGGTAATGGTGACGAACGAGTAGTTGAAGTTCTAAAGAGCAGAAATGCCTAGGATTGACCTATATGAATTTCTTACCAGAACCGGTTTCGTTTTCTTTGATAGACTTTTTGTGCGAAGCGGAGTGCCAGGAAAGGCTACAGCGCGGATTACCTAACACCGGGAGAGGTAAAGAGTTAGTTTTCCGAAGTGCCATCGCTTGAAGCGATAATTATTTTTTCTGCTGGGCCGGCCTTGCTTTGTTTAACGTTTTTTTTACTCGACGACGCGTAGCTACCCATGCCGAATGGCGAAAAAAGCTACGAGATTGACGCTATCACGTACAATTGCCAAAAAAAACATTGCGTTTTAAAGGGACTGCAACACGTACAGCGCTAAAAATTCCTAGAAACCAAATACAAATTGCATGCCTTTTTCATGATCTAATTATTCTTAAATTTCCAAATTAAAGAGACTGAAAAATCGGGACTAAAATGGCTACAAAAAATTCAAGCGACCACGTTAAGTTAAGTTCCCTGATTTAGAGAAGCTACAGAATTCATACATTACTATTCGTTTTTACATAACGAAAAGGTAACCGTGTGTTTTAAAGCTAAAAACCGGTCTGCGAAGGGCCAAAAATCACGGGTGCTAGGTTTGTGGCCTGGCCTCAATTATCCTATGCACAACGAGGAGGTGCCGTCTATTCTGGAAGTGGGTAGGCGGAGGAGGGTACGGCCCGAAAAGAAGAAAGCCTTTCAAAAATTCAGCTTTTCAACTCGTCTGTGTGTAGTAGTTGAAAAGGCAACATTTTGGGGTGTGAGGGCAAGGAAATTACGGAAAATTACTCAAAACGGGTCAGAAGGTGTAAAGAGGTGCCGCGCGCAAGGTAGCCTAACCTTTTTATGTTAAAAAAGAGAAAGCCCTTTAAAGGGGCAGGAACACGTGGGTAGCGTATAACGATAACGCTAACTCGTGAAAACTTAAGACAATCAATTTGGTAGGTGGCGTCTAATGGAACCTTGCGAACTTAGAGGTAGAGTACGCACGACCCCTCTGAACGTCCTTTTTATGCGAAAATTTTCCGATTTTTTGTCGCTGTCCCTATAAAAGTGTACAAAATAAGACAAAATTTTTACGCTGTTCTTGACAAATTACACGATGCAATTATGTAAAGTCCGGAACGGCAAATTTAGAGGATCAAAATCACGATAATTCTTAGTCGTATTTGACCGGTTTTCGCTATTTTTCGGCCAGTCACAGATCTTTTAAAACTACATAAAAACATTTTTTTACGCAATTAACAGAATTCTGATACCATATAATTATGTTAATCCATCAAAATTAGGGCCGCAGCGATTATGACCCAATAAAACCCTCAAAACCCGCCAACCAGGC